ATTTTGCAATTGCCTCATCAGGTTTTCGGCCCTCCACCGAGCATCTTGAATCATGCTTAGAATAGCTTTTAAAACTGAGGCTTGCCAAAAGTAAGATTTCTCCGACTTTATACGAATGTGTTAAAAGTGAAAAAGACAGGCATATGGATCATGAGAAACGTTAGTATTAAACTACCAAAACTACTAAAGTAAGGAAATTGTGAAGGATTGTTAAATTTGGAACTTGATGAAGAGAGTAGATGTCAAAAACTTGTCAGGAAGGTGGGAAAAAAATCTGGGTCTCTTAATAGAATTCAAACCCCATGCTTTCGTCTTTCGAAATAGGATGCTCTACCTGGGCTGTACAGCAAGGCCATAGACTGCAACGTTTCAATGCGACAAGCGTTCTTCATTATGGATTATGGATTGATTTGATTACATATCACACGTTTCAAAATTTCCTTTAGAATTTCCCATTGCTGGTGGCACTGCTGTGGGTGTGTTAGTGGTTTCCTTTCGCTGTCAGAGTTCAGTATAAGCTTACTACCTATGTAGCTTCAGTCCAATAATTGATAACACCATGCATGATAAAATGGCCATTATGACTATAAATGATCAGTAGTCATTATTAAAAGTTTATTTGGTTTTTCGTACCCTACCGCAATTCTCACTGATGATCATAACTTTGGAATGTGAATTTGGAATAAAATTGATGATGTCATTTTTGGTGGGAATCGCTGAAAAAGGTACATTGAACATGCAATGATGATAACGATAATAACCACAAAAATTCGCTATCTTATCCCATCCGTATCGGGCGGATTGCCCGGACCAAATCTTCTCTACACTCCAGAAGTTCCGATCTTTCATGGCATCCTGCGGATTAAAGATATGCATCTCGACATGCGTGGCGAGTTTTTTGGTGTGGGTCTCCAGCAGTTGCCCAGCATGCTGGTGCTAATGACTTGGCATCCAGAGAAGAAGATCGCCCACAAGCTCGCCTGAGCTGGAATATCTCAAGCCGGCTCATCTTTAGTTACTTCCACGTTTTTTTGAGCAAGGCTCACGCCAATCTTCTAGAATTTCCAGCAGTAAGCACGTAAGCGTCTTCGTGCACACATAGAAGAAACGTTGTCAAATGACTTGAACAGCTCAGAGTTGTAACGAGTTCCAAAGCAATTGCGTAAAATAGTGAAGTATCTAAATTTTCAAGCGCGCTTTAGATCAATTTATGTATGTCTACGAAAAGTGTACAGAAATATATTTTTTGAAAAATGCTGTAGTGTGAAATTTAAGAAGACGACAAAAAAACAAACTAACAAATAAAACCATTACAATAAAATACGATACAATCCATTCAGATACAACACAACACAAACCCACAACGAAACCACTCTGCCAAAACCGAAGGCAAATCAAAGTGAATGCGGACAAAAAACCTTTCCGCCCTGGTTAAGAGCGAAAGTGTGTTTTAGGGAAGTGTTTGAAATATGCAAGTCATGGAAGGAATAGCTAAAAATAAGGTGTGGTCGTACTTTGAAGAAGCATGAACGGAACAGATTAAATGAAAAAAGATTAGCCTGCAGAGATTCTCAAGAACCTCGTCTTCCTCTCCAAAAAGGAAAAGCAACGAAACATACAAAAAGAAGAAATATAGAACCTTAAGTACAAATTGTTTCATTGTTAATTCGATAACTAGAGCTTATGATTCCTTTTCGTCATTTAAACGTAAATAGCTCTTCACTTGAGAAAAAAATGGAAGAAAAGGCAAAATATGTTGAAAAAAAGTTTATTTTAGCCAGAATCTGATCAGCGTGTGCCAACAGAAAATGGAATTAAGGCACAATTTTTCCATTATGATTTTGGCGACACATGTTAGCAGTTTCCTGTTTCACATACATAAATAGTGAAGACCTTTCTGCTGGTACTTAAGCATGGAAGATCACGTAGAACCTTCTCAAGGCAGCTAAAGTTAATTTTTCTCGCTCACCCTAATCTTTTAAAATTGTCACGTACTAAAAAAATAATCGTCCAACTATTTCCGAGATAACTCAATTTACTACCTTCGTAAGGTTACTATGAAGCGGATATCACGTTCAAGAAGTTAACCTAGAGCCATATTTCCTAGTTCTTGTTTAAACACCAGAACCAATAACAAACATAGTTAAGTTAAAAGACTGTTTATGGTGCGTAGGCAGCTGTATATAGTGTTCCCAGGAAACGAGAGTTTTATGAGTCGACAGAGTAATGGAAAAAACTGAGAATTAAGTCTCATTTGGAACCAGACGAAAGTTTGAAGCGGTCTGTGCATTTAAGAGATTGTTTCTTCTAACTAACCACAGTTTTTTTTGGATAAATCTTGATTTTGATCATGATACTTGTAGCTAATTGACGGGGCCATGAAATCGTATCCAAATTTTGCGGTCACATAGATGACATTTTAGGAAATGGAAACCAAATGCCATCAGGGAAAAAATCCCAAAAATTAACTGATAATCATTAAAAGAAATGATCAGCAAAAAGAGTCCGGTGTACCACCATGGGATTACTAATCATGGAACAGGATCAAAAACTTCCTTTAACTAATCGGCTTTTACGGGTGAAAACAAAATACAGTAAATTGATGGTGATCTTCAGATGCTTTGTCCTCAATACAAATAGTTTTCCATATTTGGAGAAGAGGGGAGAGAGAGAGCTAAATTTAACCAAAGATAAAAAAGCAAGAATGTGTTCCTCGTGCCTAACCTTACCACAAGTTGTAAAAATACCCGTGCTAATTGTGGTCGACAGGAAATCCCATACTAAGTGCAAATAAATTAGAAGACACCTATCAGTCGTCAAGTACTTATCGCAAATCACCATTGGTATGTTAACATGTAGCTCTATAGACTCAACAGTTTACAGTGAAGGCGATGTCAAGTACATCACAATTAAAGCTTTTCAGAGGATATCCCTGGACAACGTTAAAATAACATCTCGAGTTATCTTGATCCGTGTCACTGCCAGGATTACGTTACAACATGTGATTTCACAATGCGTGCTTCCGAGTCGTAGCATGAGTGGGTATAAAAACGGGTGCAGGGCGTGCATAACAACTAGTGCGTTGGCCAGCGATAACAGAGAAGAAGGCAAGAGACGAGCAAACAGCAATCAGAAAACAACGACAGATTCTCTCAAGTGAAGCAAGGTATAACTCTAACTGGTAAGTTTTCATTTTTCCCCTCAGTGCACATGTTTGTCAATATGTAACTCGTTAGCCCCCAATTCTAATCAATTGTGAAACACTGTTGCACAATTAAGATTTCACCTATATTCCGAAGAATTCCCGCACGCTTTCTAAACTTCATGGTTTCAAACGACGTGAGTCAGATCAATATATCACATTTGGTGGAATGACAAGGATTTCTCGTGAGGGTAGCTCGCTTTTCATAGATCTTGGCAGCCACGCTGATGTAACCGACAATACTTTCAGCCTTTCTGGGATCTAACAACTAGCAGTTTGGTTTTAGAGTCTGAGATCAGATGTTTATTATTCTGGGGGGGTGGGGGAGAGGTGAATGTGGCTCTGTTATGATCAGAGCTTGTCGGCTCTTCTGAAGCAACCGAGCTCTTTTTCCCGTCCCACTTACTCACCACAAAGAACGAGAGGACCGCTATTACAAACCAGTCAAGCTACGAAACAAATACACTTGAGAAAAGGAGACCAGAAAGCCTTTCGTATCGAAAACCGGGGATTACGTTAATCATTACGTTTCTAAAAGCTCATGTATTCGTTCGCTCTAACTCTGTCACTATTTTATTTCATTTGATATATATTTGGTTTTTATTCATATATTCAATCTCGTGCAAAGTATGTAAAAAAACAACAAAAAATGTTCATCCGGGAGCTTGGCGTATTTCCGTTGCTGCTGACTCTTGAATTGACCACCCACACAAAATGTCGATTAAAACTCATCAGTTCTCTGGTCAAGACGAAAATTCGAGAGAAAAAGTAGAGTTATGTCGTACGACACAACAGAGTGACTATTGATAGATCAAGTAACTCTTGCTCATGCACTGGCCATGGTACGGAGGTAAAAGGAAACGTCGTAATTCATTCCTGCAGCAGAAAAATTTCAGACAATCTAAAATAGAGTCTTGCTTACCGTTGGCACTGGAAACTGAGGAAAATCATCATTTCAACGGAAAGCTTCTTGATCAACATAGGAAATTTTTCAAGCAAATCGGAACCAATTTAGAAAAAGACAGGAAATCGTTACCGATCTCTTCTTTCAATAGTGTTGTGTAAGTCAGGTCTTCTTCTTTTTCGCTTTCCTACCGTTGTATTAAAGTCCGCTGTTGACGTTTAGGCTTGCTTTGCTCAATGATTGTACATGTACCATTTCGTAACAATAGAAACCATACTCGTTTTAAACTCTCATTTAAAAAAAATTCCTCCCTCTTGAAGCGGAAAAAAAGGAATAATTTGCGGTTTCCCTAGCCCTGAATTTCTGCTTTGTGGTTCATTTGCGGTCGGCCTTCTCATTTATTTCACACCAACTCCTCTAAGTTGGAAATGGCGGATAATACTAAATTCACTTTGCCAAGATGTGTTTTCATTCATGGAAGTTACCCTCAAATGTATGCCAGTAAAAAAACAAAACAAAACAAACAAACAAAAACAAACAAACAAAACAAATCAAAATCAAATCAAAACAATTCCTCTTGTTCAAAATTATAATTGCTAATAGTATAGTTGCTAAACGACTGTGAATATATGAAAGTCATGGGTTCAAATCCCGTACAGGCCTGAATTTTTTTCCGGGTCTTATTTTCACTACTGCTCAAGTAGTGTTCATTACTGTGAAGATCGCTTTCAGGATAGTTGCTCTGGTACAGTGTACAGTCGATTATTAAATGCAGTAAAACCATTTCAACTGACTTGAAGGATAAAGCAACGTTAATTAAAACAATTTTCTTTTTCCCGACACTACAGCTTTTGGTGCAACCTTGAAAACTGGTGAACAAACGACAATTACAGGATGAAACTGGGAACTTTCATTGCCTTTAGTGGATTCTTGATAACACAGATAATGTTTGTGGATGCAAGGCCTAGACTGCCGAGCAAATTGAAAAAGGTAAGGGAACTTTCCCTGACGTTCTAAGGAGCCGATAGAGCAAAGTAGCAGCCTTTACTGGACATCTCAGTGTAAGGAAAATCGTACCAATGAAAAGAATTTTTGTATTTTCCTCTCATTCACTCAAATGGAATTTTAACTCAGTATCCTTAATGGGCGATGCAAGTGACGCGTTCAGTGCTATATCTTGATATGATTAGAAACCAATATAAAATGTTTATCAAGAAGAAATGATCTAACAAAAAAATTTACCTTTCCTCTATAAGGAAAAAACGGAGGTCTTTTCAACAAGTAAGCCAGAAAGTGAAGAAAATCAATTTGAAGAAGGCTGGACTTTAGCTACCTTGTTCGGCATGGGAGAACATGACTCAGGTGAAAGCAGCCAGAGACCAATATCTTCAAGCCCTTTGCTAACTAGCCCTGCAGATGCACCCAGATCTGGTGGAGAACAAGATGCTCACTCTGACAGCTCTGTGAATGACACTGATCATCAGCAGAAAAATAAAGGAAGAAAAAGAGTGCGAAGGCGTTGTCGTCCTGGTTATATCCATCAATGTCTGCCGACCAAAAAACCAAAACTGACTAAAAAACCAAAACTTCCCAAAAGAGCTCGTCGCTGATTTCGTTCCAAATTTCATAAATGTTTACACATATTTATAGATGTATAGATGCGTAAGATCATAGGTTATCATAATAATAATTGATCGTCTAATATGAGCAAAAAAAAACTGTTGAATTATTTTCTTATGATAAACTCGAGCACCGAAACACAGCGACAAAATGTAATATGTAATTTTTCTCCCGGTAGCTGCTGGCAGACAAGGGCATCAAAGGAAGCTGATCAGAGAGTATTTAAGTGTATAGTTTTTGCTATGTAAATATTGCGCATTGGTGTTGCTGTATTAGCTAGAGCATGGGAAAATGGACAAAACAATAAATGTTTGATCAAAAATTACTCATTCATCTTGTATTTCATTCGATTTAATGACCTTTAATGAAATGTCGAAAGCTGAAAAACCGAAAATTTAAATACATATTTTGGGAACCTCTTTTTGGAAAAAATGGCAAGTGAAGTTGGTCCCATTGCAGAGTCGCATAAATATTAGCCATATATATTCAAAACGTGACATAATGTTTCCAGAAACTTTAATATGCTTGGTAAAACGTACCCAGCTAGGCTTACTTTTTGCACTTTGTAAAAAAAATGATTATGAAAAGATAACATGTTATTTTAGTTTTTCGTTAACACTCTCTCTATTTTCTTTGTTTGGCGAGTGTAGAATCAACGGTCAATAGGGAAGCTCTGATCATAAGTTTTTGCCATTCTATTGTCAGAGAGAAATTGCTTATTTGACTGGATGACTGACCAGTTTTCCACCACTAGGTCTGGTAATCCATCAGATGCTATCCAGCTACCCAAATGTCTGAGCTCTGATTAAATGGGGAAATTTTGTCGGGCTTTCTTTCTTGGCGTAAGATGTTCCCTTACACCCCGACTAGACATAACTGAGGAATCAGATAGAGAAAATCAAATTAAAAACAGTCACTTCAGCGCCAATTCAAAATTAATGAAGTTGTCGATGAATGCATGGAATTACTTACAAGCAGGTTTTGGCAAAGAAAGCGGCTCAGTCGCAATTTAATTTCTAACTCGATTGGAAGGAAGATAATCTGTTTAACACAATCTCTTATTTACTTAAATCGATAACTATACATATATATATATATATATATATATATATATATATATATATATATATATACATATATATATATCTTGGCGCCACCTTGGCAAACATTTAAAATTTTTTTCTTCAAAACGACTGTGTTTTCCAACTATAAATGATGAGTAAATGGGATTTTAAGACTGAGCGCATTTGATCGTCGCTAATCCTAAAGGGTATTAATTGTCTTCATTCTGGGCTTATCGCCTCGTTCCATGCTGGAGACATCTTGTCTCAGTGTAAATACACAGGAATACTAATTAAACAATGGCCTCCGATATCTTCTCTCAGTGAAAACGAGTTATAAAGTGCACTACAATCAAGACTTCCTGTTCCGAAATAATCGTACAACCCTAGCAATGAACTTTGCAAGGCACCGTTGAACAACCAAAAACTAAGCTTATCAACGGGATATTCCAATAATGTTTTGTTGTTTCAAGGTTTGAGGAGGCATTTTTTACCAAATACAAGTGTGCGCGTTATTTTGCAAACGGACATATGAGAGCTGACCCCTCAAATGAATTTAAAAACTTTCGGCCGATTGAAAGCCCATCAAAAACTGCTGATGGTAAATGATAAAAAATAAGGCCCCCTAAAATGGGTTTTACGTGAATTAGATCAGGACAATCTTAATATTCATTCTTTATTAGACCTTTAAGAGCACGTTCTCCTATCCCAAAGTCATGATTAATGTCAAGTACGGCAAGAGTTCTATTTTTATTCATTTTTAAAGATAAGTGACTATTGTCTTGGATTGTCTTGGCACGTTTCACTGTTATGGCGCGTCGTTATTCTTAATTCCTTGTAATTAATTAAAAAACTGGTGAAGTGCGGCGATATCTCCGAAAGGCTTTCTGGTTGTAATTACCTCGAGAAATATTTTTATGATAGCCCTTTAAACCCGTTTAAGTTACATTCTACTGTTTGCGTGCATTGCTTAGTTATCGAGCAAAGTTTTGCAATTCTTTTATCGGCGTTCCATTCCGGCGATCAATTGGTGACGCCCGACTTCTTTTAGCAAAAATTTGTGAAAAAGCTTGCATGAATGGGGCCTTCTACCTACCTAACACGCATCGTAGAACCGTGTTGAGCTTGTAACGGTTATCCAGTTCTTAGATACCGTACATCAAAGTTAGAAGAAAACACATCAGAACATGATAAAATACAAAATTGAGCAGTGTATCATGACATGGGTTTCGTTACTAGTGAGCAGTCTCCATGGTTAGGTGAAATACGTAGCAACAATCTTTTTTGTGACGAAGTCATTCGAGTAATGTTTTCAGTGGCTGGCACTTGTTGAAAGGGGATTATTTTAATGAGCTGAGCACTTGATTTATCGCCACCAGGATAAAAAGATAGATAGCGTAGATGCTTCTCACAGGAAATGGACGCTAAATACTTTTATATGAATGATGAATTTAAAAAAATATTTGGAAAAGTTTGGTCGCGTGTGAGGGTCGGAGATCGTTTCATGATCAACATCTAGCATCATTCAACAAAGTTTTCAATATGTGTTATGTCATGTATTACATTGGTAAACGAAAAACAAACACATTGTTTATATTAGTGGTTGAGTTATTTTTACAAGCTTAGTTATCGCTTTCCTTTCAAGCACTTAGTATCTTCAACAATATTAGGTGAAAACGAAGATTAGAACAGCTTGGCTTGTTGAATAGTTGAATTGTTACAGATGATTACTATTATTATTATGTGAATAGCTGCCAGGTTAAATCTACTAGGACAAAGCGAAGGATATTTAGACTCCTTCACATAAAGACGAATTTCAAATGAGGGAAATTTAAAAAAATGTTCGACCATCATCATAATCAGTAGTGCCAGTTGATGCCAGTTAGTCAAAAATCAATGAATAACCGCCACTTCTTAAGAGTTTTGTGTTTCCTGACGGTCTACTGATTAACCTTTATGTAATTTTGTGGTTCAGCAATAAACGTGCGGTATGCGATACTTGACCTTTTCGCTATATCCACTTAAACGTTAATTCCTAATGCACGCAAGAAAGATTTGCCTGTTACCTGAAGCCTGCTTCGTGCAAGGTAAATTTCGTCCAAATTTTTCACCAAAATAAGGGCAATGCAACGAAATCTTATGCGGAGAATGACAAAAACATTCCTAATTTCCATTTTGGTGGCAAGCCATAACATAGAACAGACGAGTTTAATACTTAACATAACTTCAATGTTGAGGAAATACTCCAACGTGTAGCAACTGGACCCAATTGTGAGCGAAATTCTTTCCTTCGCGATCTAAAATCTTAATTGCTTTCATTGCGAAGGAAATTAAGAAAAAACTTCGTTTTCATTGCAGTAGACGACATTTCGATGAATGTATACATAAATCTACGTATAAATCTATTCTTTCTCGTAACATTGCTTCTAAAAAAAATGTTTCTTTTGTTGTTGTTGATGTCCTCAGTCCACATGCCAATCCTGTAATGTTATGTAAACCACGCGAAAGAGGCACTCCCATGTGTAAACGTACTTATGCAATAAAAAGCACAAAACAGGCTAATTCGGACTAAAGGATCTAAAAATAAACCCCCTGCTTCTTCTTTGAGGTGAAATAGCCTGCTGAAAAACAATTCCAGTATATTTTGAGAAAATAGATCTCTAAAGAAACTTCATAGTTTTCAAAAGTTAAGTGTCAGAAAAAATAATTACTGCAAAAAAAAAACAACAACAACAATGTGACTGAATAGTTGAGGATCTCGTGCATGTGTGCGCGTAGGTTGAGGTAATGAGAAACTTCCGCAATTGAAATGCCTTCAGAGGATAATACAATTATTTCCTATTCACAAATCTTGTTGGTAAGATTGCTAGCGAAGCCGATAGAATATGCGAGTTATTGACCAGTAAATCGTTAAATACGCACTTAGGAAGCGGCTGGAATCACAACAATTTTATCAGTTTGGCTATCATATAATGACATCACTCTTCAATGGAATACCGGAAATTGATAGCTGTGAAAACATGGCAGAAGCATTTAAATACGCCTATCTAAACAACACCAACGTATCTGCACCTATGCTGTCATTGGAATAACTCACGGAAGACGGTTTCAAAAGAACAATTTAACAGGTGAGTCATCGTCATTAATTTTTATAGGAAAGAATGGAACATTTTAGTGTGTACATCACAAGGCTTAATGCCGTTTGTGACCCTAAAGGAAGGCGCGTCGGATACCCTGAGAAAAAAAGTAAGGGCACAAAAAGGAAGAGCCAGTTTCAGAACAATAGCCTCACACTGTGCTTTTCTACAAGGCAACGCTCTTTTAAGTTGTTGCATATTACTGGAACAAGTGATAACTCAAAGTCAAACTAGTTTGAACGTTGTGATATATTGATACCTATCTGGCTGATTATAGAAGAGCAAAGTCGTTATTTTCTGTCGAAATTGGCCATGGTTTTCACACATGCCAAACCTATGCAAAACACTAACATAAGCTTGTTACATTAAGAAGCACAAGATAATTTACAGTAATTGACCATGATTCCCACGTTGCTCGCTGAAAATTTCGTGACCACATAAGTTCTAAAACGCCCAAAGAGGAAACGCGTCGTTCATAATGTTAATGAAATTATTGTCGGTATAAAACTTGTTATCTTGTGAACACATACTGGCGTCTGCATGTTTCAATTCTTGTGCCAATTACTAAATTACTGAATCATCTCGCCACCAAATCAGAGCAAACAAACAGTTGGCTTACACAAACCAATCAAAACTGACCCCAGCTAAGGAGAAAATTCACGTAGATAGTTTCAGTCTCTTAAATCAATACAAAATTTTAAAAATCATCAAGCTGATTTAACTCCAATGAATTGAATCTCAGCATTAGCGTCTAGTATGGTGATTTGTATGAATATTGAGATTTACAAGTGCTAAAGACACCAGGCTCAAAATGTGTGGTTTCAAGGACATCTGGTTAGTTTTACAAATACTCTATAGGTTGTTCTACTCTTACAAAGGAAAACCCAGTTTCTCTTTAGTGCGAACACAACTTTGCGGTGTGAATTATTAAACTTCTAGCGTAGCGAAAGTCCTTCTTTTACTCAATAGCTAACATTTGTTAATCGTAGTGGAGGTAAATATTAATCGCTTTCGTCGAAAGTGACCTGCATAATTGTGTTGGGATAGAATGATGAAGCTGAATGACGAGCGTACCAAAAACTGAACTTGTTTTCAAAATTTTAAAACTTTGCCCGGTGCAAAGCATGGGCGAGGGAAAATGCTGCCCATGTAGCAGTAAGCGATGTCTAACCCTATAAAGTTCCATCACGCTTTTGAGCGGACAAGTAAAACTTTTGAAGGCGCTCGTTTTGGCATATTAGAAGTTATTTCCATAACTGATGAATGGAATTCATCTGCCAACCAATGATTTGTCATTCACTTTGTTTCATAGCTTGAAAAGCTTGGATTTTAAATTGCAAGGTTAGTGTACTCAACTTAGTTTAAGGAGAGACTAAGATTCCGAACCTGTTACTTAGTGCGTCGATTGTTGAGAGTGAACATATGAAGTTTTAATTAAAGTTGTTATTCTTTGCTGCTTTACTCCAAGATCAGATATGAATTTGATATGACTAGTGAAGCCTTCACTTCTTGGATAAGGGCAATTTTGTCTGCTTGACGTCCAAGAGGAATTTTTTTAGAGAAAATTGGAAACTGGAGAAGGAACAATTGAATAACTTTCATTCGACCGCATAGAAACATAACAACTGATTTTTTTTTTTGTATCAAGCCTGATAAAGTATCTTCCTTCATTTCATTAATCTTTCTGCCTGGTCGGTGGGATATTGTCATTCTCTTGTCGTAAAAAAATATGAGAAAAATCCTCACCTTTTAGCTGTCACGGGCGACGAAAATTTGGTTTCCGACCGTGGTTGTTAACCATGCGCTAACCTTGTTACTTCGGGCCTCGGTAATCCCAAAATCTATCGCATTTTGCGCAAAAACTTTCATTGACCTCCGTTATAGCTTCATAAGCAGGCGATCGTCAAGAACTGCGAAGAATGGAAGGAAAAAAAATAAATGAACCATCTATCAACGAAAATTTTGGCAAAAAATGCTATATTTAACGATTCTGTAAATGTCACTTTTTAAATTTTTGGCGCATGTAATGCTTGAAGTTTCAATTTGATGACACTGAAATTAGAAACGAGGAATAATCCTCTTTAGCTCGTATGTTTTGTTTTTCCAATGAAGGTCATGTGAAAATAAACTAGACAACTGTTTCTTTCAAAATTACCCTTACTCACGCGCATGCAGGTATGCATGCATATAAAGGAAGATCTTCCCTTGAGACCTTCAACGGAATAACAAATATTCTAAGAGGTCTATTGGTAACGAGGAACGTTGAAAAAGGAACAAATGTATCGCAGTAACCCGCATGAAATTTAAAATGGCGGATGACAAGTTAATATTGACTATCGTACTCTTTGCTTACATTTTAAATCACACAACTTGGTGTGTTTCTTATCTTCGCCGACATGCGAAGCTCGCACGAGCTATTATGGTCTGTTTCTCTGTCTTGCGGTGGTACTAATCGTAAGCCTACGAGAAGAAATATATTCATTTAATGGCATCGAAAAACTTTTTCCAGATATTTACGTATTAGTTCATATTTGAAATCTGTTTACGCGGCATGAATCACATTCCAATCTATTTTCAATCGCTCAGTTTATGGCATTACTGATAATGTCAGATGAAACAGCAAAAATTTGAATTACCTCACCAAAGTGAAGGTGTATTATCATTAAATGCAAGACTATTGAAAGTGTTTGCTGTGCGGCAAACCTTTTTTGCAAACACGTTTGCTGAAGTTCGTAATAACTTATTCAAATGTTAAGTCGCCTAAGACTAATTCTCAGACACTCACCTCTCCGAAGACCCGATTTCTATCGCACCAGCTACATATATCAGAGGGAAAAAACAGTTTTGAACTCAAATACTTTAATCATCATCCATGTTGTTTGCCCTGACGACTGAGCTCAAACAACTCGGGCCTAGACCCTTCCTCCGTTTAGTTATCCACCATTTTGAATTCTTAGGCGGATTACCGCTGTTCACACGTTTCCCATTCTCCGTTCCCAGTCCCTTTTTCCTCGTTTTAGTAACATTCCGTCTCAGACGCACCATCAAACAAACTGACTTTAACTAAAAATGGCTCTCTTTTGAAACCGCTCTAAGATCATTTCGTGTGTATTCCTTTCAATATTAGTGCCATTATTCGACGTACCGTTACCCGTTATCATTACATGTAATTCAGACTTCTCATTCTCGTTGTCATCATTCTTTGGAAACGCATCTAAGCCATCAGTTGCTAAGGTAACATGATGTGACGTCATGAGTCGTGTTCGAACTCACGAAATAATAATGAGAATAACTTTTTTGTTGTTTCTTTACATTGGCCTTTCCAAACAAACAAGAAAAACGGTTTCAAATCAGAATGCACCATAAAGTTTTTTTTAAAACTGATTCATAAATCTCAAACATATTTTCAAGCTTATTAACTTGAATTTAAAATCATTTACCTGACGCATTCTGCTTTTGCAATTTGAAGGAAAAGTCGAAAACGAGTTAGAAAGAAGTTTAAATCAAAATGCACATTTTTAACTGACTCATATATCTTAAAAGTATTTTCGTGAGTATCAACTTGAAATTAAAATCATTTACCTGCCTGTGTTTAATAAAGAATCTTTCATGGATATTCTCCCGGAACAATTAACAAACGCTGCACCATCACTTTTTTGGATGTTGTGCACCATTTTAAACCTCTGTGCATGGAAGAATTGATCAATGAATGAAGACACAGTACAATGTTTACCCTGAGAAGAATTCGCAGTTTATAATCGTTTTGGAAGCGATCGCTAACGGAATTCATCTCCGTTTGGGAATGGCATGTATCAATCAATTTTCGATTCGAGTCTGATTGCTCCTGGAGTTCTCGCATAGGATATAAAGTTCAGCTCAGATTGTCGAAACGGTTATGACTCTCTCCGAAAATATATTTTTGTTAAAAGGACATTCCCTGCCCTGACGATCGCCCTGAACAACAAATGATTGGGTAGTGATTAGGGCTGGAGGTCATTGTCAAGCACAAGTTTGCGTTGTCCCTTGTTTATTGTATTTGTTTCATTTTGTTTTTTGTTTTTTTGCAGATAAATAACTGGATTATCTAGCGTTGATTCACGAGCAAGTCAGGCTATGGCATACATGAGAAGCGTCACGTTTGTCCTTCTTATAAATCTCTGCATAATTCTATGCGCTTCGCTTCCTCTTTCGTCGATTCAGAGAGAAGAAAAGGACAATTTTTACGACAAGGTATACTTTAACATTATTTCTCTTTGTTTCGTAACTTTCTTTATTCATTTCAATCCACTTCTCATTGACGCGCGGCAAACCAGAATTGATCCCTACGCGCATGCCCGACGTTTGACCGCTGTGTTGTGATGGCCTCACATAAACTAGCTATTTGGTGACACATTAATAGTTCTGTACTATAACTAAGTAGCCTTGACTCTAGGTGTTTCCAGGGGAAGAGAGAGCCTCTCAGGATTACTTTGATCACTATCCTTGGAGTAGAAATAAGCAAACAGAAAGTTTCCCTTCAAGAGACAGAGCATACGAAAATGAAAACACAGCGTCAAAGTTTCAACTCCAACGAAGTCTCACAGACGAAGAATTAAAGAGAATTCTTCTTCGAGACATAGTCAACTGGGTAAGAAAAATGTTTATCAGTGATATGTAGCATTGCTTTACCAGTGATATGTAGCATTGCTTTACAGGTGATATGTAGCATTGCTTTACCAGTGATATGTAGTATTGCTTTACCAGTGATTTGTACTATTGCCTTACCGATGATGTGTATTATTGCTTTTTCTGTTGCTCTTCCCAAATAACACTGATCTTCTTTTGAACGACAAGTACTTACTGTACAGGTTCAACCCTTCGTATTGCTTCTATACATAACTGTCGACGAGAGTCAAATGCAACAGTTATGTTTGTTTCATAATCACTCATGAGATCAATACGTCGTCCGTGTATCCTTTCACCTGTTACTGTTATATATCTTCTCAGCATTTTGACAGCCGAGAGGACAATGAAAATCGCTAGTCGAGGGAATTTTTAGTGTGCTTAAAATCCATGTTGAATTTAATCTTTGGAGTTTTCAAACGATTCTGAACAAGCCATTGGTGTTTCGACAACACTGGGCACCACTACATGACAATGCGAATAAAATCTACCATATTTATGCATTGACGAGGAGAAATTATTTTTTTCAGAAAAATGGGAACAATTTCGAGAAACGAGAGCCGCAGCGGAAATGCCGAATCCACCCTGGATATATAGGTTGTTCAAGACAGCAGACACAGAATGAAGACGAAGCCAGAAACAAAGACATGGTACGTTGCTGCCGATTTTTTTGTCATGTAGGCCTTTTCCAAAACCTTTTTGACCAAAGCGGAAAGCAGGACTCGTGTGGTTTGCGCGCGTTCTTTGCACAGCTAATGGTGACACACAAGAGAGAAAAATTTTAATTGAGCGTCGAAAATAATCCAGGATTGTTTTGGTTTTGTTTTACTTCGGATTGGTCTAATAAAAATTATCATGCTCTTAACCGATCAGACGCCAAACGAAACTTGGTCGCCCCGTTTTTTCGCGCTATTAGTAGCTTGCCCGTTGTTACTTTGTGTACTCATTGGCTAATAATGACACCAACCTTTGTTATGATTGGCTCTTGTAACTAATTAAGTTTTAGCCTACGACAGTCTATAAAAAAAAATGCTCTTGTCCAAGAATTTTTAAGAATTAATTAAATGCATAACTCTGAGTAAGAGCTTTCGAGAAGATTATTTTAAAAAGGTGTGTGGTTCCTGCATATGGGAAAGCATCCCTTCAACCATTTTCGTGCTCTTCAAACTTCACGCATGGGCGTTCGAGAGATACAGATTGACGCATAAATCGGAAGTTTAAAATAACAACATTTTTGATGCGATAGTTTCCAAGAGGTGTCACCTTTAGAATCAAGACTTTAAGGAGGATTTATTTCCTAAGCTCGAACCAATGTTGCACAATAATTAATAAAAATAACGGTAAATCTGCCTTAGGAACCTTTTAACAGAGACCCTGGAGCGAACCTGAGTGACGAAGAAGACAAGGATCGGATCAAACAATACGATGCGGAGATAGAAAGAACCTTCAGGGCACTGGAACGAGAAATGGATGGTCGTAAACTGTTGTAAAACACCTGACTATTTGCACAATCTTTTCGAAACCTCAAGTTCGAAAAATTGATGATTAAATATGGAATAAACTCATAAAGTTCTGAGATTATGCTAATTACGCGGGCTGTAACCCAGTAGACCTTAAATGCTTAATGTGTTTTAATGCTCTGCAAGTAATGTTGGTCTAAAACATGAACTTATATCCAAGGCTTATACATGAGCTGTAAAAAAATACACGAATTAATGGAACGGCAGTGAATTTGACGTTTTGTGATCGTAGAGTGGAGGAAGTTGAAAACCGAGGATTCATTGATTCATGTACATGTAGCTCTTGTAAGGGCACAGTAGTCGCAATACGCTTATTTGTTCATCCGGAATGTCTTTCTGCTATCAGTGTTGGTATAGTAATCAACAATGTATATAAGAACTGTAGAAATGCTATTAAAGTTCTGGCTCAATTGCATTTATTTGGGCAAGAGTGTTAAATAAAGATGGATCTCTCCTCATGTCTATATAAGAACTTTTTTTTCGTAGACTAGGTGGCAACAATTTATTCTCTCCTAAAATCATAATCTCTTAGTGTAGAGACTTCACCTTCGCCTTCGCCTTCGCCTCCTCGATCGGTTTTTCTTGCAACTGTTTAACTTGAAACTGAACTCTTAAAAAAGCTTAAAGAAATCATACGGCCTGAATTGAATTTTGTGTTGGATTTGATCTGTCGTATAAACATGCAATGCTGATTGTTGTGTAAAATTATTCCTTCTTGACACAAATCAAATGTGTAAGGAATTCTATTTATCGAGAGGCTGAAGCAGGAAGAATTTAGCCTTCGAGATGTTGCTTATTGTTAGCGCTGCAGGAAGTGCGTTTCTCCGCCCACTAGAAGATTTGCGACGAGACGGAGCGGGGTTTGCCGGGGGTCTGGCACTGATAGCACACCCGCCAGTCAGCGTTGCTTATGGACTCATACTTTCCCGCGGATAAAGAAACAAACGCTCGTGTCAAAGCGAGCATAAGGTGAACATAAGGTGCCACGTTGCGTAAAGATAATTAACTGAACCACCAAACATCCCACAGCATTGAACATTTGTCAATTGGTGCCCTTGATACTGACAAAATTCTCTCAAAATGAAGAATATTTTCACCTTCGCGGCTAAAGTTCGTAAATCTGGAGAAATTTCTATAAAACTTATCTCAGCTTCGACCTCTCAGTGCATGCGTGATATAATAGTCTTGTTGATCTTTCTGTTAGCTGTTGTCCCTCTTGATTACAAAGATATGCGCATGCGTGATACAGAAGACCTCTTGTTTACTACGATTCTTCTTTCTGCTGTTATAAAATTAGGTGTGAACTTTTGAGTTCTGATTTATGAATTACTTTTAACTAAATACTTGCTTCTGGATTTAATTGAATTTTAATTGATTTTCGAGTTTTCCTTAAGTATCAAATCTTATACTCATTTGCCCGTAGTTCGAATCTTTCAAGGAATAACTACATACATTCTAAAAAAATTTTAAGCATTCTCCACGTTCGGCTGAATTTTGGGAGAAAAAAACATCATGCTGAAAGAATAATTTTTTTAGGCAAGAATTTCACCGAAATCAAAACTGATAATATGTTTGAGATTGACCATTTTGTGTCCATTTGAAAAAAATGTCGCTAAATTGAATAGAACATAGGAAAACAAATCCATCTCGACGTGAATCTCGGATTTCCTTCTGTGAATGACGTTGAAATTATGTTTACTTGTTTAGTGATAACGACAGAAGATGTCAAGGTGTTTCTGAATTAACCAAAGTTATAGGCCGCTAATTTGTCGAACGTCGAGATATGGCGTCTGAAATCAGTGAAGTTTCGTCAAACAACTCGTGCCCTTGAGCTAAGCCATGGTGGCGTAAAATGCCAACCAAAACTCATACACCCTTGAGGCTTCAATAATTTTTGATAAAGAAAGGACATCGTTCATATTGTGTACAAAATGGAATTCTATTTCCGCTTAAGTAACCCTAAACAAGAGAATATTTTGATAACGTTTACGATTTGGAACACATGATATTTGCATTGATCTTTTCATTTAATCTGTTCATCGATTCCGGTTAAAGACATCTTTATTTTAACTAGTCCTTCCATAATTCTTTCTAGTGACTGAATTTTCAACGTTCTCAAGTTCTCATTTCTTAAAAACCAAATATCTCGGCATAAATTGGTTTTATTTTCACGATCATGTTAATTAAGTATTTGTGACCTTTTAAAAGCATAATTAGCAAAAAAAAAAAATAAGCAGCACTTACAGGACTAAACATTCGTTTTGTCATTTAACTCAACACTATTATTTCCTCAGGGTCTTCTCTGTCTTGCACAAGTCTTGAGCGAACTCTTTCGTCTCTATGTGTTCTTTTAACAGACGACGAAATGCTAGAGACATCGTCCAAACGGCTTGATTGTGTTGACTGGATCACACTTCCAGACTCCTCCGTGTTCGACGGAGTGTGACCATTCGAAGTTAATGCCGGCTGAGGTTCTTCTTCACTCTCTTTGACACAGCAATCGAAGTTTACTCTGATGAAATTTAAGATTATCACTAATAAATTTTTAAACGCAAAAACCGAACCTCCAGTTTTGTATGTATAGTGAAGTACCAGGCGTATCACAAGAAATGGAAGATTCACAACAATCGATTGTATCAGCGTGTATGTGGTGAAAATTCTCACGAGTGATTTATTAGTCTCATCTGTGTTCCGAAGTGCCTCTCTAACTGGTACGGAAAAACTGAAAGTAAGAATCACCACACTTAAAACGGCAAACGCAAATATGCAATAGTCGATATCATTCGGTAAATCTTTGTTTTTTCTTGGATCGATGATGGCATCCAGAAGATTTACAATGTCAAATATGTCGATGATTACGGGCCAGTTTATGTTCATTTGAAAGCTGGGTTCAAATCCGTCAGCATCTAACAACATATACACCAACACGGTAGCGCATAAGGGATATTTCACAAAGCCATGATCGAGTCCAGAGGAATCCGCGTCTATTTTGGACATCAACGTGCCAAGAATCCATCCACCATGAATGCAGAGAGGCAGGATGTACAGGAACCACACTCCAGCTGCCACTTCTCGCTGCCGATCGTTCATTTGTCCCTTCGCCCATAGAAGCAAAGTAGGGACATAAGCGAGGGTGAAAGCTTGGAATGAAGACTCCTTCTCATACGACACCAGATACTGGTTTAGCACCAAAACCTGAGCGAGTAAGATGGAGACGAAAAGACATCTTCCAATCCACTTGAAGAGAACAGAACGCTCGATTTTGAGTTTGACATGTTTACACATTGTACTGTGTTTGCATAGGACAGGATCAGACGTTTAAGAAGATAAACAACGAAGACCGCTCTCGGCCCAGAGTTCATTGCAGCATTCTTATGTAAATAGAAAAGCATGCCAAATGACAGGAAAATTGCTTTACAAATTAAGAGATTATACTGACACGTTACAGTGTGACTTGACAAAAGGTTGATAAGAACCCAGTTGTTTAGACCATCAGTGAAAGAATTGATTAGAATTCCATTAACCTTGAGCCTCAAAAGGCGAATGATTAAAGGACCCGCGAAGGCGTGTTATCCATCATGAATGACTTCGTATAGAATCGATTCTACTGCAAAACGAACAAAATGTCAAATTGATGTGAAAGGTCGAAACAAGAAGATAACAGACTGAAAACAAACTGCGTGATTTCATAACTTTGTAGATTGACTCCAAGATTACTTTTTTTAAAGTAAACGTTTATATGTGGTGACAATTTATAATGTAAGTCTCTTATCCCTTTAGATTATGGTGTTGAATTGATGTTTAATATATTCATGGTTCATATTGTCTTAAAATCAAATGAAATGAGTTTAGAGTACCGTGGTGATTGTGAAACAATAGACTGGATACAAGTGATTATCCAATTAGATCCTGAGAGAAGATGATGCATGCTGTCCAGAACTGAATAATAATCATTCTTTCATGACATATTGTTTATCAGCGTGACTACAAGCTGTTGCAGAATGCGAGACTCCTGGTTATCTCTGCAATCGTCCACATGTCTCCCTGGTCGATAACGCGAAAGGAAAATTTCGATCTCTTAAGCTACCTCTCAAAGATACACTTTCTATTGTCTGGTATGCCAAATAGAATGAGCTGTCTCATCTAAAAAGTTTATACCTCTGCTTTCTTCTGTTCATTCTGACGCATTGTTCGTCCTTTATCCTGATTCGCCGAGCGCGTAGAAGTGTCTGCATATTGCACGTATGATTTGTTTGTACGTAGGTTGCGCTGGACGAATTTCGGGCTATAGTCACGTTTTTAACTGTTGAAAAATGTGAGATAGCATATTAGATTGTTCGGTGAGAGTCTTAAGTGCGCCGAGCCGAAAATAAACTTCTCTATAAGAGAATCGACAAAATTCGAAGTTCAACATTAACTGATTTAGTTTATCTGGGAATTAAATTTGCTTTGCCAGTCGCAAAAGCCTTTAAACAGATAAAGTAAAATGAAAGGTTTCAATTATTTGCAATTAAAAAAGTTCATCAAGAACCACGTTAGTGTGGCCGTAAGAAGCGCTGTCCAGTTTGCACACTGCATTGCAAAATAAAGACGATTGCTGAGTCCTAAGAACAGTCTAATGAGACTACCTTGTTGGTTCATGCTCTGTAAAACATCCAAACTTCTTTCTGTGAGTAATCAAACTCAGCTGTTGCTATGGTTCGCTAACATGGTCGCTTCTGTTAATTGCTTGAAATTGAGATCTACGATGCAGTCAACTAAAGTTTCTCTGATGATCCACTTCGACATAAACTCATCGTTTTGTGAACCCAGATCACTTGTGCGGGCTAACTTAACCGTGATTTCAAGATAACAGGGTGTTTATAATAAGAAGTACTCCCTATCTCTTACAGCAACTTAAGTTTGGACCACATCACCCACGATAACATTTTAATCACAGAAGTAAGAAAACCTCCGTCTTTTACATTGCATTTCGTTTTTCCAATCTAACTATTCAAACAATTGAAAATTGCCTGAAACCTTCGAATTCTCATACGAGAACCGATTCCTTTTCGAAAATGTCATCTTGCTTTAATTTCTTTTCACAGTTTTCAAAAAATTGTTTTTGTATTTTTTTTTTTAATATATATTTTTCAAGAATGATAACCAATCGATTTTAAATTTACGGAATCCCCTGTAAATAAACTTTGATTCTTCTTTTGAAAATAAAGAGATTTGGAATAACTTGGGCCAAAAGTTTTTACCTGTAGGGATTGAAAAGTATGGAAGATATTTTTTCCTCCAGTATACAGATATGATAATAATAATAATAATAATAATAATAATAATAATAATAATAATAATAATAATAAAAACAGGCTCGCCGGTGTTACGAGCATCCTCTATCTTTTTTTGTTTTGTTTTGTTTTTTCACGAAAATCGCGCGGATGAGACATAGTTGAGCCAGATAATCAATGACATCTCTTTATATCCTACACACATATCTAAGAAATTTTTAAATACCCTTAAATTATTCCATGTACTCGTGGAAAGACCTATTCTGCAATATTGACCACGCATCAAAAGCCTGAAACTGAATTTGCATTTTCCACGCGTTTTTAAGAAGAAATATTAGGCCACCTTTATTCACCATCTTACAACTTGTTATTGAAAACTTTCAATCCAGTCATTCTCGGTGCGTTAGAGGATTATTTTTCGGAAAACTGATCTTCAGCAACAGAGAGCTGTGTTTGTTCAGTTTGAAGTTGAACTGTCGTTAATTTTCGAAAAGTGAAAACAAAAGGAGTAGTAAAATTAGAACTGGGCGAACTAATCGTTCGGTCTTCAAGTTTCATCTATTCGAAATTTCGAGAATAACACTGAAAACTTCGCCGGAGAGCAAGTCAATCGTCACGGAAAGATATGTTGAATATTTTATTGCAGAATGCAACTAAAGAAATCTGATTACTCCGTACAGATTAAAGTCATGCATGGCTGGAAACAGTTTTCCTATGCTGTAACCTGCTATTTCCAGAGCGCTCAAAAATCAACTTCCCCCTTTGCAAGGATTGAAGATTGAAATGGTGGGCGACATGACATGGTAATCACCGTTATCATGTGAATCCCACAATTCAGCTTTATTAGTAGACCCCAAACAAATATGAAATATCACTAATATACGGCGTTCATTTTCTGTCAGCTTCAAGAATGTTAAACTTTTAGTCATTTCTCCGTTTTGATATACATGTTTGTTGATCTTTTGCAATCTAAAAGGCTAGGTGAAGGCAAGGTAATCCGTTTGTGTAGTGGATAAATACACAAGAGAGCCTCGAGTGGCTCATTTAAGTTCAATCACGCATGCACCCCTAACGAATCCTAAATTAATTTTTTGCTAAACTGTCAAAAGAGGGTCTTAAAAAGCTGTGAAGGTGTCAAAAAACATGAATAAACATTAGACAAAGTGTGAAAAGTGATGTCTTTTAAGGCCGATACAGGACGCATGAACTGTACATCGAGGTTTACCCGCCATAGAGCGCAAATACATTATGTAAAAATCACTAAACAAATCCACTCTTTTTCCTTATGCAAGATTTTGGAAAAGCGCAATAATTCAGCAATTTTGGAAAATCTTTGCTCGGCGAAAGTTCGATGGAAAAATCATTTTTGCTCCCTTGAATAGTATTCGATCTCACGATTTCCCATTTAAGTCTTAAGAGCAGCTGAATGAATAATTAATTCAAGATGTGCAAACTAATAGTGCCTCCTTGTAAATAAGTTCACACAGATTCATGGGATTTCATGGGCCTCGCGACAGTAGAATCTGATGAAAATTTTTAATTGAAGGAAATTTGTTTTAAAAAAATACCAAATCCCCGAAATAAAGATTTGGCTATAATTTATGAAAATAAGGTAAAGCTCTCTTCTTTAATGAGCGGAATAAAACAATGATAAATAATGATCCAAGTTAGAGACTTTAATTTAATGAAGAATCAGAAAAATTCACGAATGAAATCGTATGCAATTTTTACATATGAGGTACGGTCCCATGACGGATCTATTCTGAAAATAAATCTTTATTACAGAACAAAAAAAGTTTCATAGGGATTTTAAATTTCCTTATGAAGGTATAAATTTATCTTATTTGCTCTATCTTTAACTAATTTGTTACGGAAACAAGAGAGATGACTAATTTAGAAAATGGAGATAGACCGCAAATGCTTCAGAGATACTCTTCTTTTCGAGAAAAACCGTTCCCTTTCATATGCTCATTTCCGGGCGAACGAACGTGAGTTGCATGTAATGTGCTCTTTGTGATGACATGTACATGTTGAGTCATCTTTCAGTCAGGCAGGTGCTTAAATAAAGTTTTTGTGATGAATATCCTTGTTAGACTCCTCTATTTACTACTTCATACACGAGAAGGCTCTCAACGAAATACTAAACTACTGACAACTGTCTCTTAGGAGAAGAAACCTCTCTGCGGCCATCTCAGTGTTAAGAACAATTGGAAATCAACGTTTTCGCACCATGGCAGAAAATTTCACTATCATTTTAGAGGCACCACCTCATCTCGACCCTGAAGTTCCACTTGCCTTGTACTTAGCTGACACTGCTATAAACGCTGTTTCTTCAGTTGCAACAATCATCGGCAACGTTCTCATTATAACCGCGTTACGCAAGATTCCTTTGACGCAAGTCCATGCCGTGTTCAAGATATTCATTTTTAACCTCGCTTTAGCCGACCTGGGAGTCGGAATTATCGTGCAACCATTGTTCATTTCAACTGTTCTTGCAACTCTCAGTGGCTGTGCAAACGCTGTGCGCATTCTCCGTGTGATGTTTTACCTGAGCAACTTCTATTTGCCAAATATGTCTTTAGTCCTTCTTACTGCAATAGCGATCGATCGATTCCTGGCCTTGCATTTTCCTTTACGATACCGCAACCTGGTGAAAGTCAAAAACATTATAGCATCTCTTTCGTTCATTTGGCTTTGGACCCTTGCTAGCACTTCGCTCATCGTTTACGACAGTACCATGTACAATATCAGCGCTAACTGTGCTTTAGCGTTGTGCTTATCGACAATAACATTTTGTTACCTTAAGATTTACCTAACACTCAAACGCCATGATAAAATTGTACGAGGAGTCGTTGCACCACTTCAAGCTATACAAGCAAACTGTGAAACAGAAACGGTTCGGACGGCAACACGTTTTAATATCTTGCGTTATAGGCGTTCTGTGTATAACATGCTGTATGTCTACTTCGCTTTTGTTCTCTGTTATCTGCCATTTTTTTGCATTTTGATCGTGATTCATTTACGAGGAATAGAAAGGGCAACCAAGTTATCTCGCATTTTGGGAGTTACGTTGATTTTTATCAACTCGTCTGTCAATCCGTTCCTTTACTGTTGGAAAATACGCGAGATCAGGCGTGTAGTATCAAGAACACTTAAAAACATCTTTGGCAAATAATTTTTACAACGCCCTTTTTGCTCGATTACATATATTTTCTTCAGGTCAAGAAATAAGGAATTTGAAATGAGCCAGCGTCCATTCATTGGATGCTTTTGAAATGAGCCAGCCTGTTAGATATTTTTTCTTGTCTATTTTACTTCCCATCACAGAATCGTCTCCGAGTATTGTAATCAATATTTTCAAACGAAGATTGGACATAACGGTAGACGTGGCTGTAACTTTACAGTGGAACGATATCATACGGGTAAAATTGGTCGATTTCAGAAATTGAGGGCTAAAGGGATTTTCTCTTGAAAACGCAGAAAAAAAAAAGCAGCAGGAAATACCTAACAACTTTTTTTTTTAAATATTAAGGAACCATTTTTTATGACTCTTATCTTAATGAAGTTTGCTGGTGGTGGAACTGAAAAATTCGAGGTATCTTTTTCAAGATGGAAAAGCTTTAATGTAGTTACGAACACTTAAAGGACCATTTTAATTAATTTACCAAGACATTTGGAATTTAAAGTTAATTTTACTTGTGCTTTTCATCTAGTAATTATTTTTTGCGTATTCATCGGATGTTTTTGTCTTGTTTTAGCATATGTAGTTTCTGAAGAAGATAGTGGCAATGAAACCACCTGCCACTTCTTTCAGTGCAGTTCAAATATTGCTGATCATATCTTGTTTTTACATAGCATTAATGATAACATAGCAGAGTGTACTGACGCTTAATTGAAGAAAATAAAATAAAGTAAGTTCCATTAAACTACACAAATATCTATTTACCCAAACTTAGAGACAAACCACCGATAAAGTCTCCAAATTTTATTTCTCGTTTCTTCGTTATATCACTAAAATGTTCTATCATATCCTTGATTACATCCCTAACATCAACATTTACCAAAAATACATCTTTTAACAAATAGAAAGTCATTGCTTGTACAAGAGGCTTAATATGGTTGGTATCTATGGAAATCACGACTGTATAATGGTCTCGTGGGCGAAAGGAGTCTTCTTTTTAACTGGTACGGACGAAGCATGGGTACTAACGAAGGTGAACGGCACCTCGGCTGATCAGACTTGATGGACAGGTGTCGATAATTTACTAAGATCGGTCCGCTCCTTGTATTCAATTTTGCTGAGTGTTTGTTTACTTCGCTGTATGACAGCTGTTCAGCCTGTATCCAGGGATTTGAAGGGGGCTGCACCGAGTTCCTCTTTGGTAGTCTTCCAAACTGATCGAGCGAGTTTCTCTGACATTCGGACGGAACCTTTCTTCCTTCTCTTCGCGATTTTGCTCGTCTGTTCTGAAACCAGTACTGAAACGAAATAGTACAAAGGAATATTAATTCCGTATTTTTTGAATACATAAAATTCTTCACAGCTTGATCCGATCACCTGATTCCAATTAAAAACCTAGCTAGTTCTTCCACGGATAAATTTATCTCAAAGTGATCCTCCTTTTCAGTCTTACAAGGTAGGTAAAGCTTCCACAGAGAAGAATTCAAGTTTGCGGTAAAACAGTTTGAAGAAAAGACGAAATGCAACATACCCTCAGACTTCTAGCCGTGATCCCAAGGCTCTGTATGAGCTCTTTCTCGTCTTCGGGCATCAAATATGGCTGCCGCTTGAACACTCGTTCCAGTTCCCACACTTCAAACAGTGAGAAGGTCGTGCGCTGTCGTTTTTTCTTCGCCACTCTCTCGGAGGGTGTCGGTAGTTGATCGTGTTCGCTGTCACAATCGCTGTTGGAACTGTAATTAGGAGATGATCGTGAGCTGTTGTCGCTGCAGCTGTGTTCAGTACTCGGCGCCTGAATGGAGATGTGACGGTGCTCGTTGAATACTGCTGACAAACGGAGAAAAACATGAATAAATGAACTTAAATGAACACCATGGCAAGCTAAATTACTCCAGAAATTGTTTTAACAGTTTTTAATGCAAATATTATTACGCTCTAGTGATGCTTACAGAAATGAGTGAACGTGGGCAGGCGCGAAGCCAAGCGAGGCGAGCACGAAAACGAGTCTCGCACGAAATCAGAAGCGTGACTCATCCTGAGCGCGCCATCACGAATTTCACTTGCCTCCTTTCCCGTGAAAAACGCCGAAACGAATTACGCCTCTTTTTCAAGTTATCTTCCAAGTAATGCTATCAGTGATATCGAGATTAAGTAGAGATCTTTCGATCTTAATGAGACTTACCTGGGCCGAGTTTTGACCATAAATTTTAAGCAGGAGACTGAATGAATAAAGGAAGGACTAAAACCATATTTAAACCGGTAAGTTTACTTTTAGGTTAAATTTTTTAAATAAAGTAGAGTGAAATATAATGCTTAGGGTTACCAGTGGAAGGCGTGTCTTGACGTATTTCACTGTTCTCCAGACCCAGGATCCTGCTGATGGAAAAATTAGTCACTGGCCGTGAGGGCGCTGGCACTGAGGACACGCCTCGGTTTGAAAGACTGTACAACATTGCACGCGACTGCGCAGACTCGAGAATGGATACTGCTTGTTTTAAGTGCTGACTCTCCATAACAGTTAAGTTAAGTGACACGTTGCAAATGCTTCACGGTTGTAGTGAGGAACCCATGTAATATCAAGCCTCATTTATACTGACATCTGTCAGTCAACAAAAAACAAAGCGGCGCGACAAACGAAAAAGTTGTTTACTTGTAAACGGTAAATACCATTGACTATACACTTCCGAAATGATCAGAGATTCGTACCGCTCCTCGCAAAGCGGCAAAATGGCTGACTGGATCACCGCTTTTTGACGGTGCGCTTAGCGACACAATGGAAAAAATTATTTCGGCTTGTCATCTGATCGGAGCCTACGATGCAGCAATTAAAATATTACCGAAGTCTACACTTTTTCGTGCTGAGCAAAATCTAACAAAAATTGTCGAGCACATTGTACTGGTCAAAGTCACCGCAACAACCGGAGGAAAATGGAACCGTTCTGGTCGATGCGACTCCGCTATCCGTCAAGCTTAGCATGTGACTCGCTTGTCTTTCGATTAGTTATATTAAATTTCAAGAAAGAGCAGAGATTTTGTTTTATTGAAACCATCGTGTCTGGCCGCGGAGTGAAGCTTACTGCTTTCCTTCTTGCCTTGTTTCCCACCAGCGTCACCTACAATAGAATTGTTGGAAAAGGAAGATGACGAGTTTCTCCTTACAATATCACCCCTGAATCGCACATTAGGGTCACAAAAATAAAAAATATAATCACCAAAGAAAAAAGCTCTTGATTAGAATAAGAGAGATGGTAAGTTTTGAGCTTGATAAAGAAATAGAGAAAAATGTTTTTCGTCTTGTCATGAGCGTGTGACAAAAAAAAAATTCTGAGTCCCCATGAGGAATCGAACCTCAGACCTTCGGGGCGCGGAATCCGAAGGTCGGAGATTCTATTCCTTATCGGGACTCAGAACTTTTTCTTCGTCCCACGCTCGTGACAAGACGAAAAAATAGTGTAGTTTGATCTTCCGGGTGAGTGTAGTCCTGAGAAGGACTGTTGTTGGTAGTGGTGACTGACGTTTCGACAACCTGAGCGGAAGTCATCATCAGAGTCAAGTGAAAGGTTGTTGTCAGTCGAATGTACTTAGTCCGGTTCGTGTACAATGATTGGTCAGTTTTGCCGTGATGTTATTGGCTGTAAGACTCAAGTGGCGTGGGTCAGTCGTGATTGGTCGGTTTGGATCCGTTAGTGAAGTTACGTCAGTCACCACTACTGACAACAGTCCTTCTCAGGACTACACTCACCCGGACGATCAAACTACACTATTACATGTTACCCCCGGGTTCAAACCATTTACTGTAAGGCGAAAAAAGTTCTTGATTGTTAAACTAATTCTCCTTGTCCAGGATCATTTTCTCAGACAAAGAGCTAATGCTCAAAACATCAGCTTTCTAAACTCTTTATGGTGGCCAATTTACATTATCAACTCAGTTCATGAAACCAAATTTTATTGTAATACCCACACTGATGCAGCACCAAAGTTCTTCAGAAACCTACCCCCCTTTCTGTAATTACACTTGCCAGTTTAATGAAATAAATGCATATCAAGATATGGACCTTTAATGAAAACATTTTTGTTCCTCCAAATCAGTGTTAATGATCTGAATGGTAATATATGAATTCTCCTTGGTAACAGATGACTAACTGTACACAAAAATAACAACACATTTTAACCCTTTAATCCCTAACAGTGACCAGCATATAATTTCTCCTTACAATATCACCACTAAATCATTCAATAAGATCGTAAGAATATAGGCAATGATCACCAACATGAGAAGCTCTGATTGTTAAACAAATTCTCCTTGTCAGTAACAGATAAAATGTGTAGAAGAGTTTTGAGAATTTGGATACTGATGTTAGGGTGTAAAGAGTTATAACTAACTTACACTATAAACTATTGAAAATACAAATTTCTGATCTATGAATGTCACAGTTATCTTTTTTTTTGGCATCACATATCTGATAATGACACTGTTTTTTTTCCCAGTACTTCCCTCTCCTTCACTGGAGAGTTAACAACATTGAAAGGATAAACTGTGTTCCTTCAATCTAAAAAAAAAATCTGCAATTAAATACAAAAATCCTTCATAGCAGCTCATACCAAATAACACATATTACTTTGTTGCAAGGGGTGTTTCTGATGGCAGGAGAAAGAGAGAAATGTAAAAATCCCAACCATCAAAAGAAGCAGTTACATTCACAAGAGCATGAAGCAGCAGAGAAGCATGTGGTAACCTTGAATTTAAGTCCTAAACAACAGGTTGTAAAAATTTCCAATCATATTTACATGTACATGTAAAGATCATGAGATGGTGACTTGAAACTATGAAAACATTGACACAAATTTTCAACTGAACATGCAAATTCCTTCCATGGATAAGTCCCCTCATCACATACAAATAACTTCTCATACAAAAATCAGTACACTTCCCAAGGGAAATTCTTCATCACATTCAGGTATGCCTTTTTCACCTTTTCAGCCTCTGTTAAAAAAGCAATGGATCTGAAACTCTTCTTCCTTAGAATCTTTGTAAGAGAACTGACGAATAAAATTTCAAGGAGCCTTGACCTTTGGGTACACAACGGAAAAAGTATCTTTCAGGCTTCTCTATTTCCAGGGTGCTTGCAACTAGTGATTAATAAATGACAAGTCATGCCATGCATGTAAGAAAGTGTTTGTGTTGATCTGCAGCTCATACCATAAGACATTCCACATAAAAAGAAAACAGGGTTTTAAATTTTGATTTTGAATTTTAGACAAAAAGAAAGAAGAAAAAGAGAAAAGGAAAAAAAATGGAATAAGAGGAAAATTAACAAGCTTTGGAATTAAGCCTAGTTGTTTCCTCTCCCCCCTTCTTATTTCTTGAGGGTGTTTTGCACCGAGGTACATGACATTTGCATTCCATAGCACTTTAAAACCGTCTTTTTTATTTTCAAACACACCTTCATGGAAGATGAATTAAATGAACAAAATCAAACAATACTGTTTTTGCAACTGACTGCATGTAAATTTGAACTAAAAAAACTTATTTCACCCTTTGACTGCTAAGAGTGACCAACATCTAGTTTCTCCTTACAATATCACCCCTGAATCACACATTAAGGTCATGAGAATAAAGAAAATGATCACCAACAAAAGAGGCTCTTGATTGTTCACCAAATTCTCCTTGTCAACACCTTAGGAAATGTACAAGGAAAAGAATGGAGAATATGCATACTGATGTTAGGGTGTAAAGGTTCATAACAAAAATGTCTGCTCATGTAGTCCTATACCAATTTCTAAACCTGTCCATTCCATGATTTAGAACAGTCTTATCTTGAAGAAGATTTTTTGCACAAGTCTTTAAAGTTTCGTCAATTTTTTCCAAATGTTTTCTGGCATCAAACTGAACTTGTTCCAACATTTCAATCCTGCCTTCATCCATGGGTACATTAGTTGATAAGTTTGGGTTCAACCGAAAGTAGACTGACTTGGGCAGTATGTCACTGAGAACAGTGTCTATTGCTAAAAATAAAAGAAGTTGAAGAAATTTTAAAGTTTTAAAATTACTTTCAGAAACTTTTCTCACTGTTTTTTTTAAATAAAATCTGTTATTACAGTTCAGAACTCCTGTATATTTTCACTACTGCAGAATTACGCTGACCCTTTTTATCAAAAAGAGAACTTTCCTTTAAGTTTTCATAAGAGAAAAAGAAAAAACAACCCCACTATCATATACAACTGTTTTTAATCTTTACCTTCTGTATCTGTTGCACTAGCCACAACTTTTAGAAGTTTTTCCTTCAGACTGCTAAACTCTTCAGTGCTTGGGCCAGACCTTCCCTTGTACTTGCCAGTACCAAGAGACACAATGCATTGAAAGGGTTCATCTGGCCAGAGGAGCCTGGCCTCATGGACAGCTATTGCACAAGGGTTGTTTGTGAGGAGTCCACCATCCTATCGAAAATTCCCATTTTGGAAGGAAAATGGGTGACAGTAGTAGGGTAGGAGAAAAGAGAACATAGGAGAGGAGTGAGGGATATGGGGAGAAATAAAGGAAAGAGAAGGGGAGGGAAAAGATGGGTGAGAAAGGAGATAATGGGAAAGAAGGGGAATAGGAACAAAAGGAGGAAAGAGGGCAGCAGGAGGGGAGGATGAAGAAGAAAAAAAGGAAAAATTTGGAAGAAGGGAGATTGGGATGGAAAGAGATGGCAAAAGTTATGAAAGGAGGAAAGGAAAAGGAAGGAAAGATGACTGAGGAATAAAGTAGAGGGAGAGAAGGACAAAACACAGGGAGGGGTAGGCCAGGAGAGAAGGAGCAAAGAAGCACAGAAACACATGGCTGTCAAAAAAATATTAGCTTTCCAAATTCTCTCACTTTAACCAGAGTGCCAAGAAGCTGGAGTTGCCCTCAGCTGTGCCTCAAGCAACTGTTACTCTACATGTGTGCTCTTCAAACTTTGCATATGCATGCATACCTTGATATTCACAGGCTGAGCATGAACCAATTGTTAAATAAACCAATGTAGAAGGAGTTCTCTATGATTGTAACTAATAAATGCATTGATCCTTTATTTTGCAAAAAAATTTTCCAACCTGGTGGATGTTATTTCCAAGTTTGAACTCCTCAAAGTAGCCAGGAGCAGCAGTGGATGCCCTGAGTGCCTCCCACAGCCTATACTTACAGCTCTGAGGAAACTTAGAGCTGGAACCATAAGGGTGTGTGTAGTTACTGAAGACATACGGCATCAGTAAGGAATGGTTGACTACTGTAGATACTGCTGCCACCTGCACAGTTATGGGAATAAAAAATTATTAAAGGAAGTTGGAGCATGATGGACATTTATGGCAAACAGCGAAGACCAAAATTGGAAACTCTAACATCTCTGCCAGCTTCTCCCTATTTTCAGGTAGATGTTGTGATTCTGTGCTTTGTAACCTGCATAGCAGGCATGACTTTGGCAAGAAAGTGCTCAGTATTTCTTTGTAAAAATTATAGCTGCCATATTGTCAGTTTTCTTAGAGAAAGCAATTTTATCACAATTTTTATGGGTTCCCTTGAGAGTGATATGAAACACTATTACCTTCTAGTACTAGGGGATATGTTAAATACAAATTAAAAGTTTCTTCCAATCAAAAAAAAGGTTTGATAGTCTAGTGAATAGGAAAAAAGTGACCTATTTCAAAGTTAAAAAAAAAATCTATAACTTTAATTCAGAGCCATCTTAAAATTGAAAAATATACCTATTTCAAGTTAAATAATTTCAAGTTTATTTGATTTGTATTTTGCTAATGTACATGTCCTAGGAAGACTGGGGAAAAAAAGCATCAACTCAATTGAAAATTACTTGAACAGAAATTAACTTCAAACTTCAAAATATATCTGCATAGTTAGATCATATATCTGTTTATTAACCTGACACCTCCATCTGGTGAAAGCCTCATTTTTATTGCTAGGATGTTCATTTTAGACGGGACTAAGAGTTAATTATACCTTGGGTGTTGTCGGGTCCTTAGCTGAATCTATCAATCGTTCATCTCCACTTTCATTCCTATTCACAAAAGAAAGTTACTCCAATTGGTGAAACTGGACAACTGACTCTAGAACTAAAAAGTTGTAGTGACCCCTTTGTTTATAAAATCCATCCCTTTTTTCACTTAAAAAGATAAAGTCTGTACTTGTGCTAAGAGGCCTGTCCAACTGAAGCTTATCCCAGTTCCACAGCAGGAGGAGACTAGAATTATTTCTACTCTCCCCTGGATGGGATGGCTGGTCCATTGCAACATTACTCCCCCCCCAGCATCACACCAGTCCTCTCACTCAGTCCTCCCCTCACCAGCCAGTCCTCTCTAACAATTTGCTATCACCCACTTATACAACAGGGTAAAGAGAGAGGTAAGGTGAGAGCAGAGTGTCTTGGCCAAGAATACAACACCATGACCCTGCTGGGTCTTGAACTTAGACTGAACACCAAATAGTTTGGTCACAGTCTCACAATACACCCTTAGAATAACCTCGCAGTGTCTAATATAGAGTATTCCCTCTGTCTAAAGAAGAGGTAGGATACATTCCTGAAGCCATATTGTGTTCATCAACATCACAAGGAAATATCTATTGCTAAGAATGTTCAACGATTCTAAAGAGGTAAATTGGAGGAAAAATTACAGACTGAAGTTAACTCGAATGGCAGAATGCACCTCAGGGGGCTCATAAGTGACTACTTCTCTTATCATTCCCTCAAATTATTATTTGCGGTTAGAATGCCTTTTTGTGAGGTCCTTGTTCTATAACAGATATCCAAGACTCCTTTGGTCATCACAAAAACCATGAGTGACTTGGGGCCCATTTCTCGAAAGTTCCAGTAACTTGACAGGCCCAAAGCCATATTTTGAAATCAAAATTTAACTAGAGAGGCAAGCTTTGACACTATAACCAGTCCATTCATTCTCTTTAGCTGATAGTTTAATAGCATTATTTTCAAAACTTTTGAAACTCCCATCTCAAAGGAAAACCAAACAGCTTTCTAGGCCTGTTAAGTTACTAGGACCTTTGAGAAACAGGTACCTGGTTGCTTGGCAAGAGCAAAAATGACCGCATCTGGAGACAAATTTTGAGCACATTTGATAACAAGTTTCACAAGGTTAGGTTGTTCTAAGGAAATGCAAAATACATCTTTTATAATAGGCCCAATAGAAACGAACAAACAAATAAACAAAAACAAAGCAAAAGTATAAAGTGTAACATTGAAATTAAAACAGGGTTATATACATGATTGTGTTATCAGAACCTTAAAATTTCAAACATACTTGAACTCATGTGAATGAAAGTGATCCTCGCAGTAATGTGCACTACTTAGGCAGTAGTGAAAATAAGGCCTGAAAAAAATTCAGGCCTGTATGGGATTTGAACCCATGACCTCTGCGATACCGGTGCAACGCTCTCCCAACTGAGCTAACAAGCCAACTGGGAGCTGGTCATGATGTTGGTTCTAAACAAACCCATGAAATGATGAAATAAACGGTTAAGAATATATGAAAGTCATATATTTGAACTGCGGATAAAGACGTGAATGAACTTACTTGAGAATCTGTTCAAATTTTGCTGTGTCGTAATAGGCATGATTCAGGAATAATTTTCCTTTTCCAATAAAAGAATTCTGTTCAAATACATCCATGCTGAGCTTTTTATAAGTGTACTCACACTCCTCCAGAGGAACTCTCTTGATACCAATCAGAAATGCTAAAATGGCTCCTGTTGACGCTCCACAGATAAAGTCAAATAATTCATGAATCTCCTTGTTACACATTTCTTCAATTCTTTTCAAGATCTCGATTGCCATCAAGCCTCTATAGAGAAATCAATGATGTTGCTATAGAATAGCTTGGCAGAGAAAACACCTGCTGACAATAACTATGCTTCAACTGATGACAAGTTTAGAATTATGTTGGGTTAAGGGAGGAGTAGGTGATCAGTTGCTCAAACATTGATCCTTTCTACATTTCATGAGAAATTTATAAAAAACTGCCCCTTGTTACACCACTTTGAGCACGCTACTTTATAAAAGTACATTCACATAGCACCATTGCCCACAAAAGTGACTGACATTTTGATGAACTGAGGTCATCGCCATAGTCAAGCGATGAAGACTTCTACAAGACTGACAAGATGACTTCCACAAAAAAATGACAAAAATTTACTAACTATCCCTGACAGAACTGGTTAGAACTGATGTGAATGATCACAATATACATGTAAGTTAGAGGTTAAATGTTACTTAAGTCTGTACTTGAGCCAAGTGGCCCATCCAGCCGGTACTTATCCTGGTTTCCATGGTATGAAGCAAAAAGAAGTATCACTACTCCCCCCCATCCCAAGGTTACCCCCCAACATGTCATGAGGCTTCCCTGATAATTCGCTGGTACCCATTCCTACTCCTGGGTGGAGAGAAGCACTGCGAGAGTAAAGTGTTTAGCCCGAACACAACACAATGACCCATCCACGTCTTGAACCCAGACCTCTCGGCCTAGAGAGCACTACATAAACCATTACGCTGCTGCGTCTCCCACTCACATCATGAAATCAAACATAAGTTACCTTGCTCCACCTCCATCGATCGACAGCACTTTGATTCCTCTTCCCTTGACGGGATCTACCCATCCCAGTAACGCCAGCGCTTTTTGCGCTTCCTTACGAACCTCTTTATTTCCCTTCTTTCTAACACTTAGCAGAAAGCTGATGGCTTCTTCTCGAATAGCTTGACTCCTGCCGACACCTTGATAACGAAGGATGTGGTCGTTAAACTCTTCCAAACGAATCAACCACGACTGTTCATTTTTTGCAGATCGTAAAGCTTGTACCAGGGATCGCGTACGATTTTGAATACTTGCAACCGTTTTCAGAGGAACATAAGAGGATGAATATTTTCCCGTCGCTGATGGAAATGTCCTGTAAAACGCCGCGCCTGATTTCAAAGGCAACGAAAGTGAGACAGCTTTCTTAACATGCAAAACATGATTTGAAAGTCCCGCCATATTTACAGCGTATTTCCCATTTTTACGAACAACTAGCAAATTTCAACATGTGTCCTTGAAGGAAAATCTTTTCATTCCAATAAAAAATATCATCGATTGTGATTCTCGCTTCAAAAATCGAAGACATTGTTAAACTAAGACTGCTACGTGAAAAGTCCATCATTCCGGTTCTCGTCCGCCATGTTTGATGATTGTTACCAGTCTCTTCTCCGGCGGATTGTAAGAATGTTGTCATTCCCAGCCTTTACCCTTCATTTTTACTCTTCTTTTTAATATCACACAAAAAAAGGCTAATTGTATTCTTGACAATTTCCTTGGTTTTTTTTTTTTGGCCCCTCATACAAAAGGTAAAGTTCGCCAGACTCTTATATTATGGTCTCGGAGACGAGGAATGCTAATTTTATGCTACAAAATTGATCTAATTCCCGAAAATCTGACGTAGCGAGAATAAGCAAAAACGCAAGAATCATTTTCATCCTAAGTCATTTTTAAGTTTATCTAGAGAAAACAAAATCTATTTTTCTTTAGTATCTGATTTTCGATAAGTTCATCCACGCCTTCTGAGGCGAGTCGAAGTAATTCATTTGACTGAGATAAAACCTGCCTAATCCATAAAAGATATGCTTTCAAGTAATTTTTTTTGTTGGGGGGGAGGAGGGAGGGGGATGAGGGAGGGGAGAGGAGTTTGAATATGTTTGAACTCGATCTCAAACAAGCCTTTTATGTTTTTAAGTCAAGAAAAAACAAACGCGTGCTTCCAGCGTAAAAACAAGTAGTTTTATTTACAATATTTCTACCTTTCAGCCCATTTTATCAGGCCATAAACGGTTGGTCTAATTTAAGTTCACTATGTGCATTTGCAATTAGCTGCGTTTCTGTTCGTCAAACCAGCAAGAAATGAAGGCTAACAGAGAATTTAACAAAGGAAAAAAAAAACTTACTTCTTAGAATTGGCGGAAAAACATTAAACTAAATAATTAACCGAAGAAACAAACAAACAATAGAGGCCTTAAAACTTCCGGTAAATTGATCTGATAAAAATCCTCTTAAATGGAAACAGGTTTGACTTCAATTCTTAGTCATATTTGTCTCCTTTGCAGCCAGTTTTTGGGAAAGGGGGGGGAAGTGTGCATTTGTGTGTGTGGAGGGAGGGGGGGGGGCGTAATGACGTTGTACACTATAAGGAGTGACTGCAAAGTAGACCATTGTCATTTAATTCGCTGTTTGACAACAAAAACATCAATAAAATATTTGATAGATAGTTCGTAAAATTGATGTAATTTTTGGACCTTAATATTCTTTTTCTCATAATACTACATCTCTTAATATATACATAGATAGAATCCGAGAATTTAATGTTTTACTGTACTTTTTGGCAATAAATTACAAGCCATACCGAGCAGAGACGGTGAATTGGCCGACGCAACTCTTAGAGGAACTATACATGACCGACATAAAACAGTTGCGAAATATTGGATAATAAACTTAAATAGACTATTTCTGGCTGACTTTTTAGTTACTTCATAACATAAAACTAATAAAACATTTACAGTAGCTTTACAATAAGGATTAAAGATAGGTAAACGCAAATGGGTTATAAAAAGGTGTCTAATCCTTTTTAGTATGAAGACAAAGAGACCTCATAAATAACCTACTGCTTGGAAATGTGGTCGGTAGCTTCAGTAAACACCCAAATTCTAGTCAAGGTACTGTACGGGTGTTTACGCATGCGCCATGTATGCGGTCATTTCCCACCAACATACGTTGCTTTGTACATTTCAAGCGAGCGTCAGCGTCACTCGTCAATTTCAACGTTTCCCGCCAAACTTCAGCAAGCGTACAGTAATTATGCACTTCTTTCCAGGTCTTTCTGTTACCTCGAGAGCAAAGCGCAACAACAACAACAAAAAATACAAAACAAAAAAGGCTATTAAAACATCTCCTGGCTTCAAAGAGCTTAGTATTTGTGGCCTGTGATCTCTGAAGTTTGCACGCATTTATCCACAATTGTTCCTTCACAGATACGTTATTCTTTAAACTGTGATCATATGAATAGGGCCAACAGGTGACCCATTACACTGTGGTCACGTGAATAGGTCCCACAGGTGACCCATCCGGGTTTCGTTGAGTTAAATACTCTCGAACTGTGGTAAAATCGTCGAACTGTTTTCTATTCATCTTACGGTGGCTCATCTCCACAATGATATCTCGACGTCCTTTGCCACTCTCTGAACCGCTGCCCGTGTGCGGGCTTTCACATTCTTTCAGTTGTTGCAGTTTTTGGATTTTTTTCCGGCGCGCCTCTCGCACCCGTTCTAGATGTCGTCTCCGGTCCTCTCTCGGCCAATAGCGGCCTTGATAAATAGTTTGCGCATCATCGTCAGTCGTAATACCTTTGCGTTCGTCCGTGATTTTTTGCGCACGTTCGCGCAGAAGTTTGTTCCGCGCTTGTCGAGCGGGCGTCGCAGGTCTCTTGCGCACAAAAATTTGACTACCGTCCTTCGACATGCGCACCTTCCATTCAATGTTTTGCTGAGAACCATTCAGTGGCTGGTTTTCAATAAGGTTTGATTTCTTTTTACTTCGATGATCTGGATAATCACTCCTTCCAAAGACGTCCGATTCTCCGATCAAATTAATGTGTTGAGTCGAGTCCTTACTTACAGCCCTTATGTAAGAAGCGCGTATTGTCCTGCTTACGTTGCCTAGTTTGCTATTACGCTTTGGCTCGGAATGTCGGCTTCGCTCCCGTTCACCGCGAGATTCATCATGGTGATTGTCTTTATGTGAATCACGATTTCTTCTCCGTTCTTTGCTCTTTTCCTTGTCCTTCTCCTTTCTAGGAGGCGAGCCACCGTTACGCGTAGGCGAGCGAGATTTTTTATTCGGCGATCCGTTGCTGTGACGCCGCGAGCGAGAATTTTCCGGTGAGCGCTCTTTGTTACTTCGACTAGAGTCTACCCCAGAATGGCCACGAGATTTCCCACAGTTGTTATCCCCAAGAGAAAATGCTCTGTCTTCCTTCTCCCGGGAGACGTTACTTCCCTGTCGTTCGCGCATGTCAGAATCGTCCTTAATAGAGCATTTATCGCTATTCTCTTGAGAATTTCTCCGAGAATCCGCCGGTTGCAGGGCTTCCTCTCCGAGTTCTGGCTCAGAGCTTTCGTCATTTTTAGTGCTCTCATCTGTTCTTCCAACACCACTGTCCTTTTCGCATTTTTCACCGTTAGCTTTTTCGTTGTTAAGCGTTTCGTTTACATCTTCGTCTTCCTCTTTGATGACGTCAATTCTGAAGTTGCTCAGCTCGGCATCAATCGGATCCACGAAGCTCCATTCCTGACTTCCCTCGCTGCCAACAAGAGTCGCTCGTACCTACAATACAAATTTATAGATATGAAATGGCGCTAGGACGAAATAGAGAGGGAAGAGGGAGGTACCCTAGGAACGGTTTGTTGTCACTATACCACAACAGTATTTACCAATTACACAAGATTTGTGTCGCAGGGGGTTTTCATTTTTTTTCCCAGAATCCGGATGGGAAAGGGAATACCGTTAACAGAATGAAAGTAGCCACGGTAACCGATAGTGGTAAGACATAGCCACAACTGATCTGTAGATGATATATGATACACTGATATTCACAAGTGCAGTGCGAATAAAACAAACCCCTTTGAAGAGTTCAACTCACTCTACAATACCTCCCTTCTGTCATACACGTGGTTTCGTAGCCTAATAAATGGCACCGTGCAACAGGCATCTGGGTGGCATGGGCTCGAGCCCCGTCGGGGCCTGAAGAGTTTTTTTCAGGCTTTCTTTTTTGTTATTGTCAGATTGATTTATTTCAAACCGTTTTTCTTAACAATGGACACTATTCAAAATTCCACGTATCGTTTGGGGAATTCCTCAATTATAATTAGCCAGTATCCCACTAGGAGCTAAGTCAGTTTAAGCCTCAGAGCGGAAATTTTTGACAAATTATTGCTATTTAATAGAGCTTACCAGGGAATTTAATAAGATTGGGTAACATCCTTTTATGCACCGCCAATAATCTAATTTGTTTGGAGTAAGAAGATTTTGATTCTATTTTCTAGCTCACTAAAAGTACCCTTTAAACTTTTCCAATAAGCTGATTCAAGGTCCCGCTAAGTGGTTTGACAAAGACGTAATTCGTAGTCACATTCTTCAAAAGCTCGGAAATCTGCGGTTAAATTGATCCTTTTTATAATATGTAGGATTAAATGTTAGAAGCTTCGCTTCGCAGTAATGATTGAGAAAAAAAACTGTTTTTTTGGTAGATAATGCTTTAACCATCATTTAAGTTTTGCCCACAAAAAAATGGAAGTCAATTAGGAAAAAAATAGAATACGTTTTCAAGACAAAAAGGACGCTTTGATCCGACATCAACTCTTTGATTACTCATACTACTGACAACGCAAATACAAAAATCGTCTGCACTGGTACTTGAACGCTAGAACAAAAGCTGCCACCTTTGCTCCGACTGTTCGAAATTTTTGTGTACGAGCTTTCACGTGATAGCAAATACAAACAACATTGTTCAGGTTAGGGGGGCTCCGTAAAATTTCATCACCTTTCCTTCAGAGGACACCTTGAAAAGCATGCCTGCGTCAAAGATGATAGCTTAATCCCCTGAAATAATCAAGGTGGGTATTAGAGGAGGGCACGATAATTTCAAAAGGAACTAAAATTATCATCTTTACGCAAAGCCGCATGATTAAAAAATAAATGCACAGCGAGGGACGTGTAAGATAAGCTGTCCTTAGCGAAGAACAATTTCAAGGATAATCCCTTTCTCGTTTAAGAACAGTGATGAAGAGAAAATTAACCTAATTAGCTGAAGAACGTGTTCCAGGTTTGTACTTCAACGATTCTCTCAAGATGTAACTCGTTCTTTTAATCACACGAAGTAATTGAGGCACGTGACAACAGAAAAGAACTGCAGGTTGTCGAAAACTTCTTTGTACGATTTTCGTGATTCGAAGCGTGCACAACGTTTTCGTGACAAGAATGAACTTCGAAGAATGATTTTCACAGCATTTTCAATAACGACGGGGTTATTTCTTAAACCGCTATTAAAACATCTTCCATTTGTGATAAGGTATGCGATTTTACATTTAAGTACACAAACTTACACGCAAGGCTACAAACTTGCGTGACTTCAAACGATCGTGGATTTCCGAAACCATTTGAAAGGACTACTCACTGTCATTGAGCCATCTTTGAAGATTAGAGAAATCCTGGTGTTAAATGAGATTAAATTGAAATTGCAATGAATCACTTCGACGGTAAACACAAGCTTAGTCTGAACTTCTGTCTGAAATAGCCGATTTTGTTTGAGTTGTGGAAAATCACTTATAATATTTCATTGACATTAAAGCTATGCATGGCAACACAGGCCGGGTAATTTCGGATGTTTCGCAACACGAAATGGTTTTCGAGTCGTTTCATCTTTTCTTAAAATACTTTTTTCTAGAGAAACAACTCTGGCTTATGTCATTCTTGGATTCGTCTTTAATTACGTTTTATTCACAAACGGCGTTTATTAGCCTTGAATATTTACAAAGGACCCGCACACTCTTATCCCTCAAGTACTTTTAACCTCATTAAATTACTTCAAAGAGTTGAATCAAAAAAGAGAAAAAAAAGACAGGAAACGAATCGCATACTCGCCTAAGCTGCTGAAATATTCGAGACCACAGAATAACTGACACAAGTTTCACCTAAAAGGTTTGAAACTGGCAAGACTCGGAAAAATTCATTCTTATGGTCTGTAACGCGTGCATATCAAAGGCTATCAATTGTTAGCATAAGCTTCTTGTCAATTAGAGTTTGAGTGCAGTTTTCGAATGCCAATGTTCTAATATTCGCCTTGTATAAATAAAATTTATCTCGTCTTTGATTTAAGGCGGCATTAAAGAACGTAATCCAAAGTTTCGAATCCTTTCCAATCAACTTTTTTCCTGTTAATCCAGCGAGATACGGTAAACATCTTATATCATAATCTCGCCGCGCTGAGCGCACCACCACCTTATTAAGAGGGTATGATGATTTTCAGAGGTTGTCACAGTCCTTTGCTAAGTAAGCAAACTTCAAAACTAATTATCCACAAGAATCTAATTCATATAAAGGGTAAATAATGTTCTCTCTCAGATACCGCAGAACTGAGCCGGAATGATCTCGTCATGTCATGGAATATTTAACGATTAATTCATGAGCGCGCGTTGGATGCAAGATGGTAAATTTGCCGAGCTGGTGAACCAAACAAACTCACAGCCGATCACTTCTTAACCGAACAGAACTCAGAAATTAAATGATATCATGGCTAGATTTGGCAAAAACACACCGATACTTTTTCTTTCCAAGAGTAACGAAAACCGACGAATCAAACCCAAAATACAGCGAGGAACGCCGAAGCTCTCACGTATACGCTATTCCTGTTCGTCTGGCATGCTAATCAAGGCGAAGAATAGTCATTCAGGGAAAATCTTTGACAAGAAGCAATATCATTATATATTTTTACATATTTTTTAAGATCACACACCTCCTGCGCAGGTCTCGCCACAAGAAATTTAATAGTCGAGGTTGATTCGTAGACTAATGGTTCAATGTCACTGAGATGGGTCACAGGAACATCGTTTATCTGTGAAAAGAAAGAAACAATGTTTTTCATACAAAATCTTACGGACCAACATTTTTAGAGAGCAGTATTCGGTTAAGTACAAAAGAGTATAGCTAAATGTGCCATCACATTTTGTAGCCACTCCACTAAAGCATGCGCGTTTTCACGCACATGCTACACGCGCATGCTACACGCGTATGCTTTCGTGGACACCATGATCTCGCTGGTGCTTCAAACGAGATTCTTATTTCGATTAACTATTAAGAGAGTTATACCTTTAAAACTGTATCGCACAAAGTCAATCTTCCATCAAGGTACGCAACGGACCCAGGTTCAATCTACAGGAAAAAGAAAGTAGTACGCATTTTTCGTTACGTTGATTTCCCTGCTCGAACGGTTCCAATATAACTTAACCCTTTAACTTCCAGAAGTGATTAACGAGTAACTTCTCCCTACAATGTCCATGCACCATTCAGCAAACAGGCTATGAGATCTAACAACAAATTCTCTTCACTTATTTACAAGGAAATGTTTCGCAGCAGGAGGGGAGGATTAACAATCAGATCTTGGGAGTTGAAGGGTTAAATTAAGCTTCTCTTCCACTGCCCCCTTTGGGTCTAAGTACGAGACGCTTAGCATAAGTACTTAGGATCGAAGTTCCTCAGTGTGGCAATATGTTGTGTTCGTGTGTCATACAGATTACTTTCCCAGTGCCCGTTTACTTCAAACAGGAATATAAATAAATATTGACCACAGCGGTGGACTGATATTCCGTCCATGCGGGGGAAGAAAACAATCTCCCTATTCGCTCAATGGCATTGTCAACCGGTCTTCAGATAAACGCGCACCTCAAATGTGGGGGTGGGGATTTCAAATGTACGAAAAAGTAATTTTGATCTCCATATGGGCATCATGAATGTAAAGAGGGGCTCAAAGAGTACAACGATACAAAAATGTTGCTGTTAGGTGTAAACTTGACAAATTTTAACCGTAATGCGTAAGAGCCAACACCCCATTAAGACCCTCTGTAAAGGCGAAGGTAAAGAGATTCCAAAAGTGTATCCGAACAGTTTCTCTGTAAGACAGAATGAATGTCTGGGAAATAAAGCGTAACTCGATCCAACACTGACAAACTAGATCAGAGGTCCTGCTTTGTCAAGCTAATAAGATTTCTCCGTGGGTGGCTGCGCGAGCTCTTTTTGTGTTTTGTTAGGACTTAACAAGATTTGGGAGACCGCTAATTAACACATTATTCTTTGTGCGCACTAAAAAGGATAGTGGATTAAATAAGATACCCTTGTCTGGGTAAACAAAGACACGGAGACAGAAACACATTCTGACAGATGTCTGCCGGGGCACCACAGAACCGAGCCTCCAGTGGTAGCAAAGAACACGAAGATGAATTTCTGTTTTTTTTGCGCTTTTGTTTTGTTTGTTTGTTTGTCTTTTTAAAGTAGGAAATCAAACAGGACAAGTTGAAAACCCTCATCCCCCTGTTTATGCATGTGAATTACTTTACTAGCTTTTAATGTACGCACGAGCACGTTCTTTACGAAATCACGTAATTATTTCAACTAATGGACAACCCTGCGTACATAGTGATTTAATCAAAGGCTTGCGTTTTTTACCCAAGGGTTTCCTCGTGATTATGAAAAGTATTAAGCTCCGTCTAACTTCAAAAGTACTCTGTATGTCGAGCAGGGCACTAAACACCAACCAAACGATATATTTTTGTGAGTTTAACTTACTTCGCACACATAGACTGTAGACTCGTCTTCTTCGGCGCAACAGAATGTTAATCCTAGATCTCTGTTTGCTATCCAGAGAGTTATTTCCTTAAAGAAATAAATAAACAAAACTTTAATCTAACAATATTTACATAAGGTTGAGAGTAACATAGGATTGCACTTGAGGCCCCGTCTCTAAGAGGTTTCGCATGTATTTCTCTCAGCAACCAGGAATTCGTAAATCGCGCTTTCGCGCGCTTAGGACTGGCTAGGTGTGGTTACTCCGAGAGCTTTTTAGATGCCCCTGATAATTATCGTTGTTTCGATTAGCTGATGTTAAAGCTTTTGTGTTTATCTTCCAACTCCTCAAAATTTTTGCAGCACCTCTATTTTATGCGCTAAATCGAGGTTTTAGAAGGAATGGACCATCTATACCAAGCAGTCAGTCAATGAGTCAGTAAGACAGTCGGTGAGACAGACAGTCAGTCAATCAGTAAAAGTCCGTCAGACAGTCACTCAGTCAGTCAGCCGGTCAACCAATACGTCAGTCGTTCAATTAGATAGTTACTCAGTCAGTCAGTCTGACAGTCAGTGTGTTGTCAGTTGAGTCAATAACCCAGTCGGTCAGTTCAACCGTCGAGCGTGTGATCCAACTTTTCACAAAAAACGTTTAAACTGATCTACAACTTGCTTATCAATAATACACGATGGAAAACAAAAACGAGGGTTGCAGAACGGTCAATATATCGGTGAAACGATCGTTCGGGTTTTACAAACTAAATAACGTTACCTCGTATTCGTAATCAAACTCGGGATCGAAATAAATCTCGTCGGAAACCGCTGTCACATAGGGCTGAGACTGCAAATCACAGCTTGAATTCTCATCGACGTAACGTACGTAATTAACATCCTTCACAAGTAGATTGACGCGGGGCAATGTTCCTTGCTCGCTGCCAACAATGTTTTCTGAGCTTGGCAAACTCTCACTTGTTGAGCGGAAATTTTCTACATCTTCCCTACAGAATGACTCTATCCGACGGTGGGAACACTCCGAGCTACTCGTTCCGTCGTCAAGGGATTTCTCAAACGGAATAAGCAAGTCTTGTCTAGGGCTGTATCGATCATGGATTCCGCTGTCCGTATCCACGTTTTCCATGTCTTGGGAGAGAAAAAGTTCTGTTTGTGTTCCTGTTGAAGTTAGACAAGGTACACAGTCGACGATGGAGTCGATGCACTTTCGCTTCACTAGAATACTCAGCGGTTCCGAAGCGGTCTTGATGACTTCTACAGCTGTAGCGTGACTGACCTCAGTCAAATCGATACCATTCACCTGAGATCGAGACAAGATCAACATTTAACTTTTGTTTATCGAATTTCTCGCTTCTTTGAGAGCGGTTCAGAAGGACGGAAAGAATTCTAGAATAATTTTGTTGCAACTAACGACAAAATCGGTACTCTCCATAGCAGCCGTTTTTGCTGTGTCACGCAACGCTCTTCGAAAAGAGAGGAAGCTTGGCGTGACATGCCAAAAGGCGGTTGCTTAAGGGAATAGTCCTGGATACATCACACCTCTGACTAGGAAAAAAAAAACACAGTGGAATACGCGTCACTGTGAAATATAACTCTCACGAGTCTTCACTGAACTTATCTTTTACTGTCATTAAAGATAACATTGCAAATTATAAACTGTCACTGATATAAGTAACGCGAATGAAATGCGCTGTCATTCGCGTCATTTAATACACATCAGAGAGTCCATCTGATGTCAAGAAGTAACATCCGCGAACTTAGTGCATGTAATGTTTACATGAAAACGATATCGACGAGAGAATTTAATAATTCGTCTCCAGTGTTTAATTCACTCCAGGCTTATAAGAGTGTCCATTAAAAATGTTTGACCCACTGTTGCGAGGGGCAGGTGGAATAAAATTACCAAATGGAATAAATTGGGAACGTATGTGTTTGAGAATATATATCCATTTGTACGCTTTTAGCGTTTCAACCTCAGCTTTACGCATCACACGATCGGTCACAGCACAGTTGACTTCAAATTTTTCTTTTAAAAAAAGTTTTCCTGTACTCTCTAAGAACAACTGTCAACTGAACTGTTAGATGTTTTGCATTCTATGGAAATGACGCTCTAATTTCGGGGTGTACGAATTAACTTTTCACTATCAGTACATCGCCGAGCATAAATGCAATCAGAATTAAGTAAACTAACAGCTTGGGTGTATTATTTGAATTCAGACCAAATTTCTAGCAGTAAAATTAAAGGAAATGACTAGCAGACAGGAATTAATAATGAAATAAGGGGGAAAAAGTTTCAGACAATGGCGAGATGTTCATTTTAGCATAACACTGTCGCCTAAATCTCAAGCCTGGTGCTTTTCATTGGAAATCATTCCAGAAACACGGACCGGCTAACAAGATTGCTAATGTACAGAGTTTAATTCTACTTTCGGCTGACTCTGTAAAACGAATCGACTGACGAACGGAGAAATGAAATATCCATAATATGCTTGCCATGTTTACGTCATTTACAACCATCAATTAAAACCACATCCTGTAAGTTGTAACCACAAAGAAGTCAAATTCCGTATGGTTACTTCAACGAAACACTCGCAGTCTAAGATGGAACAAAGACTTGTCTCTATGCTAATGAAAAGTTTTTGCGCCCTTATCATCGGTTTTTCTGATTCGGTCGAAGGCGAATCTTATCTTACAGTTTCATTATCGCCTTGCGACTTTACAAAGCTGAGTTTTCACTTGCAAAATATACGTTAAACGATATTATCCAGCTTATAACTAAGAACCATTCATACTGATCGATTAAGAGAGATAAAGGGGAACCATTTCAATATGTCGCTCGTATCAGGAAAGATAGCGAATGGCTTCTTATGACGAAAAGAATGCACAACTGATAAACTTTCGCTGATAGGAGAAATTTAAGCACACCATTTTAAACCATTTAAATGATGCTTGTAACTTTGCTTTAAGACGCTATTTTCGAGAGGAAATTGTTTCGAAACAGATATAAACATATTTCCAGCCTTGCCTCTAAAAATACATCGCGTCGGGGTTTGGTTTACCCTGTTCGAAGTGGTAAAATTAGATAATCTTTCTGTTTACATAGGGATTGCAGTCGAATAAGGAGGTTTAGAAGACAAGTTAGCGAATTGCTGGAAATCTGAGTTCAATCGAAAAATTGAACAACTGCTAAATAAAAGCAACAAAACAAATGAAATAAAAAAAATAACTACAACAAAAAAGGTATGAACACCTTGTCCAATGCTTTGCCATGGCAACCGAGGTGAGGTATATTCATTTCAGGACAAAGTTGTATACACGGTTACGAATTTTGAAAAATAATTTTTTTTCTAAATTTGCAATCAACCAAGGAAAATTAAACGAAAACTGTAATAAAAAATCGAGTTTAATTGAGTTTTTTGTTTTATCTATACACGTGATAACAAAATGAAGTTTAAAAACGAGCCTTGCACCAAAAAAAATTTAATAACAACGAAAAAAGTGGCCTCTTTTTCTTAAAATATTAAAATAATACAAAATTATATTTAGCAATCTAAGTAGTTTTCAGTTTTCTTAATAAACTGTAGGATAAACCTTATTTAACCAAAGTTTGGTTCAAAATGGATCTGAAATTCTCTTACCCGAGCCGAACGGTTTACAAATTTTTTCAGGCGTAAAACGTTTTAGGAATATTCACGGAATATTCGGCGATGTAAATGGGGTCTTTACTATGTCGTGACATTAAAATATTAAATTTTGAGAGGTTATTTCTCTGTTTGTCCTATAACAAGAACGAAAAAGCGGATGAACTCAAGTTAATGTCAATATTTTGTCTTGTTATTAAAAAATTAGGATCTTTCACTAATGCACAGTTCCTAAGGTAATTAATATTTTTGCATAGGCAACAAACACATCTTCTCTCCGAGAAATAGGTAGCTTCAATATAACTTTTACAAATACACGAGGCAACTTTCACATTGCATAAAAATTATACCATGAACTAATGTAATCAGAGTGAAATTATTGTCCATAGATGTTTCAAATATCTATTACGAAGGTAACAAAATAACATGGATTTTCAATTAATATAATAAAAGTACACCGAAAAATACTATTTTGAATAAGTCAAATATATTTTTCTGAAATAAAAAAATCTGCTTAAGGCAACGTAATTCTCACGCCCAAAATATCCTGAAGAAACTAATTTTTGCGACAAACATAGACTACATTTAAATAAGGTGAAAAAGCATTTGTCGAAAAAAGCTGTCATTAGGATAATGAAGCGAACTTAAAATATATTCGTTCTACAATATTTTTTTGCGCGGTTGATAACCAAAGAGGTAAAAATCCAAAATTTAGTTCTATTCTTCACCGACAACAAGTTTATATCAGACCGGTTTCAAGGGGTCGACCAACTTCACGGAAGAAAAAATTGCTCATTACATAATGACAAAGAAAACGACAAGCTTGCTTTCCGCAGTCTCGTGTAGATTACACCTGCTCAACACACTTATAAATAATGCAAAATAATTCTGCTGGTGTTCTTAAAATCCAATTTAGAACACTTAGTTTGAAATTTAACAACCTTTACCCTTTCAAATCCACCACTTTCGAAATGAATTTTGACTCCGAAATTATCGCAAAATTGGCACGCATTTCTTTGGTCCGCAGCTAACGACTTGTTCATCGTAAAATTAACAGGTTTCTTTTGACAAGCTAATCGTCTGTCTGCCACTCTACTCTAAGTTATTTGTTGATATCAATTCCTTGAATAACTCGTTCGTGTACATATCGCTTAGCATCATCGTTTGTATTGCTTCGCAAGACAAAGTGATTCTCTACACATTAAATAATGGCAGCTTTCATCGTTCCGAAATTACAGAGAAAGTACTGCCATTTAACACTAAAGGGTCATATTTTCTTTCTTCTAATTTCTCCAACGAATCCGTCTGCTGTCAAATTCTAGCAATAAAGTCTTCACTTTAGGTAATGAGTATTTTAAAAAGATTCTTTCTTTACAAACCGATTCCACTTCATCTTTGAGCAGATATAAATAACAACTTCCCTAGTCCATACAATTTTCAACATAGGGAGTTTATTTGATTTAACTGCATCTTGTATATCCTTTCTGCTTCATCGCATTTGATACCACTCAAATATATTCTACACCCAAATATCATGCGGTTTTCTTTTTACTTCGAAAATTCTACATAATACGTAATTGGCTTTTCTCAAATGACAGGAAATTTTAAATGAGTTCCCCAACATGCCTCTTTTAAAAAGAGACTACATTTCTGGATCGCCTATTCCCATGCACAATCCCTTTAAATTTTTTGTTTCACGAAGCAATAACCATCTGTTACGACAAAGGACGGCCAATATCGTAACGTAGTGGGTTAAATAATTTTTAGCAAATGCACCGCTAAATATTAATCCAAGCCGACTTTAATCTTTCAAACGAAATCACAAAAAGCTCTAAAAAAATCCAGGCAACAGTATTTCGCCACAATACAAGCAACGACAATGCATTTGACAAACTTTAAGGGATTAACGGCGAGACAGCGTGAAACAATCTACATTTCATAAAAAATTCACAACTTGATTCAATATGTTGCTAACAAGAAACCGGGTGATATTCAAATTTACTTTAAAAACCCTCCCATACAGTTGCCAATATAAAACACCGATTAATCTTCAGATGACGGAAAATCTTTGATGACTCTCCATGATTGATCTCGAAGCAGTATCAAAGGAAATGGTATTTCGAAAATTTTATGCTAGCTCAATACAAACAAACCATTCAATTACCGAAAAATAGCGAGTTTAAAAAATATAAACGCATGTGGTAAACTTTTTGAGGAATAGTTTCGGTCTCCTTAAAAAAAAAAAAAAAAAAAAAAAAAAAAGCAATATAGGTCATCTTAACACTTGACAACTTTATAAACAGAACACTTTTGTCGCATTACAAGGGTTCATTTATGGCTGTAACAGAATGTTGATGTTCTTTGTATTAACGTTAGCAAAAAGCCGTCCATTGCAGACATTGAGGAGTTTTCTCTTTTAAGTGTCGGATAATGGAAAAATACTTCATATTACACTATGTTGTCCCTGTTTAACGTTGTAACACTTTACAAAAGGATTAAAATATTTACTCTGTGTGTCTCCGTAATGCCTTGCATAACACGAAGAGGTTAAGGCTTTTGCAACGGAAGTTCCCCTCCAAAGCATAGTTGAGTGATGAAAGATTCTTAAAGTTTGATATTTCACCGCGAGAACTGATATGACAGAAATAACATTCCCGACTAAAATCGCTTTAATTGACTCCGGTTAGACAACAGTTGCCACCAATTCAGACGTGGTCAAAATACGCTTTTGTCTTAAATTGATTTCTGAGAATAGACAGTTTTTCGTTGCAGGAAAGATAGCCGAATTTAAGAGGGAATGTCGACGAGTTTTCAGCTTAGCTTAGTTAGATGCGTGCTTTAGATTCCATTACCGGAAAGTGCATTGATTCACTTGCGATTCCGTGAAATTTAAGCTAAGAAAGTCCACTCGTTTTTTCTGAGGAATAACAGACATGTTTTACGATTGAAAGGTATGGGCAAAGTATTCGGCCGCGATCCTGAAACGCTGTTAGGTGCTTCAGTAACATCAAATTAATCCATTACAGTTGTTTTTTGACCTTTAAAGCGGCAAAAATGACAATCAAAAGAAATCTAGAGTTAAATCCGTAAACTTATACTGTATTTCTTCACAACCGTGCCTTAAAGGCAGTTTTCTGAGACAAAAACCGGTAGATATAAATTAAAGATTACTTCTATTTTTCTCCAGCCACAAATCGACAAACTCAAGTCTCGCCTAGGGTTACGAAAGCGGTTTATCTTCTATTGTTATCGATCTCCAACTAATATCTGGAAACCCAAAATATACTTTTTATATTGTTCAACTGACAGATCAATTTCCGATAAACGCCTTTTGAAAAGCACAGCGAGAGCTGAACTTTTCCCACACAATGCATCCTTGCCTTTGTCTTATTTATTTGGACGGAGCAGGTGGTCAAAAAACACACAGAACCAAATTGGAACTTTGCTTTTCTTATCGCAGCCAGAACGAAAGGCTCCATAAGACCCTCGCGTGACAGCGAAATGGGTTCCCACTGAGACTAAGAGATTGACAATTCACATGGGGCCCGCGTAGCGAAGACATCTATTTTCCAACTGTGGTAAATGCACTTTGGCAGACAAATGCGACTATGATTTACTGCGAAAGCGCGTGAATTATACATTAAGCACGCGGTGAGGACTATTGAAATACAACAGAGCGAAAAATAAACAGTAAAGTGGCTTTTTGAGCTCCTCAATTCGACTCCTTGTGAATAACAATATAGTAATCTTTGAAAGCTATTTAAACGTCGTGAGCCGAAGGGTTTCGAGTTTGCTGACATCAAACGCTTACGACGGGAAATCCAGTTCGTTTAGGATGAAGTCCGATGAATATAGCCAAAGTTAAAAGCCAAATTTGTTTACAAGGGGTAATAAAGAAAGTAAGAGTCCCTGTTCTTCTCTAGCGGAAGCAGATGGATTGTTAGTTACTTCATTAATCCGAGAGTTGACAGTCGGAAATCTACAAATACGCTGAGCTAAATTACCATCAATTCTCAGTAAATAAATCCATTGCAAAGAACTCTGCAGCAATGTTTAGCCGAACAGAAGAACAACAGATCACTGTTATGGGTTTGCAAAGTAGGTTATCGAGACAATGAGGAGATTTAATAATGAAGCGCGGCTCCGAACGCGAAAGTATTTGATACGATTGAAAAATCAACACGACGCCATGTCATGCAATCAGTTATGAAAAAAGAAGCCATCTCGAAAAACACGCGCGAGAGAGATTTTATTGAAAGGAGGCGGGTTGTAAAAAATCTCACATATTTTACCTTCAAGATCACGTCGTAAATTTTCAGGCCGTCTTCCTTCGAGGCTGGCCCGCCGTCTGCGACCTTTGAGACCACAATTCCTCCACCAACTGAATTGTTTCCGACCTGATAATGGGGATAAAAAGAAAATTCTATAGCTCACTTCTAATCCTAACAAAGACACGTAGTTCACTAGGTGGAATGTAAGGTAACAGCATCCGAACTTTCCGCGCGTTTCAAACAATGCGGGACGCAAACGCGCGTGGGTTTCTACAGCATGGTCAATGAAAATTTCAAATAGACAAAAGTGGGGCTATTTAATTCACAACAACGGCTTCCAGCCGTGTTTACGAGTACATTCTTTCAAAGACTACACAAAACAAAACAAAGAACAGTTGCATTGAAAAGGTCTTTCTTCAGGGATTCTATCTATTGCTCGGCTGCTACCACAAACGGGGGTTCATGATTCAACTGTGCTTAACGTGATAACAAAATAATACGACTTTGATAAGGTTTTAGTTGGGCGCTAATCTTTTTACGTATCTCGCATCACATGCCTGGGCGAGGACGGTTGCACACCATGATAGAATGTAAAGAGTCGCAAAGAAAACACAACGGTAGACTGATAGAAAATGATGCGCGCAGTTTGTATGTTGAGAACCTGTCGAGCGTCGGTCACTAGTTTCGAACGCAAAAAATGATTTGTTTGCGCGACAAAAACGGAATTCTCAAGCAAGTGACAATTTTGAGCATTAGGCCTGTCTAAAATAACTAATGTTGTATACCTCTGTGCCTCCCATGATATTGAACCCAAGCGAGCCACCGTCCCCACGGACGAGTGATATTTCGACCTCATTCTCGTCGGCGGTCTACAAGAGCAAAGACAACTCAGCCTCACTGATATTTGTAATCAAATGCGTATAAAAATCGCATAATATTCGCTCGTGTCTGTTTACTCATAACTCAATAAAGTGTCGCTCACCGTGGCAAGAAAAACAGTCTGGTGTCGAAGTAATGGCCCGACTCGAGCCAAACATCTTTCACAGTTCCAAGCGCAAGTTATTGAACGATTAGTGCCATGCGTCAACTTTCATGTCAAACTTGAAATATTTTTGGATCGCGCGCTCTGTCTGTTAAAATTTACGTCGCAAAGAAGCGTGTTCGTGTCCAGCGTCCAAGGTTTCCTAAGAAGTATCGTTAGAGTCGATGTAGCTCCAACAGCGCACACTAATTGATCAAAACGATCTGGGTATTGATCTAGTAGAGTCACTGCACGTTCATAAACACACAAGCCATTCTGCGGTTTATACCTCAAATCAAACATTTCGCTACGTATAGCTAGTGCGCGCTCAATTGGAAAATGTAAACCAAACATTGGCCCGATTGGGCTAATTTCAACGTACCTGGTCACAGCGCACATCAGCCTTCTTCTGAAAAAAACCCACTTGTAAGCGGTACTCTTTTAATTGCCTTTCGAAGTTAAGCACCTGAACTTGGTAGCTATGAAGTTCATTTTCCAGATTTAAAATTCTATCTTGATTGGCCTCCTCTCTCCTCGCTATCCTCTCGCAGGCCAATTCCTTCTCCTGCTCCGCCCTTGTCAATTTCATTTGAAGCGAAGCGACTTGAGTTTGAAGGGCCTTTATGCAGTCATGTGTGGAGGAGTCTTGGTACAGCAATGGTAGACCACAGCCATTCTCACAGACAACAACTCGAGCGAATTCGCGAGTTTCCGGGGAGTTAGCATTGCGTTCCATAATTTTACCTCCGGAAGTGTTTCCCTTAGAATAGTGACATTTTAAAAGATGTGACTGAATATTTTCTACGTGTAAAATGGCTGGACAGCCTCGGCGAAAATTCTCACAACGAATATTTTGCTTTGCGATCAGACTACAGAGCGGCAGAATCTTCTTCAAATCCTCGACAGAAATCTGTTCGCAAGTGAGTGGACATGATCCGCTTTCGGCTGCCCACTGAATTATACACTGGGCACAAAAAACGTGGCCACATGGGGTTGCCAAGGGCTCCTCTAGTACGCCGAAACATATTCCACACTTCAAATCATCATCAACTGGTTCCAAAAACCTATCCACGTCGAACCCCATACTAGTCCCATCGAGTATAGAGGGAATCACAGAGAATGCTTGATAATCGATACGCTTCGTTCTTTTGAACTTTGCGACAAAATAGAAAGGCGGGGCTAGAAACCAGATCACGTCAATGACAATGGCTGTCAAATAGATAGGCGCGCGCTGATTGGGTAACGGGTCATTGCTCATGTTATTTTCGGGCGAACGGCACCGCTCTCCCGCGTATGGCGCGAAATCAAAACATAGATTTTCATATCACGAGAATTCGGAAGTCACGGGGAAAGAAAAAAACGATTATTGGGACATCGATATATGTTATTCCGAAAAAATCTGTGATTTCACTTACACAAAAGAGAGATTCGTGCAATTATTTTCATTATTTCCACGTGTTCCCAAGAGAGTTTTGAATCTTTAAACACTAGTTAGCTATTGTTATGCTGATTAGAGGGTGAATATGATTTTTTTTTTATCGTAGCTGTCAACTGCTCGGAGCGGTTTGAAATATACAGGTAATTCACTTCCTGCAAACTTGCGCCGAAATCAAAACAAATTTCGAAGCGAATTTCTTAAGGGAGGTTATCACAATTTGTCAACTTCATGCGGAGAGGGATTTCAATACAAAAGCTTCATTTCTCCTCCCGCTGCCAATTTATGGTCAGAGAAGTGGTACGGTATTTCCTACTCCGCAGAAAAAAATAAGTAGCGTTTGGCGTTGACTAGTCTCAGAGTTTATTAACACACGCGCCGTTTCCTTTGAAGCTCGACTGTAACTTTGTGAAAGTGATAATTGTAAATATTGATGTAAACCGCTGAACTTCACCCATCACGTACATACACCATATAAAAAGCTTGAAAATTCGCGCTTTGCACATTTGATTGAAACGAGTCAACGACCTTCTCTGTTTTTTTCATTTTTACAGTCGTAAAAGGGAGACCAGAACGTGAAAAGCAAATGCGATTAAAATAGACGAGCAGTGAAAAACAGCATTTGGGGAGACAAAAGTCCTATTTATTGTAAAAAATTTTTGAATAGCTTAATTTGCCTTGTGTTTGGTTAATACTGCTCAATAATCACTTCTTCAACTAGTTTAGATTCATAAAGAACTCGCCGACACAATTAGACAAGTTACCAATCTTTTCAACTCGTTTAGTAGTCATTTCAGAGCACCAATTGTTGTTTTTTTTCTTCCGAAAGCAGCTGATTCCTACGTGTTGAGGCGAGATTGTGAAACGATACTAGCTTTGCTCTCTGTTAAACATTTCTGATGCGCTTAAAATCACTTACGGTGCACGTTCGCTAAGCGCGTATGTACCGCTTTCTATTTATTTTCGTGCCGAGATATTTTAAAAGCGGCACATCGTCAATTTCGTTTGATGTTCAGAGAGGAACAATGATTTCTTTTACGCTCGTTCAAAAGGGGACGATCGCTTAATCTCGGCATTTGTTTGGCCCAAACGCATCGATTCAATAGCACCAATTACCTTCTAAGTAAGAGAAAAGATTGGAAGCGCTTTTTCGCTTCGGGCACAAGACAGTATTGGTTCGTTCGGTAAATAAACAAGTGCCGTATTGAACGACAAGGCGATAATTTATGCCTAGGCGGAAAATACCTCAAAACACCGCGACAGCTCAACTTTTATTGCCCTTCATTAAATAAAACATGAAAACAACTGTATCTATCAAAGACTAGCATCAGTAGAGGAGAAAAACATCAACCAAAGGCCAATTATGTTTGATTGTTGAAAAAGAAAAAAACTGAGCAAAACAAATGTTTATGGTTAGTTAGTATCGCCTTCCCAAAGCAAATTTATTCCTCTCTGCTGTAATTAGCGATGGTTAGCCAGTAAGAAAGAGTTGCTTCAAATACTAGCATTAGCTCGCCCTTTCTGATCCCATGGATTTGAATAATTTTACGATCAACTGAAAATAGTGGTACTTATTTTGAATCACGCAAGAAATCCGGAAACAAGAGTCGAGACTTGTGAGCATGGACTTAGTTTATATCGCGTGGATTCCGCTCGAATTTGACAATTACCACACCAAAATAGCGTGCATCACAGCGTTTGAAAGTATAAACGCCTTAGCGTTAATGCCAAAATCTTCTTGCAAAATTATCAAAAGCGGGGCTTCCGTGAAATCATTTCACAGAAGGTCGGTTATCATGTGTAGATAACAGCACTAGAAAAGAAATAATGATGCAAAAGCAGTTATTTAGCTAAGAGGAAAAAAATTCATTGAATAGATTGTTCGGATATGTTTGTTGTAAGTACTCTGATCATTGAGTGTCCAAATAGACTGTAACGACGAAACACGAAAAACTTTCAGAGAGCCTTTCATAGGAGTCACCAGAAAGAAAAAAATATCAGGAAAATATGCAGAATCGATGCGAGTTAAAATTCTCTTAAGCGACATGCGTTTGCAACGAAAGTTTCCATTCACCAAACTCGGTTTGACTGCGAATCACGCGATGTGTTTATTCGAGACAGAGATGAAGTTCTGATTTGAGGGCGTGATTTGCACCTATTGTCTCTCAAATGAAGTTTCGCAGTCGATAAAAGGCTTTGTAGCCCAAATATCAATCCCCTTAGCAAAGACGGATTATAATTTGGTAAAGGTCCTTTTAAAATGAAACCCAAATACTAAACATTGTGTGGTTTCAGTTACCGTGGGGGCAAGTTTTACTTGCACTGAAATAGATTTACTACCGTAAGAATAGCGAGTGCTGAGGAAGTGTGTCGAACTGATCAAAAACAGGCCATTTCTCTGATGGTGGTCACTGTGAGCGATATTGCATCACGTCGTGTAGATCATAGCAAGAAATTGTTGTTTTCCAAACTAATCATCAAATCTGTCTTCTATGGCCTAATTGCACATCTGTGTAATTAAGCAACTCTTCGTTCTCAACTCGGGAATTTCCCATGTTTTGTAAAGGACTGATTCTGTCCGAGCCTGCACCCTGAGTGATGCTTATCTCCAATAAAATATGCAATACGTCAACGCATACAAAGAAAGTAAGCTTCTTGATTCAAAGCCAAACCATTTGGCCTGACCTTCAGCTAATAAGCAGGCATTTTGACGAAAGGAAAACTCTTAAACCATAATAGAGATATTAAACCTGTAAACTTGAGAGAAATAAAACACGCGATGGGATTAGAGTTTCGCCCTGTAGGAGGCCTGATGGAAAGTCAGACTTCTGATAAGAAAGTAATTGCTGAAGTTGTTTTCGTCATCTTCAGAGAAAAGGGCGGATTTGTTCAGTGCTGATCTCCTGGGCAAAGACGCTATATAAACAAGGAATTAATTTTTTCCGCGTTTAAATGTTTCGCTATCCTCTCAATTTTTCTCTCTTGGAGAAATGGTGTCTTTAGTTTTAAGGTCATGAAATAAACAACGATTTAATGACAACGAGATTTGCGCCTCAATCGCCCCAAACCAGATTTTCTCCTAGTCTAGCACCAAACCCCCCACTTTCACGGAGCAATTAGTGAAGTTTCAAGACAAAACCTGCCGCTTATTTCTTTCTTATCACCAATTTGACTCTGCAAGAGGCTAGACGTTCAAAAAAAGTCTTTGTGCAGAGACAGACAAATTTATGTTTGCCGCTAACGGAATTTAAAACAGAGGCGGCTTTGTAAGTAGTTATCAATTTCACTTGCCCACAGGTAATCACCGAAAACGTTTCGCTCTTGCAAAGAGCCTTCGTTGCTATAGCAATTCTCTGGGAAAGGGAAATATTAAGATAGAACATTCTGACCGATCGATCGTTTGCGGTTGAAAATTAAAATTGGTTCAAATCCAAAAATCTGTCTTCGATTATAAAATTCAACCACATTTCCGGATAATTTCAAAGAACACTGTTTTCTAATAGCATTATTTTTCCTTATGCCACCCACGCCCGAGACAGTTGTTTTGAATATCATCAAGTTATGGTCGTTCGCCTTTTGAATGAGAGAGAATTCTCGGAGTTGAAAATGAATATTTTACAAGGCTTTTAAGCTCAGATGTCTTTGAGACACGACATTTGAAAGATCACAGGCACCGAGAAAAGACAACAGAGGGGTTATTAGTTTATTAGCTTATCTCTCCATCAGTCTGTCCTCATGACCGACAAATTTCCTGATTGCTAATGGCTGAAAACAGAAGAAAACTTGTGTAATGAAACAGAAATACAAATTGGCATGAAATGTTTGATCAGGAAAGCTGAAATTTATTTTTTACATTAGCAGTAGAAACGATTAGTTTAGCACCGTGTTAAGCGATGCGAGCCGAAAGAGTATTTGCTTAAGATCAAAATCACTTCTTTTTCATTGAACGGAAATGACGAGTAAACAAACCGACATTTTGACAATGGCATCGGCCGCGAAATAACATTAAGCCGCCAAAAAGCGGAGCAAAGCTTTCCGATGCGAAACATTGTTGCCTATTTCTTTGAAGCTGGGCAGATGCAAGTTACTATCAACCCGCCGCGTTAATTACTTCTTTACTTGGAAATTTGCGAATTCACACTTCTCCGGTTAGAAAGAGCACCGCAAGCACGGTTTTCTCTTGTTAAGGAAAACTGCGGCGAGCATGAAGAAATTGGCTTACTGAGACCTACAATCGGTGGGCGTAGTCCGCAACACTTTGCTAACGGAAAAATTAGCATACCAAAAGGAGATGACAGTTTCATTAATCGAGAAAACACGAACTTTTTTTTTCTTATTTAAGAACGGCTTTTCAAAATCACAGAGCTCGCTCGAATGACGGAACTTTTAACCTCCAAACGCGGGATGTGATAATTAGGTATGTTACAAACTATTCATCGTGAAGGACGGCTAAGTAGAGAGCAATAGACCCTTTAACCTCCTCACAGATTGTAAACAACCTCGCCTAGAGGTCATTGATGTAAAACAAAAGGCTTCAATACATCAGGAATAACAAAACTGAAAAATTCAGTTGGCGGCTTGATAAAGAATTCGACGTTTAGTGATTTTATTCCGCAGGAGATCTTGCTCTTTCTTCACAAAAGCGACAAGATGCATGTTTTTTTTTCGGAATTAAGATTTCACTGTTTTCTTCCTTTTTGAAATGTCAGATGTAGCCGATTGCAGTGCGATGTTTGAAATGCAACACAGTGATCGCTGTAAAATTAAAATTAATTATTTCGGCAAACACTTGCAGTGTAATTACCAATTTTAAATTAAAGCTCGCCGGTACTTGCTTTAGGATGGTAATATTAACGAAAAGTAAAATAATGAAGAAAAAAAAAAAAAATATATATATATCAATATGCAGAAAGAGGCAAATGACTACAGCCGACGTGCCTTTTAGACTTTATTAACACGTTCCATCAGCAAAAAATGTACATAAGAAGTAATTTCTTTTTATAGAAATTGCTTTGAAACCAAACACACTGGAAGTAAAATAAATAACTCATCGGACATCTTCGCAAAAGATCAAATGGAGTCTTAGACATTGTCTATGCTTGAGTGTTTTGATTCCATTACACTCTGCAAGTTCAATTTCAAATTGGTAACACTAAATCATGAGCTAAACAAGCTAAGAAATTTACAGTCGGCGTGTAAATTTTAGCCACTCTCAGGACGCTTACATTGAAAACTAAGAATGTTTATTTGGAAGAACTCTCTTCCACTTTCGCCGATGCGTTGTCAAAAGCTAAGCTAAAATACGATTTTTTTGCCTTTTTAAGCAGATAACTGTTCCTACAGATCTAATAAATTATATTCCATTTGCAATTTGAAACTTCAAGATACCTCATTAAAAATTTCACGGTAAGAAAATACTGCAATCATGTCGAGATTCGATAAAAATATTTCTCCTCGTTTATCTCAAAAGCTTACTAGCGGTTTATAAGAAACACCTAATTCTAAAACTTATTTTAAAAAAGACTGAGAAATCTGCACTAAATATACGTTAGAGCATCTATACAATATCAAAGGTTTTACAAACCTGATAAGAAAGACAAGCAAAATTAATTGCTTCTCAAGGAAAAAAGTGGGATTTTTTTTTAATCTCACGGTTAACCGTGTTGTATTACGAAATAAATGTACACTTACGGCTACTAAACAAAACCATTTTCGAAGTAAGTTTTGATATCTTAAAAAAAACTAAAGGCTTATCACTCTAGCTAAATAAACGCTTGTTGAATTGGAGAGTTGTACAAGCTAGTAGTCTTTCATATCTAGTTGTCGAACCCTGTAAGAAAGAGGCAAGAACAGATAAATAAATAAATTATAATTGAGAAAATAGACAAGAAAATATTACAATGAAGACTGGTTCTAAATTGGGACGATATAAAGAAAAAGACATACGTTAAAAAATCGCTTAAACTTATATCAGTTACGATGAACTAAAAGGAAGTTAAAAACTTTAGCAGAAAAAAAAACTACTACTCCAAATGAAACTTTTGATTCAAGTTTCCATGCACTCTACTCAGACGTTCAGTATGAACGTTTTCTAACTTCACCATGAGCATTTGTCTTGTAGACTACAGAACTTGCTTCCTCCTTTTCAAACCGTTTATAATAGTGAAACTCTGATACAATCTCTTGTCATTGGTTAACAAACTGTCGAGTGGAAAACGATGCGTTTCACACTTGGTAAGAAACGATTCTTAAAAATTTTCGCGCTGATAAAATTTGAAAATGTACCCTTCAAGCTTTTTCCTCTGGACTCAATTTTCAGTTTATTTTGACACAAAATAAGGTAGCGTCTTCTCAGCCGCAAATACCGCAAGCCGCTTTCCCTAATCTAAGTAGTTTCTAATTTTAGTTTTCCAGAATCTGAACGGCCCAGGAGTAAAACATTGGAAGGTGAAGAGAACGGCAATGCGTGGAGGTTTGAGTCCACCACAACAACAATACGAATTTATGAGGGGTGGAGGGGGGCAAATTGCTCAAATATTTTGCTCAAATAGCATGAAATCACCGGGAAATATCTTTAATGGGTTGGTCAAGAGCGAATTTGAAAATTTATGTCTGGTTACTCGTGCAAGACCGACATGTTCCTTTGTAAATGACAATCCATTACCGTGACATGAACAATTTGAATAGCTTTGGAATTTAAGAATTGCAAACTACACTAAAATACCGCCATAGAGGAATTTGTTTTAAATAAATAAGCACTTGTCTTAATGGAAGGTTTCAATAAACGCACAGACGAACAATATCACAAACGACCAAGTTATCCTTCAATTTTGATTAACGACAAAAAGCAAGGTCCGAATGGAGCCATGGCAAACATGCACATGTTAACAAAGCTGACATAAAGCTGCAAGCTAAGAAGATTACAAGGTATTGGAAAGATTTATACGTACGAGAAGTATCATAAATTCGCGTAAGACAAACAAAAAGAAATAGAAAACCTGGCACAAAGTGAAAAAAAGCAGAAGGGAATTTCATGGAGGAAGCCGGCTTAATATCTAGAAAATTCTTAAATCTAGTCAGTCTAAATTTGTACACGAAAAAGCACGCTCGAGACACGAGATATAAAACGCACGTGCAAGAAATTTTTGACGAGTGAATATCAATTTTGCACGTTTTTGCTACGCTCTCGTCCATATTTGTTTATTGGGTATCAAAGCAATCATTACTCAAGAAGATTTACATCACAATACGTACGAACTGATCAAAATTGCTAGCGGGAAATATAACTATCGATTCACGAATGATTACTTGCATCAAAACATGAGAAAAGGGATGAGAACGAAAGGGAATTTTAAAAAGGAACTGAAAATAAATGTATCAGTATAAACTGAAAACAAATCATCGTGCTCACGACACGAGATGAAGGACAATAGTGGAAGGGATTTTGAGAAAGGAAATATTAGCTTTGTGCGTATTTGCAAAGCTCTGGCTTATATCAGCTAATTCGCCATTCAAAACAGCCTTGACTCACGTACATTCATGTCACAACACGTATAAATTGGTAAAAAAATTAGAAGAAAGATTAAAGAAGGAAATATTAATATCTAAGGAAGATTTGACTGAGCTAAGATAACCTTTTCACAAAACAATACCCCACGTTTTGGGGTATTTTTCAAGTTCAGGTACTTTCTACCAAAGGAAGTTGGAAGGTGAATCCTAACATAAAAGATTAAACTGCAATACAATAGGACAGCCCTAGAACTTTACTTTAGGTTTCGAAAATAAAAAGGAAGTCTTAAGAAAAGTGGCACTAGGGCATGTAAAAACTTTCTGTTCTTGAATTTACGGGAAAGTTGAGAAAAAGGAGAATAAAACAGTTTAGCGGGGGAGGGATAAGGAAGTTGTACTTCGCTTGAAACTGATGTAATGCGCAAACATAAGTGTTGAGCCTTACTATTGGAAATAATGCATCAAAGAAAACAATTCTGGGTCAGTACATTTTTCATCAGAAAGAAACAGACAGTCAAGAGAAGAAATAGTAAGGGCGCTCGTTTTGTTCCACCCTATTTTCAGATTTAACAACATAGTTAGGTTACCATCATACGTGGGCAAGAGATTATACACTATTTAGAACCTCTTCTTGACTTGAGTGAAGAAATGAAACTATTTCAATCAGTAAACCTTGAATTTTCGTTTTATCTTTTTCTCTTTTTTCGGAAAAGGGAGGGATAAAACCAACTGGTAATTCAAGGCGGTGGTGGGGAGAGGGGTGGGGTTAGTACTATTTATCAGAGGAGTGAAGAGAGGAGAAAAATGGAATGGAGATCACCTTGGTGTGGCTGTGGTCTCTCTAGCAGTGGTTGGTTAAATATTGGCTTCGTTATGAAATTTCCCGATCAATTAATAATTTCCTCTGTTTTCACACTGTTTCATATCTTCCTACTTGAACTGTACAAACGAAACGTAACAAAAGTTTTCCGAAAAATTAAAAATCAAAACAAAAACATTTAAAAAAAACTTGAACCAAGAATTAAGGACGAACCAGTGAAGTCAGTTTTTTGGTCAACGCAAAACGGTTGTAGGAGCTTTAAACCCTAGCCTTGGACTGGACTAGCGAAAAAGAAAGACGTTTTGCTCAGTCAAGCGAGAGTTCGTGGTTTCGTCTACGGTTTGCCACGCATAGTTGATATCCAACCCCCCTGAAAGTCCACTGACCCGTAACAGTTTGCCTTTTATCAGCCATTATCTTGTAAGCTCTCATTTTCAATCCCACCGCTACTCAACGATGCAGAAAGACCTCAAATAGCACGAAAACAACTAGCCACTAATTTATAAGAATAGGAAAATACGCACCCAGAAACTTGCTTAGACTTGAGAATCTTGAAACCTGCCGAGAATATAAAGAGAAGTCGTTTAATCCAGTTGTTGTAGAACACGCAAAGTGACGGAACAATGGAAACCGACTAAGCTGGCAAGCGGCCTTTAGTCAATAATAGTTTTATGCTTAACAAGGCACACAATAGGTTTTTGTCGACTATTTAATTAGACACTGTGGGAACACAACGTACAAGTTTACAAATTCAACAGAAGAATCTAGAGACTACAAGGTTTGTAATCAAATTCCCAGTGAGGCAAAACTATGCACTGTTTGAGACTAATGCACCGTTTACGAGTAGAAACCCAGATTTTGCCACTAAAATGCCAACAGAGAACTATTCCTAGGGCAATTTATTAAACTTAACGACTAGAAAACAAGCTGTGATAGGAAGGGAAGGTGAAATAAATCTATTAGACTCATTAGTGAGAACATTAAAACAAATTCTTGTTTATCATTTGGCATCTGTTGTGATCCGTATTGTTCAACCATTCTTAGACGTAAAGAAGGAAAAAACCTTTGGGTTTCGCAGCAGGAAAGAAGCGCGTACAGCTCTCTTACCAAGACCTTGAACAAAAAAATCAAAGACCTAATCTGTGCAGTAGGCCGCCACAGGATACCTTAACCGCAGGAAAGCAAACACTTCTTTTGTCTTGTCAACGTTGGTCGTTATCAAAAAACATATGAGGTAATTTGGGTTAATTAAGCGGTACTTTTTATTTTCAACCTTCTGGCGAGATTTGGATGTACAACACTAGTAAATGTAATTACATATTGTACAAAAAAACAATAACGCAACAGGGTGCTAAAAACGTTCTTTGATATGGACCCCTACGAAGCAAGACCCCAGCGAGGTTCATAAAATCACAGCATTGCAACAGCTAAAGAAGCCCCCAGAAAAATGGCTCGTCTAAACAAACTGTCTTTCGCATGCACTTTAACAATCGTTTAGAGGAGTTAATACAAATCAAGGGTTCCCACAGCCATGTTCTTGCTCAAAAATCACATAACTCATTAAGTTCGTTTTCTTAAAAGATAACTGCGCGCAAAGCTCAAGTTATGAGAGAGAGAAAAACTACAGGTTGAGGTAATTTGCATAAATGAGATATAAACAAACACAGAAAAGTACCATAATAAAGAAAATAACGCTGACTATGAAATTAATTCAAGTTCATTTCCCTAAAAAAGGGAAACTTTAAAAAAATATCCAAAAAATTTGAATGCCAAGTGCTCGTACCTTGTCAGTACAATAAACCATAACCGCTAAGTGAGTATTTTTCGCCAGCTTTGACATACCGGTTTATCATCTTTAATCTTACAGCTACCACAACCTTCCACAGTACAATGGATAAAGGCAAATTAAAGCGCTGCTCCGAAACTTTCATTGCAATGTTCATAGACCAGGCTTTTAGCCTGAGGTTTAAATGTTACAACCATCATGTTCAGTTAACAAATAATAACATACGGGAGTGCAGGTCATTAGCTTAAAACGCTGTCTGAAACTTGGGTTGTATTCACAGAAAAGAACTCCTAATAAATGATACAACTAAACCAAATCGACATGTTGTTCTATTTAGTTTGCTGCAATCCAGTTTTTCTCCACAAAAAGTGGGAGGAGAAGCAACCACATTGTGTAGCGTACGAAACAATGAGACACGACTGATCTGCTCAGATCGGATGTCATAGATTTAGAAAGAATAATGGTCTGCCTGAAAAAAACGCGTGTCTTCCGGTGGAATATAACTGATAGAGAACAGAAAAGCCCGGATATGCTCTCCGTGAGAAATTCGATAAGTTTTGAAAAACGTGACGTGAGAGATTAACGCCAACAGCTGCTTAAAGAAAAATAAGCACGTACAAGTTATTTTTTTAACCCGCAGGAGGTTCCGTCTGCCAGAAGTTTGTGTTTTGTTCCCATCACGAACATTGAACAATAGGCAACTCAAAATCACAACAAATTTCTATCAAAAACGTTCAACATCTTTCTTCCACTTCGACAACTGAGCTAGAATTTATCATCTTCCCCGTTCTTAGGAAGCACAACACGTTTTCTACGTTCTTCTACATTTCTGATTCGACTGGTATGCAGAAATCGTGTCATAAACAAATTAGTACATAACCTTGCACTTCAATTGATGAGTCCTCTCACACAAGCTACTAGCGCATCCCACGAGCAAAACAGGACTGCCTGGGATGCAATCTTCACAGGATACCCAGATTTTTCCTTTTTCCCATCCTTGTAACAAATTTTTTACCATCTTTCTTTGCACAACAAAAGGTGTTGCCATTCCTCCAACAAAAAAGTCCCTCACCGAAGGTTATGGCTGACAAAGAAAACTCCACAAGTGATTTCTTGAACAACAATCACTCAGCAATTGGTTAATGTGGGTTATCTCAATCATATATCTCTGTTTTTTGGATAGTTTAATTCTTTATAACCCCAACAATTTATTCATCGTCGAGTATTTTTGTCCCTCTCATAAAGATCCAAAAAAATAAAGAAATAAGAAAAAAATTTAAAACGCAGAGAAACAAACAAAACCGCGTGAGATCACTGCTTAATAGCTTTCATAGCTTTCATTGAAATACTCCTGCACCAAGGTTTCACGAACGGTCTTGAGAGGGTAGAGCTACCATAAAGAGTAAAATAAACAGATCCTTGTGAAATCGCTTAAGAATAGGTTTCCTTAAATTTTTTATAAGTAAACTGAAAAGGTGAGACCACTTTTTTTAACAGATCGAACACTGTACATGAAAAAACTGCTTAGAAGCTTTCATCTGACGGTTATCAAGTTCATCACCAAAATTTAAAGACCAAAGTAACCTTGCACAGTTGAAGGAGAGGAAACTTATGAAAGTGCTGTTCAGCAGCTTTCAATTGAAAACTTGCATATTAGGATTTCATCAACAGACTTATAGCTATATAACAACCTGAAAGCCAAAAGTGCCCCATGCAGTAAACCAACATAAAAGCGCTGCTAGCAAGATTTCCGTTGAGTGGTTAAACACTCAAGTTGTATCACCAAAAACAACACTGCACAGTTTGACACACGATCAGAACGCTTCCAACCACCACAGTGGGCAGCATTACAAGCTGTACAACTGAAAGATTGTTCAACAACTTTCATTTACTCCTCATGGGGACGCAAAATTTTGTCTTCGTCCACGCTCGTGACAAGACGAAAAACATCTTTTTCCATTTGTTTACCGAGCTCAAAAACTTGCCATCTTTCTTATTCTATAAAAAAACATGACATTATCAACATGGTTGATCCTAGCAGTTTGCAAGAATGCGTGTCATATATGAACTTGGTAATGAGCCTTGCTCACCATAGAGTCTCTGTGGCTCAGTGGTAGAGCATCAGAGCGCAGACTCCGAAGGTCTGAGGACTAAGAATTTTTTGCTATGTCCCACGCTCGTGACAAGACGAAAAAACATCTTTCTCAAATTTAATTTATATGATCACAGTTGTCTGATCTCAGGAAGGGAGCCTTTACGAATTGGCGAACTCTATTGAATCCTTCGCTTTTCTTTTCTTTGTTTCTTCGTATTTAGGGAAAACTTAAAGTGATAAAATCACTCAAACAAATATTTACCACTCCTTTTTCCACTCCAGGATTCAATTTGTTTTAAAAAAAAAACAACTCTCGTGCCGCGGAAAAATGAAGAAGACAGAAAGAGCCCGAAACAGCTTCAAGAATAGAAGATAAAATTGCCAATAACCATGATCACCAGAAGAAAGATGTGTTTTCGTCTTGTCTCGAGCGTGGCATAAAGAAAAGGATCTAGGTTTTCACGAGGAATCGAACCTCAGACCTTCCGATTTCGTGCTACGATGCTCTACCACTGAGCCACAGAGACTCTATAATAGCCAGGCCAATACTAGTTCATATGTGACACGCGTCCACCACTCTGCTTGATAAGCGATGACAAAAGCCTTCTGTGAGTTAATGAAATAAGAAAGATGGTGAATCTTTCCTGTTTCTTTCTCGTTTTCTTGTACAAATTAGATGCCAGTCCTCTTAGGGATCACTAGGTTAAGAGAAACTCAGAGATGAAATGACGAAAGACGTTCTTTCGTCTTGTCACGAGCATGGACTAAGAAACCATTCCCACTTTCATTGAACGATAACAAAAGACACACTTACATTGACTGGTCCCCAGCCTGCACTCTGTATTCCTCTCCACCAATTTGTACTAACGTTTCCTTCTTCTTGGAACCTTTCTTCCTAAATCTGCGTTTTTTCTCCTTCTGATCGCTAGACACGGAACTCGCGCGGGACCGTGGTCTGTCTCGACGGTGTCGATGTTTGTCTTTGTGGTGATGGTGATGATGATGACGATCAGTGCTGTGGCAGAAAAATACATAAATATAAGCGGTTAATGTTCGATCAGGATGTGTCAGTCAGCCTTCTAGAGGGTCTCAATAACTTTTTCCGTATGCGGCTGCCGATGGCGGTTGTGCCGTAAGGTCAAACCCAAACACAAGAGCATGCTCGCAGGCTAAACAGCGATGAGAGGTTTTATGGAGGCTGTAGATGGCTTTAATCTAAACCCCTGCCTCTACTTAAAGGCCACCTTGGAGGCAAAAGAGGCCGTTGCAGAGAGGTGGCCGGGTTTATGCGTAACATTGCTAAAAACACTCAAGAAACACATCAGTTAGGCCTTCACGTGAACCCTTCAAAAAGCCGACTTCGGTACGAGAGACTGACGTCTATAGATGCACTTAGTTAAATTAATGTATTCTAAGACTTAAGTTTGGAACTGAGTTCTTTCTCCCATCGTGCTCTCTTGTTTAAAAGTTACCGCGCTGACTATCAGAAGTGATCATTATGTAAATTCTCCAAGTGATACCTATACATTATCCAGCCAAAAAGTAATGAGAATACTAAAACTTGTCAGGTAAAAGCTTGGATTTGGGAGTTTAAGGGTTCCTTAATCTTTACCTGAGTGATTTGTCATCGTCATCGTCATCATTAAGCTCTTCCATGACAGGAATAGGAATAGGATTCTTCGGTTTCTTGAGAGCTGACTTCAGAGGTTTCTTTTTCAAGCTGCTGTCCACAGATGGAGTCGTATCAGAGGTGGCAGCCGAACCTGACACCCCTTTGTCCTGTATAATCTCGGGGACAGCTTTGAAGGAAGGATGATCCTTTTTACGATCGATCGTTGGTAACTCTTCGTCATCGGTGTCGGAAGATTCCGACTCAGGTTCTCTCAACGGTTCTTCCTCGGGTGTCGTCTCTGTGGCAAGGTTAGTAAGGAAGAGAAGAACATGAAAAAATAAATAAATTTGTATAAATATGATTGCCCAAGTGATTAAATGAAAAAGATGCGCGTGATGTGATTAGCCGTGGATTAAGTCAAACATTTCAGTCATAGCCCCGCGCGAGGTAATTTTGATACTTGAGTATTAATTTCCATTTTTATAGTCCGGATACAAATGAAATAAATAGAGTCCATTTTGATAAATCACATTTTTACCAGACCATTGTCTGTCTATCTTCATGTCTGCCTTTCTGTCTGTCTGTCTGTCTGTCAGTCACTTTTTCAGTCTCTCTTTCAGTTTCCCTTTCTATCTCTCTCTCTGTCAGTCTGTCTGTCTGTCTGTCTGTCTGTCTGTCTCTTTGTGAGTCAATTTCTCAGTCTCTCGGTCTGTCAGTCAATTTCTCAGTCTATTTGTCTGTCTGTCATTCTGCCTGCCTGACAGTCAGTTTGTCAGTATAATTGTCTGTCTGTCAGTTTACCTGTCAGTCTAATTGCCTTTCTCCCCTCTTCTCTGTCATTAATTCAAAAGAATTGAAAACATCCCTCAATTCGCAATTAGTTCTGTAAGAAACATGCTTTTTTGCGTGCAAAATCCTTAACATCCTTACCCATTGGTGTGCTATGCATAGGTCCGTCTGAAGCGTAGAAAGGAGCTGGAGGAAAAACAAAAACCAGCAAAAACTTTTCATCAAAATACAGATCCTTGGGTCGAGTTGCCGACGCTAAGGCTAACCAGGGCTGACTGTATTTTAAAAAATTATTTTATTCTAACCTTTTCGACGTTTCTTCCTTGGAGTTTTATCTTTTGGCCATCCATTTTCACTCGGAACTAAGAAAGAAAGTAAAAAAATGGAAACTCGCAAAAAAGGTTGCTGTGATTTGCCGAGGTAAATATACAAGTAAGAAAGTAACGTAATTTGGAAAACATAGATTTTGTTCTGTAACAGTGTTAATACATATCATTGGCTTCTTCAAATGCTTTGTCACTCACTCTTTATCACTTGCCCAATTGCGGCAGATTGTTGAGGGAAAATTTTATTTCAAGTGGGTTTTAGAGTCTTTAATTGACCGTAGAAAAACCATCACCAAAGAAATCACAAAGGCTAATCAAAACGAAGATTTATATCGTCATTATACGAGAACTACGAGAACTCACAACAGGCAAACTACCAAATGCGCGGGAAAGCGCGGGAGACCAAGTCCTGATTGGTTTTCGTTTGGCGTACGATTGGTTCAGAGCATGGCGCGAGTTTTTACACCAATCACAGCCGAAGCAAAGCAAAACCAAAGCAAATCCAGATTACTTTCGACAATCAATTGGAAATTACTCTGACCTGTTCTATACGTGAACATACTAACTCTGACTGAGCCAAATAAAGTGACAAAAAAATTTACGAGAGGTCAAAATAATATCACTACAGAACCATACAATTTGTACCTTGGTCATCTTCAGAGTCGGAAGAATCAGATGGAAGACCAGGCGAGGAGGGCCGCTCATCTTCCTCTTCGGAAGATGATTCTGGTTGGGTGGTGCTCACCTCTGGGAAAAAAAAAAAAAAAAAAGCGATCAGTGCAAATACATACTTAAGTGAATATGGCGGACGGACGGGGAAGTAACCTGCTTCATCCAATTTTCTTCTTCTCCCGCGAAAATATCGTTCAATATAGACAGAAACAAGGAGGTATGTGCAATTTGTAACACAGATAATGTAATGAACGAATTCAACTATAATTAGAATATAAAAGTTAATTGTTTACGATGAAGGAAAAAATCTTCGCATACGAGAGAAGCATGCCTTATCTTAAATTCAAAACAAAAAAGTGACAGGTAGGGGAATATAAGTTGATCTTATGAAAAATTCTCCGAACAAACACCATAAGAATTATATAGCAGACAGTAAGGATACCTGACTTATCGGTCTGTTCCCAAATTTTCCGGGCTCGCTCTACAGATTCAAAGAAAACAAAAAAAGGATATGTCAGTCCCTGTAAAACTTAGACGCTTAATCAGACTTACGCGCTTATTTCGCTTATTCCTGTTCACCAAACCTCTGTCTACTTGTCTAATAAGAGTTTAGAAACTCCAAGCGGGCTTGAAACCAGAGTTAATTCGTGTAATTTTCCTCAACTGTTTCGTGCGGGAGAACAAAGCGCGAACCTTTTAAGCAACGTCAGAGGTTCGAATCCTGCTCAAGTTAGAGTAGGAGAAATTGCTTAAATTTGAACGGAGATATCTTTTCACCAAACCTAATTGGAGTTGGTCCTGGACACTCAAATATTTCTAATGCAGTATTTATGTTCTCTCGCCTGATAGCCTCGTTTCCGTGTATTTTCACGCGGATACCGCTATACCACAAGACTGACGTTCGGAGCTGTAATAACAGCCATTAACACCTATTCACCGAAGGGGAGGTGCCTCGTGGTGGACATACGGCTCGGCAAATATCCACCTCATACCACCGATACTGAGGAGAATAGTTGTTTTAGTATATACCAAAACAGTGAAATACTGTAGCACTAAAGGTCATATTAACGCATTTCTTCCTGCAACGAGTACCATCTTTCCGGGCGCAAATCGCGCACGCGTTGCTCGGAGGTGATTAGCAAGGGATATTTGGAGTTTGAGTAGCCAATCAGATCGCGCCTATAATGCTACCCACTCTATATATACTCACAAGACTGTTAGCCTTTATCTGACTGTACCAAAGATGTGTTACAGATGTTTCGTTGCACAATAATATTACGTGACGAAGTAACATCACCCCTTATTTTCCTCTTAGTTTCGTGACCATCAAAATATTGACTACAAAGGAGTTAAAACATAGAAATGTTTGAGTTTACGCATCGTAAACGACTTACCGAGTTCAGGATTATCAGGGTACTTGGCCTTTGGCGATTTTCCATCTGAAATTAGAACAAAAAAAGAAAAATTAGTTCCCAGAATGTAGGTCCCATCATTCGTGTGTCGACTAGAAATCACTGTAATTTTCGAAAAGCGACGTTCTTATTACTTGGACTGAGCAGAATGTATAGGGCATATTTGAGAGAAATTACATTTCAAACACACACCTGGTGCACTGGTATCTTCATCTCCTATAGTATCCGTGATACTGTTGTCTGTGGTGAACCGACTCGTTACACTGCTACGGAAACCGCTGCTGGATGGCTCCGTGGTAGATGTGCTAGTGGCGTTTCCATCGTCGTCAAAATCATACGGGGATCGGAGAGGTGCCGTCTCCCCAGGGTGATAGGAGCGTTTCTAAGGAAAAAAAAAAAGAGAAACAGAACTTTTCGTTAAACAGGTGAAGAAAGAAAAAAGAAATCAATAGGTTGGGCGGGAGAAACTGAATGCAAGAAAATGGAATAGTCTCGGGAATACGAACAGGAAGGGGAGGGAGAGTGCATGAATTGAAAAATGGGAAAGAAGAAGGGGAAAAGAAAAAGGTAAGTTCACCCTTTCACTCCCAAGATCTACTTGGAAATTCTTCCCTCTTACCACGATACATTTATTTAAAAATTTGAGGGGAGAGTTTGGTGTTCTTTTATGATGATATTCTTCGGCTGATGAAACTGTCTGTTCTCATAACGTATTCACGAGATAACAAACTGGAACCTCAAGGAGAAGTTACATATTGATCAAGTCTGGGATACTTATTTTACTTTGACATAACAAGCGGGAGAAGGATAACATTGTGGTACTCAGAATGGAGATGAAACAATGAAAAATTGTCATATCGCATTTCCTCAAATAAGAGTTTATATAATTTCGGCCAAAGGAGGGGGCGCCTATTGGAAGGATGGCTCTAAATCGAAGGGGTCGCCTATAAATCTCCTGTTCTGATTCCGCTGCAGTTGAAGCTTTATAAATTATAGATGAAGTGGCAAAAGAAAGTGTTTTTCTTGGTATTCCTACCAGTTGAGGAAATAAGGGAGGAGACGGGAGGGGGGGAGGGGGGGTTTCGAGGGGGCGCCTGAGGGCGGGCACTTACTTGGCGGAGGGCGCTTCTTAGAGCGTGGGTGCTTATTCAAAGAAATACTGAAATGCTGTATACCTAACAAGGTAGAGGTTGGGTCGGATGAAAGAGTGGCTGAAAAATGAGAAGGTGTAAAGACATGGCAGACCATGAATTGATCTTTTGAAAACGTGGTCAAAAAGCGAAGAAGAGCACGAATCAATGAATATGGAATGTCTCATTTAAGAAAAAGAGGGCGAGTTAAGCACAGAGACGTAAAGAGGGTGAATATTCCTCTTACAAAATGCTGCGTGGGTTTCTGTATCCCGTATGTCTTGTCCTTAGTCTTCCAGCGCATGTACACATTCTTGAACTCTTTCCGAACCTGAACGTTTTTTAAATAATAAAGCAAGATTGTGAAACTGAATCAAATATTCCGCGTCGATTAAATCAAATTGAAATCGGGAAAAAATGAAAAAAAAGGTATGTTACTCACCGTCTTGTCCAATAGGAGATAAAACACTAGTATAAACAGGCCCTGTGAACGAGACAAGTTCATCAAAAATTTGTCGCTGATCGATCGACTTTCATTGACCGAAGAATTAAAAAACAGCAAATCCAAGGTATTCAGCATTTATTAATTTCGAGACGAGTCCTCACATCTTTTGAGAGTTGAAAATGAAAATGAAAAGGAAACATGCATTTTGCTTCTTGTCGATTACATGTGTTCAGGTACCGAATTAAATTTTCGTCTCTACGCCTCCTTAATTTTTTTTTTTAATAAGCTCTTCAACCCAGTTTTTGAGAAGCGATCAATTTTTTTGCGTGAAATAAGAGTGAATTAGGACTAAAATTTTGCTCATACTCTGATGGCGTAGAAGTAATGCAATCCCGGTTTTAGTTGCAAAAACAACTGAATGAGAGAAATCCTCCATTGCCTTTCCATATTAAAATTAAAAACTACTCTACGAAGAACAGAGCACTTCACTGCCGGAAGTGATTCTAACCTGGCAGAACGTAAAGGCAGCAAAGATATAGTGAAAAGTTTCCAAATCTTCATTCACCATCAAAATGGCGAACGCGAAAGATACTCCTATCAAGGGAAGAAGACCGGCAGTGGCTCGTAATCCGGCACTGTGACAACAAAAAGCGAGATGAATAAATAAAACATTTGACAAATGAATAAAGAATTATCTAGTTTAAATCAAAACGAACCAGTCTTTATTTATCGACGGGGGGGAGGGGGGGGGGAAGGAAAAGGGAAAGGGGGATCATTGGAATACTCCAGAACGTTATGGAAGGGATTCGGTAAATTTCATTTTAACATTTTCAGGTATTAAAACATTTCTCAGTTACTGAGCAGTTGGAGATTGGTCAGTTAAGGGAAGCGGTTTTCAATGCATGGTTTGCATAAATTTAATGTCTTTCGTTATCTTTGGCGTGGTAGTTAACTATTCACCTCAGTGGAGGAAGCTAGCAGTTGATATTTAATCTCGCCGCTTCACGGTTCGGTAAATATCCACCATGAGCCATCTCTACTTCGGTGAAAAGTTGTTAAATAGTCTTTTTCCCCAGCGACGCAAACAAAAGCGCAAGCACAAACGCGAGCATCAGGTAATTATGCCAATTGAAAACGAACGTCGACGAGCACAAAGAGTAGCACAAGAAAAAGGACAAATTTTGATCCTTGCGCTTGATTCTTGCTTGCTTCTCTTTGAGCTGTTATGCTTGTGTTTGTGCTAGCGTCGCTCGTGAAAACAAGGCTTTAGCAAGAGACGAATGGTACGCTCATGAATCAGTCAAAAGTGCTATCTTACGTCAAGTTAGACTGTTCCTCGTCATGGTGATGGTGGTGATGCCGGCGACGTCTCTTTCTTGATTGTTTTTGAAGTGATGCGAACAATGCCATGATAAAGACGAGTGTGTTGAGCTAAGATGATAAAAAGAAAATCAATGAACACGAAATACTAAATCAATCAATGTAAAGGTCTAAAAATACTGCACCATTCCACAAATACAAAATTTTTTGTGTAAATATGAAAAATTTCAGACCGTCATCTCTATGTAATTGTTTGTTTTGTTTGCCACAGCAACATGCATGTCAACTGCGCAAAAGACTACCATTGAGGAAAACACTATGTCACAAAACGAACTAAAAAATAAAACGGGCCCAACGTTCATCGACACAGTGTCTGCAACGAAACTACAGATGGAGAGGTGGATGGGAAAACAAGATGAGGAAGAACGGGTGAAAAGTGGACGGTTGACATTAACCCTTCTCATTAGTAAGACAATTCTAATGATGTTAGTGCGGAGAATTTGGTATTGGATCAAGTAATAATCCCCTACTTGATATATTTTTCCTTTTTTTCTCATCACCGCCCTGCTTCGTAGTTATGATGTTGTAAGGAGAACGGGAATGAGACCAGCTTCCTAGAGATGTCACTGGATGTTTTTAGAAAGATTCTTATTTCAGTTGAAAATCAGTTTACCACAAGAGATTTACCGCTTGGTTTAATTGCCGTTAATGTTGGCATGTGTTGTCAGGAGTGGGATCATTCGTGAAGCTACTTACCGCGACAATGATGATGATCGGAATCGTAAACGTCCAGATAAGTGTTCCATCTGTCGACATCCAGCAGCTGAATAGTAAAAAAAAAAAAGGTCAAATGTCACGAAATTTAGTGGGAACTGTCACTTTCTACTGCTTTGTTTGGGAATGTTAAAAGTGCAAACAAACTGTTTACGCGGGGTGGTAAAAAGTTCTACAGAGACCATACAAAGTTGACTTACAATCTCTGGTTTCCGTAGCCCTCGTTCGCTAAGCCAGCGGAAACTCCGACCACAATAGCGGGACACCCTGAGACAAAAAAAAAAAACAGAGTTAAAACCTTAACACTTGTTGGACAGAAATCCGTGTTTTATGTCTCAAATAGTTTATTATTAGTATTATTTGAAAGCATTAATTGCGCAAAATTATCTTCCAACAGATGACGGCGAGTGAATATTATAAAACAGTGACTTTGATAGGTTTCTTGTACCAGTCATTCCTCTCCCCTCTCCCCGCCCCCTCCCCTCCCTTTATTCCCGGAAAAATGCCTGGTTACAGATAACAACTTCTACCTGATAATTTAGGTATTCTCACCACTTGTTTGCTGGATAATGTATGGATATTGGAGGGAGATTTTAATTGTTCATCACTACAAAGGGTTGATACATACACTTCCTGTTGGACAACATTCGCACACTTACCCCACCCCATAAAGAAATAGAAAGACATTTTGCCAGTGTCTATATTCCTCTTTTCCCTGAGCCTGCGATACATGTGCAGACCTTCGACGAACATCCACGAGAAAGAAGCGCTGAAGAAATAATGCAGCACTATGGCGATCAACTGACACAATCTCTGCAATGAAACACAAATAAAAGCAACGTCGTAAGATCAGAAGCCAAACTAATATTTTTTAAAGAAAGCTAAAGCTAGATTTCCACTGTCGCGTTTTTGCCCACGCTAATGAACATACGTTTGAAAAAAAATTTGCCATGGTTAAAATAGACGTTCACGAGCGTAAAAGCATCCATTGAGTGAACGCTGTCACTTATCAAAGCTAGCTTTGAAACTCTTTACGGTGGCCAATTTACGTTATCAACTCAGTTGATAATACTAAATCACCCTACTGTAAACACAAGTTGCCCTTGTATTTAACCCAACCTGATCTGCCGTTCTGTTGATTCCCAAGAGGAACGTCAGCTCCGCAACGAAGACCGCTACAATAAGGTTCTTATGAATTGTTATCGAATTGCTCTTCAGATTCCTGTAAAGACAAAACAGTGATGTTACTGATAATGATACATTTATACAGCGCATCCTCTATAGGAATATGCCCTACAACATTTTGCAGGAATTTTGCAGGTGCCCCCAATTTGAGAATTTTTGGAAAACAACACCACACCACAACACCAAGAGCTCCGCTATCTACGCTTACGACAAGTGCGTGGGCTAAATATTGTATTGTTCAATTTTGTATTAGAAGTGCCCATGGGAGAAGAGATAATAATATAATGAAATGGAAAACTTCCATTATTTCTTGCGACCGTTGTGAGAAGGTCAGGTAAGTAAAATGACGAGGATCAAATAAAAATTACCTTAGACACAAGAATAGTATAAAAGCTGTCAGTAACAGAACCAGGGACACCGATATACCAATGTACGTCACCAAACGCATGGCAAAGGCTGCTTGCTCGGGATACTAGTAAAAAATCGAAAAAAAGAGAAAATTATTTGTGACACTGAAACAACACGCCTCTTCTCTCAAAAAAAAAAAAACAACAACATCATCAACAACAACATCATCAACAAAAACAACAACAAGAACAAAACAAATTGAATTAGTTTTCTTTCACGATTCTCAATTTATGAACTAATTTCATTTCAATCTTCCCCCTGAATCATTTGGATCATTTGGATCATTTTTTTCCAAAGTGTATTCTAAATAAAACTAGATTTAGACTCTGCTAGATCTACCAATTATAATAATTTTGTTCGAACTAATTATTAACAATTTTACATTCACTTTCTCGTTGCAATAGTTTGGAAACTGAAAACAACCTCCTCTAAAGGAAAAAGTGAAACTGACCCTCATACATACCTAAAAATAAATTAACCCTTTAATTCCCATGAGTGACCAAGACAGAATTTCTCCTTACAATGTCAATACAATATCAACCAGATAAGTGATGAGAATAAAGAAAAAGATCATTTTGGGGATTATTAGTTGATCCAATACTAAATTCTCTGAACTAACATTATAAGAATTGTATGGTTGACTGTAAGGAGAATTTCAAACTTAATCTGGGAGTTAAAGGGTTAACTGATAATCCATACGAAAATATATCCTTCAAAGCTTTCTATCTGGTACTTATTAATATATTTTCATTTCTTTATCTTAAAGTTAACCCATAAGTTGACTCCCAGGATCTTATTGTTAATTCTCCCCTCTGGCTGATAAGGTTTTCCTCTAAATAATTTACGAGAATTGGTGTTAGATCAAGATAACAACTACTCCATGATAAGTTGAGGTATTCTCGTTACCTGTTTGTTGGATAATATATGGATATTATTGGTGAGAAGTTACATGTTTATCACTTCTGGGAGTTAAAGGGTTATATATCTTTATCTTGCAGCTGTTTCTCTTTCCTTTCTTAATTACACTCTACTACCAACAACTCAAATCTAAATATATATCATGGCACTCGACCAGATTAGATTTTTAGCTGTTCTGGTAACCATCGTAATTGTAAATGTACGTCTTCTGCAAAAAAGGTAGTAAAGTTGTTGGTGTTGTTGTTGTTGTTGCTTTTTGTTGTAACAGCTTGACAATCATCAACCTCACCTGAAGATTTAAGTCTGACAGGACTGCAAAAGCCGTTAGGTGAGAGCAAGAGCAAACTGTGTGAGTTCTATTGGTCTTCACTGATTTACACCCGTAACGTGACCAACCACCACCACGCGTGTCTCTATGGTAACGAAAAACAATAGGCAGGCTTAGCAATCACAACGCGTCTTCTGGTTCGGGAATAACTATTATCATTGTCTGTCTGTAGTGGAATTTTTGCGGTAGACTCACCATAGACTACCATGTAGAATATCGTAATACTCTTTCAATGATACCTCAGTTATTTTGGTCGAAAACATATTGGGATGCAAGGTAAGCGTTCTTAAACTAAAGGGTAGCTTTCTTGTGGTCTAGTAATCCTCAAAGAAACAGTAGGGCAAATGACGAAAGGTTGTCTGGATCCTTAGATCGCAAGAGCGAAGAAGCTACATCTTAGCAAACGCCAGTATCGTTCTTGTATATGAAAACCGTTCGAAAGTTAAAGCATAGCCACTGTTTTTCGTAATGATGGCAAAAGACGTCAACCAAAAGTACCTGTACATGTCATATTCGATTATAGTATATTTTATAGCGGTTTTTGCCATAACGACGACGTGCAACTCTTGTAGTGTCTCCGATTGGCGGTTGCTAGGTTACCATGTTCTCCCGCTGACAACAACTCGACTAGACAAGCGGCGCGACTAGACAAGTGTCTATGGTAAATTCGAGAGTATGCAACAACATAAAATTAAAGCTATTCATTATTATACTCACGGTACTGAATAATTCCAGTGCACACAAATGTAAGACGATCGATTCACCTAACAAAAAGGAAAGATGACAAATAAACCAACATGACAGCAGTTGAATTGATCACGTGGTAAACCAGGATTATTTAAGAGAAGACAACTTAAACATTCTTGGGTTAGTTTCTTAAACAAATCCTAACTAAAATTAGTAACGAATAACAACTTACAAGTCTGTTGGCAAAGGCAATGCGGACAGGATATGTTAAGGGAGCCATTTCCATCTCAGGTAACTTGACAGAGATGACATCAGAGCTGACTTCAACGTTGTACTTCGAGTCACTGGAAAAGAAAAAAAAAGACCTTGAATATATTTTAAAAATCCTCATCCAGAAGAAGATTAACCTTTTACCTCCAAGATCTCATTAGTAATTCTCCTTACTGTCTGTCATACAATTCGTATGATGTTAGTTCGGAGAATTTGGTATTGGATCAACTAATAATCTCTTAATTTATATTTTTCTCTATTCTCATCACTTGTCTCCTTGATATTGTATTGATATTGTAAGGAGAAATTCTGCCCTCGTCACTCGTGGGAGTTGAAGGGTTAACAGGAACTGCAGATGTCAAACTTGGAAATCATTTATGCTTATTACACTCACAAACTACAACGTGGTTCGCTTAAAATAAATTAATATATGAGTTTTATCAAAAATAAGAAGAAGACAAGCAAAAGCAGTTATAGCAAATCGTAAACTGCTTTTAATTATTTCTGGTACATATTCCATTTCTCAATCAAACCACAATATACACAACCAGCAGTCCCTTCTTCTCGTTGCAGTCCGTCGCACGATTAAAATAAATTCAGTGGGGAAAAAAATGACGTTATCGCCCTTCACACCCAAAATTCAACGCATCAATTTTTTTTTCTTTTCACAATCTCTTTTGACTCGTGCGACAGACTTCGCTGAAAAGCAGGGACTGCTCGTAGTCTAACCACGAAACAGTCTCCTCTAAATACTAGGGGGAAAAACCAAAATTGTTTAAAAATTCTATCCAAACGTACTTTCAATGCATTTAGTGCATGTAACATACCGGATCTTCGCGTCAAACGCCTTGGGTAATAAATCGCCGATATTTCTGATGATCATGAAGCCAACTCCTATGTTGTCTTCCACGTCTAAAACAAAATTAAATAAAAAAATATTTAGTTCTCTAAAAGAGCTGTCACCCACAACATTACAATAATCATTGCAAAAAAAATTATAGCAATCTTAAAAATTGTTCAAATCCGCCTCTCTTTGTTGTTGTTTGCCAGCTTTCCCAGGTATCCTTTTTTCCTCGCGTGCGAGCGCGGAATCCAAACGCGCACTAATTTTGCTGTGTCAGGGTTTAATCTAGAAACTACCCAAAGAAGGCTTGGCGGACCCCCTTCTTTAGTTTTAGGGAGGCCCTTTACCGAGAAAAGGGTTATTACTATGTAAAATAGTACTTACAAAATAAGATTATCCTTCGGCACAATTTTTAGCGCCTCATTTGATATTTAAACGTACCTTTTATAAGGCAAATTTTTCGACTTGTGGCGATCCCGCAAAATCGTACTAAAGTATAAACCCAGGTACCTGTTATGCAAGTTACGTCAAATTCAAGACTTACCTGTTCCACGAAAGAAAGGTTTAGGAAAGTAAATTCTATTGGAGATATTACGCCAAATTTTATAAGGAGAGTCGCTGTAAAGGTCTGTTCTCGCGGGGTACGATAATCCAGAGAATCCTTTGACATACACTGGATGAAGTTCCATAACTATGAAGAACATGGCGTGGATATTAGCAAGTGAAAGCAATCGTTTGCTTACAACGAAACCGTCCTCTAGGTGAATCAAAATAGTTTCTATAGTTTGCGGAAAACTCATAAAAAGGGCGAAGTTACGGTATTCTAAAATATAGGCTACTACGATTTTCACATAAATAAGACAGGAAAGTATCATTCGTGCGCATGTTCAGGATCAAGATCATGTTCAGGATCAAGATCAGGATCATGTGTTGTTGCAGGAACATTAAAACGTTCTCTAGCGTTGAATGCCGTTTAGCAATATTTCATAAATCTCTGATAATAGCTACCGTGCGCTTCTTAACCCAAACATCACAAGTAAAATCCCCAAACTGATCAGAAATCTCTATTGACATCATCTGTCTTTCATAATTTCAAATTCCAAAAAATGCAGTGATATTGTTTGCAACATTTCAATCACTTATGAGACAGAGCGGAGGAATTCCCCGACAAGTAGGTATTAAAATTACCTCAAAATGCGACACAGCCCTGTTACACTCAGCAAACTCAACAAAATATAATTCTTACCAATATTGGGAGTAATAATCGTGTACGGTGGCAAAATGCTGTCGGTAGAGCGTCTGTATCTGCGCGAGTCTCGTTTTAAGTACGGTAGACTTCTGGCTAAGTTTCCGCTGAAGTTTTCCATCTGTTTCAACAAAGCCGCCGTCCCTGCGGAGTGCTGTCAAATTGAAAGAAACAGCAGTCAAGATAAGAGGCTTACACGGCCAACGGAAGATAATAGTAGGGTAAGTGTACATAAAAATATCAACTGCTCCCAAAAATCGCTTTACAAAACTCTTGACCTCACTGCCAGTGCCTCCGCTTTCCGCTTTCCGAACAAGTATGATGATCACGGTCAAACACTCGTTATTGGCTTCTGTTTCCAGTAATGCGAATGGCTGAAAGGGCACGAGTTTCACAGGCCAATTGGAGAGCATAGTGAAATAAAAACCGGCGACAAATCGACCGTGGACTACTTGCAAAAAGAAAAAATAAAATAACAGCAAAAATAATTCGGATCAATGTCAGGACCTGCGCAACTGCGCACCTACCCTTCCTTTAACCCAACAATAACACGAACTTGTTATTAGTTGACTGTTCTTGGGTTAGGGGGAGGGGTAGGTACAGACTTGCTCAGATACTGATGCAATAATTATTACCCGTTGAACGACGTCCCACACATCTTTGTTATCGGAGCTAAACAGCGTACTGGCTGACTGAAGAAGGACCTGTGGATCATATCAAATAAATTAATTAAGTTGTTGTTCTTGAGAGAAGCAGAAATTGTAAGCTGTAAAGAAGAGAGAAGCAGAAATTGTAAGCGCGAGGGATTCCGGATCGAAAAAGTCGGTTTTGATCCGTAAACTACTCTCTTGGTTGCGTTTTCTGGCAAAACTTTCTTTAACCCTTTACACCCTAACATCAGCATGCATATTCTCCATACTGTTCTCTATACAGTTCCTAACGTGCCGACAAGGAGAATTGGTTTAACGATCCAGAGCTTCTGTAGTTGTTGATCATTTCCAATATTCTCATGACCTTAGTGTGTCATTCGGGGATGATATTGTAAGGAGAAATTAGATGCTAGTCACTCTTCAGGGTGAAAAAACTGACCAGTGAACTTCATTTGCACATTCGCAGCTGCATCTAGCGTATATTTAAATTAAAAGAGGATTTTCCCGTCCTAAAAAATTGTACATTGTGTCACATCATTATTTCGAAACAGCTCTCTTAGTCACAATTTCACTTCTTGACTGTGGGTTTCTTGTGACCTGGCAAGAAATGGGAAATCCAGAAACCATACAACTATTACCTCCGCCACGAAAACTTACGCAGATAAGACAGTGAACGCGTTTTCCGATTCAACAGGTCTTCCTCACGCGAGGAGATCTGCCTTTGAAAGTAGCAAAAATTCCGGAAATATTTGCACAGTTAACCCTATGCACCCTAAGATCAGTCTACATAATCTCTATACTGTCCTCTTTACCTTTCCAAAGGTCCTGACAAGGAGAATTTGTTAAACTATCAAGAGCTTCCTTAACTGGTGATCAATTCCTTCATTCTCATGACCGTAATATTTGATTCAGGGATGATATCGTGGGGAGAAATTAGTTGCTAGTCATTCTTAGGAGTCAAAGAGTTAAGAGAGCTAGGCATGATGGGATCGTTGCTTGAGGTGCGACAGGGCGTGAAATTGCGCCCAATACAGGCGCCGATGCTACTAAATTTTTCACTTTGGCGACCAAATCCTGAAAATTAGTCGCCAATTTGGCGACTAGAATGCTCTATCATAACCTTTACCTAGATGTATAGGGAATTAAAAAGATTTGCAAAGACAAATCCGTGGCAAACTTTCTCGTTAAAGTTTGTTTCCAAAACGCAGCACATGCATCTCGATCGATAACTGGACGTCATCTTGGATTTAGGTGAGCTTGAACGTTGTATATCATCCATCCTAGTGTCCACTTTGTAACGTGTTAAAGATCTTTCCCTAACTTAATTTTGGAGGGTCTATCTAGAACGCTGACGGCGTAAAAAAAGGTTTTGTTTGTCTTTAAAAATGGCGACCAACTTTTTTTTGAATTGGCTACCACTTTGAAAAATTTAGGAGCCAAGTGGCTATCAGAAAAGAAAATTAATTTCACGCCCTGTGCGAGCGTTTCGATTCCCGCCAAATGAGCTGAAGTCGGCGGCGTCACGCCTTGTTTAGGCCGGGCCACTAAGTCAAATGTTATGCTCATTTTAAGACAACTACCCAAAGAATACAATCCCCTTGAATGCTCAAACTGCGGTAAGTACTATATCTTTACTTTAAATGGCTGAGATGGAAATTATGCGGTTTCTGCAATAAACTTCTCTAACTTTCACACCTTCGCAAACTCCTTGGTCTTGGCTGAAACAAGCGTGCTGGAGTTTTGTTGACTCTCGTATCCAAACAGAGTGGTAATAATCGTCAGTGCGATTTCTATGTCTCTGGCGTACAGTTGAGGGGATAACGTGATGGCAAGATCTAACTGCTGTCCTATACCAAGGGCGAAATCTGGCTTCCAGTCAACGTTACCAGACGTCAAGTTTTCTAGCTACAAAAGACACAAGGGTAAGTTAGTATTATCAAGTGACTTGATAACGTAAATTGGCCATCGTAAGGAGTGTTAAGGCTGATGTTTCGAGCGTTAGCCCTTCGCCAATCGCTCTGACGAAGGGCTAACGCTCGAAACGTCAGCTTTAAAACTCTTTACGGTGGCCAGTTTACGTTATCAACTCAGTTGATATTACCGTCATACTCTTCCACCGACATAGCACAAGAGTTTGTTTAGAAACTTAAACCCTCTACACAAAAGAAACCAGTTGAATTGCCATCTGTCTGTGAAGACATGTTGGTCAATTGATTGAGGGCGGGGGGAAGAACGGAGATATCTCCATGATCTGATATGATGTATTAAAGGATGCATGTTGTTTCATAGTGTTTGGTGGGAGCGGGGGTGTCTAACAGACGGTGGTTGATAACTTTCCATCTTAAGAAAGAACGACCTTTCTTGAACATTTCAAGGAACAATTTATCACATAATTCTAGCTTGCGACTCATTCAAAAAAAGCAAAGTAAAAATTACTAAACAAAGCGATAAACATGTATCACACAAACAAGGGAGAACTACTACTTCGTGTCGGGAAGGGCAGGATTAAATACAGACTATAGTTAGCAGTTATTCACCGAAGTGAAGGTAGATAAAAATTACTTTCACCGACACTGAGGTAAATTATTATATTTCATAAGCTCTCACCTTCTGCTGCAAAACAAAGAATGAGTTGGACACACAATTGAGTAGACTTGGTTTCTGCCAGCCATCATCCTTGTGACAAAACCGAGTTGCTGTTCCTAACAAGGAAGAACGAGAGAAAAGCATTAATCACAAACGTTCTCTCGAGTGATCTCAAATTGTGGTTGAATCCGCGAACTTGGGAGTTAAAACTACACAAGTTGTGCAGAATACTAAACATTACTGCAGGCTTGTGCTGCTATGTTACTCTCACCTGAATCATCACCCACACTCGTGTTTTAAGCACAGACTTCAAATCCAGCTTCTCACATGAAAACCTAGCTTTCGATCACGCCTTCATGATCAGCGCTGCAGGACGCGCGTTTTTCCACCGGCGGGAAAATTTGAGACGCGTCGGGAAGAGGTTTGCCGGAAGTCTGGCACTAATAATGTTATTTTCAGCGTAAAACTCGTTGCACACCTCTCTCCTACTTGCGTCGCTTACGGCCTCATACTTTCCCGCGGGCGAAGAAACGCGATACTAATGAGCTACTGCTCAAAAGTTCGTGAATATCACGTAACTTGGTTTTATTCACTGACTTAACAATGGTAAATGCCTTGTTTAGTAACACATCAAAGAAGCGCTCGACGACTTTCGTTCACGTACTTGAGTTTACAATACAATTCAATACAATATTCTTTATTTAACGAAGTTGACGTAATTAACCCAATGATTTATCTAACTTACGGCCTTCAAACCAGTACAAATACATATATAAAATAATGACTAATCGGCAAAACCACTTACTACGAGAAAAACTAAAACTAGAAATTGTACGGTTTAACATAGATATAACATGATATAAATAATTACCTTCTTAAACAACATTTCATCCACAAAATTAAAAAACGTCGAAAACACAAACCCGATGATCCGAATGGGCATTTTTCTTTTGCTGTTGTCCCAAACGCGGCTTTTTTCCACCATATTTCCTCAGCAAATGCTCTTGGACATGATGTGTTTATAACTATTAAATACCAACAAACAAAATTAATTCTAAAGTTCCTCATTTCCCGGTTTTAGTAAACAAATAATACATAGATAAATAAATAAAAAGAGGTAACATGACGAATGCTGTTCGAGATATCTTCCTTTAATGTGGTGAAATAATATAATAATGATAATAGTAATAATAATAATAATAATAATAATAATACTAACAATAATAATTTAACAAATACAAATCGTTGTTAGTTATGTGTACAGAAGACTCACGATTTCTCGTGCAAACTGTTTCTAGAAACTCTCGAAAAGAGGAATTAAAATTAACTTTCCTTTCTCATGAAAGAAATGTTACCAAACATACGACCTTCCGACAATTCAACCAATTCCCTTTCCCAAGTAGGAAATTAGAAAAATGGGGATTCTTCCCTATTTGACAAGACTGAAAAAGACTGTTTCTCTGCAGCGGAGTTAATGCATGTCTAAGCGCCTGTTTTAAACGCATGCAAACGCATTTCACCTGCAATAAAGACGTGTTTTGAACGGGATGAGGCGTGTTTCATCGGCACTGTTGAAACCTTACACGCACAACGTAACCCATTTCAAACGCATTAAATACGCATACAAACGCATCTTCACCGCGTTTGCAACGCGTTCAAATTACGTAAAATCTCACTAACCCACACAGCCTCTACCGCTCACAATCTGACCCTGTTTGTCTTCGCACTGATTACAACGCCTTCCGACCACATTCCTCCCTCCCCTTCGGCCTTTAAGACAAGGGCACTGGCCATTCTCTGTAGCACACTGATCACCAGTACTACCAATCTCTTCACAGTCACATCTAAAACAGCCATCACTAAACACAGGGGCACCCGAGAATGTGTAGCTTACAATCTTTCGATAGTGCTTTGCCTGGACAAAAACAAAACAAGTAAAAATTTAAAAAAAAAAACATTGATTTCCAGTTGCGTAACAAGTGAATGAAAGACACATTAGATTCAGAACTGAATTCTAGAGCAGTAGGCACGGTTTACAGGCGACGAAAAATGCAAGACCACAAGGGAGCCATTCCGTGGCTTTCTTTCAGACACATCACCCATACAATGCACTTTTCAGCCCTGTTTCCTATACCAATCAAATAAAGAATGATGCAAATCGCAAACAAATCGGTATAAAAACCTGTTCTTTTCGACGAAATGTAAAAGCACACAAAACTTTATGTCCCTCCAGACTGCAAACAATTCTCCTTTCCCGCTTAAGTCCATAATAGTAGATTAAGGAGTTTTTTCTTCATTTGTTCATTTGTTTTCTGCATTATCGCTTTTTCTTCCATTGATTTTTCCCTCGTTCTCATGACTTCATATAGAAAAACAGAAACTGCTCTGATTTTTCCCTGGTTTAGACTCTCGAAACTTTCCACGGTTTAAATAAAGTTCAACTGATAAGCTTCCTCCATGTGGTACTTACATTACAGTAGCACTCTCCTGTAGACTTGTTACAAACTGGACTCAGATTCATCCCCACTTCACATTTACACGGACCACAGACGCCTATACTTGAAGCACCAAAGTACTTATCTCGACAGGGTATCTCCATGCGGACTTCACAAAATTCCCCTAAGAAATTATACAAAACATTAAAACTTGAAATTTAAGTGAATCTTAAGTTCAACATTGAGAGATTTGCGTTGCATATCAGTAACTGGTGAATTTGCCCCACTGCAAGTTCGCGCCTAATCACCAGTACCAGTTCGCCCGCAAATCCTTCGGCTAACCTAACTGCCAAATTGCTAGAGCAGCACGATATCTATGTGTTCCTCTTATTTCGTTTTCGTTTTCTTCTTTGCTTCCATTTTGTTTTCGCTTCTTGTTTTTTAGTTTTGTACTGAGGTTTTTGTTTCTGTTTTTTTTTTGTTCTTGCATTCGAAACGGTGCTCTCGCGTCAAGAGTAAAAGGGTGCTGTATATGTTTTTATCATACAAACTACGGTGTTATACTGAAGAAAAGTAAAATGGTTTCTGTGTTTACATAGCCAGATGTAAACACGCGGGAGGTTGGGAGAACACGAGATAAGCGTAGGAAACCGTTTTACATTTCTTTTATGAAATAACTAATGAAAGAGGAACGAAAACCGTGTTTACATACGCTCACGTAAAATGGTGTTATGGCAAATCAGAGCGCGCGTACTATTTGAATTATTTTATAAAAGGATTTTTTAGCCCTGAGAAAAGCCGTAACAACACACGTGAAAAAATACGATATTTTTTCACGTGTGTTTGATATCGCCAATCAGCTGCTGACACGTCACACGCCTTTCGCGCCACTCGGTCAGGTTGATGAATGAGCGGCAAAGCCTTCACCATTCTCAATCCAAGGTCGTTTGTCAGAATATTTTCGGATTATTTCTGCTTAAAAACCGAAATATTCGTATCGACGCTTACAGAAAGTGACGTTCAAACTTTCCTAGAAAGGGAAGAAAGCCAAAAAAAAAAAAAAGAAAAACCGAAAGTTACGTATTTAGTGGTTTTGGTAATGGCATTTCTCGCGGCTGAAAACGAAAATCGACCACTGGAAGATTTGCCACAGGCCGATTTTGGTCTGGTACCTGAATGATTTCTTCTGTCGGTAAGGACCAATTCAATAACTGAAAATTTTGTATATTGAAAATTAGGCCCATTGTTTGTTTTTGTAGTGATTCAACGCATGTTCTCATCTTGAGTGCGCCAACGGACTTTACGATTTGTATTCGGGGATTGTCGATCGTTTTATTTTCATTCATTAATAGAGTCGACTTTTCTTGTCAGTAAAAGGCTATTGTGTTTACGTGATAAACAAAATCATACCTAGTTACTTGTAGATATGAAATTTCTCTTCTCGTATTCAACTCCACATCTCACTTGTGAGCTACCGAGTTAAACTCTCGAAGCGAAATTCCATATCTACGCGCGCCCATGTATTATTCTCTATTTATTTATTTATTTATTTCATTTATAACAACTTTGTATGGATTAAAATGGTACCCACAAATTGCAAAAAAAATGTGTCCAATAGGGAATGATTTTAAATGAAAAAAAAAAAAAGATAAAAAATGAAAAAAAATTCCACTTACCAGTGTACTGTTGAGGACAAACACATCGGAATCCCTTTCCATGGTTTGTACTTTCACATTTGCCATGTCGGCATGGCTTAAGAGAACATACGCGCAGGCAGTGTTTACCAACGTAACCTACGGGACATATGCATTTGTAGGAGTCGAATTCCTCTTGGCACGTGCTGTAGTCTGGACAAGGGTTCGATGAGCAGTGGCTTCCCATTTTCTCTCCACAAACAGATGTTGTTTTGTGATTGACTCCAGAGTTCATGTTGATCTCAGTGCTTCCGACAAAAACCCCTACAAATATGGAAAGAGAGAGGTTAGTGTCTCCTCGTATAAACGGGTAACCGAGTTGGACCATTTCCGAAAGGCCCATAGCCTCTGTTTTAAAACGAGCCCAGATACGATACTTCTCATAGGAAAAGAAATTATTTTGCAAACGAAGCTATTTTCACGAAAAAGGGGTCGGAAATGGCCTAATATTCATACATCCACTATTACCATGCTCACTCCAAAAGCACAGTTCCAACGCTTACTACATAAACAAGCACGCACGAACACACATGCACGCGCTTGTACGCACCTGCTCGCACACGTACACGCACGTGCGCACGCACATACGCACTCACAGTAACGCTCCAAACCTAACGTTTAGTCTGTCTTGCCTTTCTGTGATGTTTCTTCATGTAAATTACTAACAAGTAATAAAACGATTTATCTTGCAATTTGGTGTAATAAGCACTTATAAATTTTTCAAAGACTACAAACTTCACTCGCCCTACAGCTCGTGCAATCTTGTGGTACTGAAAAATTTACTCGAGCGTATTAACACCAAATTGCACTCGAAATCATGTTATTACCTATACTCATAAACAACTATCTTTTCCTCCAAGCTTAGGGAAATCAGTGCATTGCTACTAATTTAATACCTAGAACAGGCTACAGAAACATAAGCCTAACAGTTTAACTAGAGGAATTTGCTTAGAAAAGCATACCTTGTATACAGCCTCTAAATCCACCATACACTGCAGACTTGGTAGAATTCTTCCTCGCTCCCATGAAAAACTGTCTGACAACTCCAAGGTCTTTTCCACTGGATGCATCTGCAGAAACTTTGTAGATGTAGTCCATTGTTATGTTAAGGGAAGAATCTGTCCAGAGGATCTCGATGTGATGCCACTGGGTATCATTCACGACTATGTGAGGCAATTGGAGAACTAGCAGCCCTTTGTAGTTGTACGACAGTTTACCATCAACCAACTGAAATAGCAATGAAGTTCGCGTAAGTATAAGAATGATCAATGACTTTTAAAACATGTACCTTGATTTACATAACTTACCCCTAACACCGAAGATGATGACGAAAAAGAGGTTTCAAGCAGAGTTCCTGAAGGCTTGGCTGTGCGGAATCTCATTGAAACACTCCACGGAAGATTGACCCTTGAGTTGGCAGGCACCCTCTTAAAACTCTGTCCTGAGAATCTCGCAGTGTATTTCACACCTGTTGAACAAGGAAGTTTGTATGAATGGTATCCATATAAGAACCCGTGATAAGAAATTTATGTTCTCCTTAGTTGGGGTATTTTAGGGTAACGCGACTCCCAGAAAATCAACGCTAACTGGAGGCCTGGATAATTTCTCCTCAATTTAACCCTTAAACTCCCACGAGTGACCAAGACAGTATTCCTCCTTACAATATTAATACGATATCGACCAGATAAGCGATGAGGATAAAGAAAAACATCAGTTTGGGGATAATTAGTAGATCCAATGCTAAATTCTCTGAACTAACATTGTAAGCATTGTATGGTTGACAGTGAGGAGAATTACAAATTTGATCGGGGAGGTAAAGGGTTTAGGAAATTAATTAACCCGAGTTTCATCAACCTTTTACCTGCCATAAATGACCAAGACATAATTTCTCCTTACAATATCAAAACAATATCAAGCAGACAAGTGACGAGAATAAAGAAAAATATCAATTAGAGAGTTATTAATTGATCCAATACTAAATTCTCAGAACTAACATCAGAAGAGTTGTATAGACAGTAAGGAGAATTAACAATTAAAAAGGGTTAAGAAACAGAAATTTCTATTTGAGGAACTTGGCCCTTATCGTTAACTTTCAACTCTGAGGATTGTTCACCAGCAGATCTTCGGATGTACGATATCTCATTTGGCTCAAAATCTGGTATGGATCGATAATTCAAGGCGAAAATACCGGTGATTAAGTACGTGCATTTATTAATTGAAGATCCACTAAATCAGATAAACTCGACGATATATTTCTCATAACAAGGAATCGCATACATTTAAATGCTCATGAGGTGTCCTTTATCATGCACAACTCATGAACTGTTGTCTGCATCTTAGATACTAAGCATTTGAAAAGATTCCAAAAGATTCCGTACTCTTGCGAACGCTTCAAACTAAAGTAAGTGCGAGAGGAAAGATCACTTACATACCCGCAAAAAAAAAAAAATGCAATACCTGTTTCACAGCGACTTCCATCATACCCAGTGGGACAGTCACACCGGCGAGAACCAAGTATGTTAAAACACGTGCCTCGCTCGCAAGGTTTATATGCGCACGTGTTGCCCATTGCTTTACATTTAGCACTGGTTCCGTTGTTGTACAATGGCTGACTGAGGTCCAAGAACTTGTGATCGATGTAAACATTCCTGATGCAGCCAGTAAAATGTTTGTAGAGGACTGGGAATTTAACTGGTAGCTGCACCAGCCCACCGAGAAGAAGAGGGCCAGTCAGATCCAAGGAGCTAGAAAAGAGAAAAAAAAAGATCACATTGTCGCTATTTGCAGTTCTCTTTTTATTCCCAACACGAAAACATTCCATACATGATTTTGAGAATTTAAAAAGTAAGTAGATATCTAGAATTATGTATAGGACAAGTAGTGCAAAAAGTGTACACTTGTGATCAAAGCGCACTGATCAGGAACTTCTAGCCCTCAAGATTACAGTTGACCCTTTGACTCCCAGAAATGAGAGCTCCAATTGCAGTTTGACATAAGTAATCTGACAAAAAAAATCACTGCTTGGATCTTAAAAAAATGTCAAAAACATCTTACAATAAAGGTCACCCACTATACTAAAATTATTGCATATATTAACCCGCTTATAAATACCTAAAGCTCTGATGATGATGATAATATTAATAACAATTAATAATATTAATAATAACACTATTATCAGTCCATATGATATATTTCTCTATTCTCAATTCTCTTATAAATTTAAGAAATAACTAATTCAAACAAATTGGAAATAAACATAGTAAATAAAAATCAACACAGTTTTTAAGAACCCTAACAAACAAAAGGCAGACAAATAATTATTGGCTTTAAACGGAGCAAAGCCAACGAGTGGAACTCAGGGCAACTGAAAACAAATCCAGTAAGTAGCTGAGCGGAGAACTACAACCTGGGACCACTGGATTACAAGTCCAGTGCCCTAAGCACCTGGCCAGCACCCTAAGCACCTGACCAGCACCCTAGGCACCTGGCCAGCACCCTAAGCACTCAGCCACTCTGCCTCTCTGATGGTGTGCATTTACATAAAAATGTACCTGTAATTTTCAGATTCATCTTTAATTTGAAGTTGCTGTGCTGCGGCACATGGGAAGGAGGCAGCTTTGGTCCCAAAATTCACTGCCACTGCAAGTTTACAGTCATCAACAATGATAATGCCAGTCTGAAAAAGAGAAAAAAATGATCTACTGGGTAAAAAACATCTTGAAAAAGGGTTACTAATCCTTGCATGAATTAAATTTTTTCAGTACAAAGCAGACTCACTCTGAGATCAGCAAAGTAAAACACAACATAACTTTGGATAATGGATTGTAACAGGGGGTTAAAGGTGAAAGTGTTGCTTACTGAAAGGGTCACAACCCTTAAATCCTTCCAATATATGTACATAGCAGTTTACCCTCTAATTCCTAAGATCTGATTGTTAATTCTCCCCTCTTGCTGTTACACATTCCCTTTTAAATTACATGTAGTTACAAGGATTTGGTGTTAGATCAAGAAGATAACTGTAACTGATAAGTCTGAGTATTCTTATTACCTGTTTGCAGAATTATGTATGAATACCATTGGGAGAAGTTACATGTTAATCACTTCTAATAGTTAAAGGGTTCATCTCATAAAAGCTACTTACTGAATTAAGAGCAAAAAGATGACATATTTATTGAGTTATCCTTCAGGCATTTGAAATCAGATCATTTTTTTAGCCAATCTGTAGAATTATCTGACAATATATTCATTTACATTCTTTAACATAATAACAACTGTTATTTCAACAAGATATTACATCTACAGTGATGCAGTTTTGGAATATGGCTCTCCCTTATCAGCCACAAATAATTTGGTTTCTACCAGTAATTGCCATGCCTACACCGGAAGAGAAATAATTCCAAAGTCTTTTTTTTCCTTTTCTCTGAGTTAAAAATTCAGTATCAACAACATTCAAAAGGGATTGATATATTTTAGTATTTTCTCACAAGTTCAGACTTTTTGTTGTGTGATACCCATTATTTTCCCATGACCTCTTCATTTTTTTAAACAATGCAAATTCTACTTCAACTTGTAATTAATTTTGAAAGAATACAATGAATTACTTAAAGGTCATACATTCTCATTGCACACCACTCAGCGCTATTCCAATGGAAAACAAGGAAATTCAAATTCTCCCCAATATATAGAGAGAATTTAACCTTATGTAGTCAATTTGTTCATTTGTATACACAGGTTATCTTGGCACATGTTGTGCATGTTCATGCATGTTTCAATGCTAAGTTTTTTCTCATAGATGTGCCAGGTTGAAATTTTGAATTGCTTGTCACTGCAGGAGTTCTGTTTGTTTTTTTTTCTAGACTTAAAAAGCTTGTTGCTCTGAAGAAGCTGTGATACTTCCAAAATGATTTTTGGATTATTGATCTGAGAAGGAAATATTTATCTTCATTCCTTTATGTTTTGACTTTCTTTAAGTTCAGAGGTTATCAATGAAGGTAGTAGTTGTTTTCATATGAAAATTTCAAGTTTGTTTTTTTTGTTTTTGTCTTGAGTGGAGTTGTTTTTTTAATGGATGATCAAGAGGAAAAACAGGCAAGTGTTGTTTTTCATGAAAACTTTCTTGAAGTCAAGAGTTTTACCCTAATTGAGATGCTCTATAAAATAGTCCAGTAATGTCTATCAAAATATCAGCACAGAGAAGCAGATAATCCCAAATTTGATCATGTCTTTTGGGTGGTTTGTTTAATCACTGATGAAAAACATACGTTTTAGATTTTTATCAGGTTTTGGCTTCCTTCTTGATCTGAGAAGGAAATATTTATCTTCATTCCTTTATGTTTTGACTTTCTTTAAGTTCAGAGGTTATCAATGAAGGTAGTAGTTGTTTTCATATGAAAATTTCAAGTTTGTTTTTTTTGTTTTTGTCTTGAGTGGAGTTGTTTTTTTAATGGATGATCAAGAGGAAAAACAGACAAGTGTTGTTTTTCATGAAAACTTTCTTGAAGTTTAGAGTTTTACCCTAATTGAGATGCTCTATAAAATAGTCCAGTAATATCTATCAAAATATTAGCACTGAGAAGCAGATACTCCCAAAGTTGATCATGTCTTTTGGGTGGTTTGTTTAATCACTGATGAAAAACATACGTTTTAGATTTTTATCAGGTTCTGGCTTCCTTCTTGATCTGAGAAGGAAATATTTATCTTCATTCCTTTATGTTTTGACTTTCTTTAAGTTCAGAGGTTATCGATGAAGGTAGTAGTTGTTTTCATATTAAAATTTCAAGTTTGTTTTTTTTGTTTTTGTCTTGAGTGGAGTTGTTTTTTTAATGGATGATCAAGAGGAAAAACAGGCAAGTGTTGTTTTTCATGAAATCTTTCTTGAAGTTTAGAGTTTTACCCTAATTGAGATGCTCTATAAAATAGTCCAGTAATATCTATCAAAATATCAGCACAGAGAAGCAGATAATCCCAAAGTTGATCATGTCTTTTGGGTGGTTTGTTTAATCACTGATGAAAAACATACGTTTTAGATTTTTATCAGGTTTTGGCTTCCATGTAGCAAAATTTAACCCAGATTGAGTGTGTGATTTCATGAAATTGTTCCTTAAAAAAACAATTTTTAGCTCCAAGAGATAAGGCTCTCTAATCAATTTAAATGATTGGAATTTGTACATTGTAAGGAATGTCAAATGAAAAGTATTGTGTAACATACACCACTCCAAAACTGCACTCTTCAAATCATTAAACAATTCCACAAAGAAAACAATTTTTGTCCATTTTTCTGATATTGAGGAACCTAACACATACTTGTGCAACCAGCAAATATCGGGGTAACATGAGTGGTCAGATATGTTTGAGAGGTGACCCTTGACACTTGAATCTTTACAACTTAAGAGTAAAAATGTTTAAGCAACAAAACCACAGGACACTCATAAACATATTGAAACCACCACGTGAATCTTGCTCAAGAAAAGCTCCAATCTGTAGTTTTACACTTCACCTGTAGGTTTCAGTTTGAAATAGTTTATGAATTTAGAGTAACATCTAGTTCAGAACTTTGCATATTGTAAAATACCAAAAAAAAATCAACAGACTGTAACACAAAATAAATTGAATTTCTCATTGCCTCCTTCACCCTTCAACTCCCAGAAGTAACTAACATGTAATAATGATATCTAAACCTTATCCATTACACAGGTAATGAGAATACTCAAAGTTGTTATCTTGATCTGATACCACCAGATTCTCATAACTAATTTTAAAAAAATGTACAACAGCTAGAGGAGAGAACTGACACTCAGATCTTGGGAGTTTATGGGTTAACTGAGCAGGAGACCCACATAGTATAGAAGGTTCATGATTAAATAAATTGTAATTCACATTCATGAATTAAACTGTATTTACATTGGAAATATTTTTCCAAAAAAATTCTTACCCTGTTCTGAAATGCCACTTCTACTTTATGCCAATTGCCGTCAATGACACCACCATTTACATTTGATGTAACAATGACTTCATGGGAAAACAGTGAAAACCTGAACCGAACTTGTCCTTGCCACACTTCCACTGCAATAAAGTCATGTTTTCCATCATACCGTCCATTGAAGAGCAAAAGCCCACTGTGCTCAGTGGTGGTAAACTCCATCTGTATGTGTAAACGCCATCTTTGTTTCAATGCTAGGAAAAAATAAAGTCATCATCATCATCATCATCATCATCATCATCATCATCATCATCATCATCCCAAAACAAACTACAAACAGTGCCATTTGGTAACAACCCTTTAACCCCTACGAGTCACTAGCATCTAATTTCTCCTTACAATATCACCCCTAAATCACACATTTAAGTCACTAGAATAAAGGAAAAAGATCACCAGCTGAGGAAGCTCTTGATTGTTGTACATTAAGTCTCCTTGTCAGTAACTTAGGAAATGTACGGAGAACAGTACAGAGAATATGGGTACTGATGTTTGGGTGAAATCGGTTAATATAAAATTACCTTTTAGAAGGAGCTACATGAAGGGTGGAACACTAATAGCTTAAACCCTTAAACTCCCAAGAGTGACCAAGACAGAATTCTCATTTCAATATCAATACAATGTCAGGAAGATAAGTGATAAGAATAAAGAGCAATATCAGTTGGGCAATTGTTAGTTGATTCAATACTGAATTCTCCAAACTAACATCATGAGAACTGTACAGCAGACAGTAAGGAGAATTACTTTAGAGATCTGGGAGTGAGAGGGTTAAACACATGAAAAAACCACATGAAATTAAAATTCTTTCCTCCAATACAAGGTGGAAGTGTTCACCTGGATTGGAACGCACTGCCCCTAACATAGTGTATGTGACTAATTTGTTTGATTACAAGCCATCTCCTATATTAATAATCTATTTGTTGCACAAGACTAGCACTTAACTTTAAACTTTGAGCGATTGTACAAAACCTCAACATTCAAAAATTCATTGTGTCTTAATTCTGTAAGTTTTTCTTCCATCCTCAATACAGTGTGAAATTCAGTCAAATTCAGTAAAAAAGAGTGCAGTCATGCAGAAGTGGTAAGTTTTAAAAGGGGTGCTTACTAAAGTAAAGTAGAAGAGCTTATTCTAGGATTTATAGTACACATAACTACTAATAAATCCTTACCTGGAAAGGCAACAAATGATCCTTTTTCAAAACTGCGCGTTGTCAGTTGGCACAGTGACCCATCAACTTCACTCGGATCTTTGCACTGACAGGTGAACCCGCTTCCAAGAACATTTTTACAACCACCATCACTATGGCATGGATTTGCATTTAGATGATTTTCTGTCGCTTTTGAGTCTATAGGACACTTGCTCTTTGACATGTCAATCTCACAGTTTACACCAGTTCTTCCTGGATTGCATATACAAGAGTAGCTTTCTTCTACACTCACACACTTCCCATTGTTTCCACAAGGATTGGAGTAGCACAAGTTTAAACCTGTGTCACAACTTTCTCCTCGATAGTCAGTAGCACAGGGGCATCTGTAATTAGTTTGCACTCCAACTGAGCGGAATACCACCTTTAATGAACTGTAGGTGTTGGATTTGTCAGTATAGTCAGTGTGTGACAAGCAGCTCTTTCTGGATGTTGGTAGGGGGAAGTTGCATATTTCATCAACGCACAAGCCATCTTTGAAAGGAAGGAGAGTGACTTTTGCCATTTTGGAAATCTGTACCATATTTATGTACACCATGTCTCTCACATACAAAGGACTATAAAAGCTAAAGCGATCATTTTTATAAACAGCCGCCCAGAGCTTGAGATTAGAAATATCATCCTCAAGTGGTGACTTTGTCTTGATTATCCTTGATTCTATATTAAACAATCTGACCTGGTAGTCCTCACAATTCACAGCAGAAGCAATTCCCCTCACAAGACCCTCATAGGATTTATCAAAGAATTCTTTGATAGTGACATCATGGACATCCAGGGTAAAGCTGTTGTTGAGCATTTGAGGTGTCACCAACGTTGCAAAAATTTTACCATTGGCGGGAAGGCTATTCCTTCCATCAGAAACTCTAACCTTAAGTTGGACTGGCCTTACTAATGTGTTGACTAAGACTTTGGGATTGACCTCAAGATAACCTGTGGTTCTGTTCAAAGACATGTCCCAATCTCCTTGTGATATTTCACTGATTTCATATGTAAGACGGTCAGAAACATCAGGGTCATATGCAGGTATTTTAAACTTTGGCGGTGTAGTAGAGCTTTCGTCTCGAACATTTATGACAACAAAGAAATCCTGAAGTACAGGCGAGTTATCATTTACATCTTTCAGTGTCACATTGACAATTGTTTCAACAAAGAATGGCGATGATGTTGCCCGCACCTTTAGAATATACTCAGGTTTTGTTTCATAATCTAACAATCTCTTGGTCATAATCACACCATTTCTCTGAATGACAAATGTTAATGGATCATTGCCAGACACAATGCTGTAAAAAATCTCACCACCTTGAACAAGGTCTTGGGACACTGCTTTAACGGTGACCACATTGGAACGCATTCTCACATCTTCATCAAGAAACACTACATACGGATCCTTTTCAAATTTTGGTTTACTGTCACGAACATCTTCCAATGTTATCTTGACTTTCACCGTTGATTTCATTGATGGTCTGCCTTTGTCAGCAGCAACCACAGTCAGTTCATATTCGGGAATTGTTTCACGATCAAGTGACAGCAAAGTTCTGATAACTCCCTGATTGCTGTCAATTTGAAAAGCACCACCTCCATCACCTAAACGAGTATTGAAAAATACAACAACAACAACCAAAAATATTAATAGGAACACGATCATAAATGGCTTAATCAATACCTGTACTTGAAAGCTATCAACCCTTTAACCCCTAAGAGTGACTAGAATCTAATTTCTCCTTAAAATATCCCCCAGAATTACACATTTAGGTCACAAGAATAAAGGAAATGATCGTAAACAAGAGAAGCTCTCGATGGTTTATCAAATTCTCCTTATCAGCACCTAAGGAAATGTATAAACAACAGTATGGAGAATATGCAAACTGATGTTAGGCTGTAGAAGGCCAACAACATTGTGCTTTTATTATTCTGTAAAAACAAACACATTCAATGTTGCCATGGGTCTCTTCAGATCACAGCAGATGTCAAAATGTAAATAGAACAAAAAAATAGTTGAACACAAGAAGCAGCCAAGGGTGTCACTGATTAGATTTTTCTTCACCCACTCTTGCTAAAACATGTTAACAAATTTTAGGCATGCACCAGTGTTAGACAGTGTAGCTTAACGTGAATTTTGAGTAAAAAAGATTTGGAATGTTGTAAAAAAAAAGCAACAGTTTTTACATCTTAACCCTTTAATCCCTAAGAATGATAAACATCTAATTACTCCCAACAGTTTTACCTCTGGATCAAACACTGAGGTCATGAAAAAAGGAAATGATCACAAACCCAAGAAACTCTTCATTGTTCTACAAACTCTCCTTGTTGGTAACATTGAAAATGTATAGAGAACAGTATGGAGAATTTGAACAATCTCAATGGAGGGATTACTAAGCTATAAATGTCTACAAAACAACAGGGAAATACAAATGAAAACCTGAAATTGAAATATGTTATTGGACAGATTCTGTCTATAAGCACTACATGTAAGCATTTGGGGGTTAAGAGAGGTAAGTTTCTAAAGAAACTATGGTGCTGTATTGGTGGAGGATTCTAACAGGGTAATTCATTATTATCAACTGAGTTGATTACGTACAGATTGGCCACCTTAAAGAATTACAAAGCTAATGTTTCAAGCCTTGGCCCTTTCTCAGAGCCATGACAATGGGCTAACACTCGAAACATCAGCTTTATAACTCTTTATGGTGGCCAATTTATGTTACCAGCTCAGTTGATAAGACTAAATTACCCTATTTGAGGGTTAATTATGCATGTAACTCATGATAAAATATCAAACAGTAAATTAGATATATTTACCATTTTTTGCAAATGAGTAGATAATGGCTTTATTTGAACCCTCATCATCATCAACTGCAGAGACTTCCAAAACTCGTGTTCCAGGCCGTACACTTTCCAGAATGGATTTTTCATAGTTGGACTGTAAAAATCTTGGTTTGTTGTCATTTACATCTGTTACTGTAATATGTACATTAGCAGTTCCTTTAAATGGTGGATTACCATGATCAGTTGCACTCACTTCAAACCTGTACTGTGAAGTTGTTTCACGATCTAAAAGGCTCAACACAGTAATCTCGCCAGTTTTAGAATTGATTTTAAAGTTTTGCAGAGATTGTTCAATTGCATAGGTCAGTTTAGCATTCAATCCTTGGTCACCATCAGTTGCCTTGACAATAAGAACCCTTCCACCAACTGCGGTAGCCTCACTGATCCTTTGTCTATAAATACGTTGTTGGAAAATGGGCTTGTGAGTGTTAGAATCAGTTACATTAATGCGCACGCCTGCAGAGCTTTCCAATTGACTGTCTCTAGCTTTTACTGTTAACGAGTAGAATCTAGTCTTGCTAAAGTCCAGTCTACATGATAATGTTATAACACCATTACCAGAAATTCGAAAGCATCGTCTTTGACTAGGGATAGATATCTGGAGACTGTAAAAGATGGTAGTCTGCCCAAGGTCAGGGTCGGTAGCTGTCACCTGAACAATGGTTGTTCCAAAGCGAGCATTCTCCTCCACTGATCCAAAATAAATGGATTTTGAAAATCTTGGAGGATTGTCATTTATGTCTCCCACATTGACAGTCACTTTAGTTTGGCTGCTCATAGGGGGCCTGCCCTTATCTTCAGCCTTAACGTGAAATACATATTGATTCACTGTCTCTCTGTCTAATTTTCTGGTAAGGTACAAGTCCCCAGTTTGGCTGTTAATACCGAATGGTAAATTGGACTCCACTAAACTGTAAATGATCTGTTGGTTTGTACCATCATCTGCGTCAAATGCAGTAACACGAGTAAAGGTGTGTCCTACACTCTCACGTTCCGAGACCATTTCTTGAAAATCAGAATTCACAAACTGAGGTGCATTGTCATTGACATCAATAAGGTATATCTCCACTGAGGTTTCGTTGTAATTTGGCGATTCACCTTTGTCTTGAGCCATCACAAAAAGTGTATGCACTGGAATGTACTCATAATCAAGTTTCTTGTTTACTTTGATCTGACCATTAAGATGATTGATAGAAAAAAGTTCCTGGTCATTACCACTGCTAAAACTGTAGGTGACTTCACCATTGGTGCCAAGGTCCTCATCTGATGCACTTACAGTCAAAACTAGCTCCCCTGTTTTGATGTTTTCAGGAATCTTTTTGGAGTATTCTCTCTTTAAAAACTGAGGAACACAGTCATTGACATCAGTAACAGTAATTCGCACAGTGGCCTGGTCTGTTTTAGGAGGGGATGCACTATCACTTGCCTGGACAGTAAGGGAGTATTGCTGTACAGTTTCTCGATCCAGATGTTTGTCTACAGTTATTGAACCACTACTTTGACCAATTGCAAATGCACTGTTAACACCACTATTATTAATGATGTTGTAACGGATATCTGCATTGGAACCTGTATCTAAATCGCGTGCCCGCACATCAAGGACCGTCTCTCCGATAAAAATATCCTCTGGTATGACTTTGCTGTAGGAGGATGATTCGAAGTTCGGCGCGTTGTCGTTTACATCATCGACATAGATGGTCAGATCTGCTTCAGCATACAACGATCTTTCTTGTTCGTATTCGGCTTTAATACGAAAATAGTGCGTCGGCATCTTTTCACGATCTAAAGAAGCTGAAGTTTTTATTAATCCCGTGTTAGGATCGATCCCAAAGAACGACTGACTGAGTAAATTCTGGGACGCTTCCATCGAGTATTTAATTTTCCCAGCGTACCCATTGTTCGTATCTTGTGCTTGAATCGTAATAACGCTTGTTCCTACGGGACCATTTTCTCTAACCTTAGCTATTAACTGAGAGCTGGAGAAACGGGGAGCTGTTTTCTGTGGTCGACGACGAAATCGGCGTACCTTCTTGGCAAAATTGTTTGCGTTTTTATCGATAAACAACTCAAGTCGCGCTACAAGAACTTGTTTATTTCCACTCGCATTCTCAGAACCAACCGGAAATGCCAACTCCACTACCAGAGTGTTTTCTTGAAGTCCAAGTAACGATTTTCGAAGCACCAAATAATCGGATTTGGCGTCGAATCTGAAATACTTTCTCCATGGTGTATCTCTAAGCCTTAGCGACGCAGGATCTTCTTCGTGAATGAAGTCTTTCAATCGAAGCACACGCGTTCCGACTGGAGCGGTCCAAGACACTTTTCTCTGAAGCTTACTAAAGCAGTTTTTTCCAAAAATTGTCACGGTTAGAGGTCTCAGAGTCCGCTCTGCTGAATTAAAAATGGAATTCGATGATACATAAATATTAAACGGATTAAGCTGTAGAGATGTGCAGTCTGGCTTGCGAATCATTCGCAATAATCCGTTTGTTGAATCAATAGACAGAATTTGAAGAGTCGTGTGTTCGTCGGGGTTCGATGCTTCAAGCGTGTAATTCGTCCATCCCGGTCTACTTAAATTAGCTAAAATACTATACGGCTCTAACGATGAATAAATATTAATAACGGTGCCGTCCACTTGATGAAAAAGCCACAGGCACAAGTGTAAAAGAAAACCCAATGATAAGCGGTCGAAACAAGCCATTTGGCGGTGAGTCTGTTGACACCGTGTTAAAATAAGCGCTTTTCATGAGCGAAGTTGAAAATCACCAGTTCTTCCTTCAGCATACGTAAATGAACAACACTCGCTATTTCACTTTTCCATAAACACGGCCCAAGATTGGATAGAGCGCTCATCTTAGAGCACACCAGCTTTGAAATACCTTTGATCTTTACGGTTAGTTTGCTCGAGTGTCGGCAAGAGGTCTAATTTTGTTTGACTGACAAGTTTCAATTATTTCAGCAGCTAATTGGCTTCCTCGCCCTCACGTGATCACTTTCTGTAGCCGCGCGAGTTATTGAACCCAAGGTTTGCATGACAAATAAAACTATTTGATTTTCCAAAAGCATTCTTGTGTGATTTATTTGCAAACAAAAGAAGAACTAGAGGCTCACCGTGTGATCAATACAGCAAGTGCTTTCATTTCGACATATTGAAAAGTTTTCAAAAACATCGTTCAAATTAAGTACTTTCGCAAAATTGACAAGATTTGCGCGGAATTTTACAAATTTTTTAGTGGAATTAAAATTGATTGAAATCGCTTTTGACAATATGTTCTGACTTGTATATTAAGGATTGGATGCCTGTCACACGAGATATCTTGATGATATTGCTTTGGCGTAAGCTCAGAAGTTAGTCTCGAATTCTTGCAGCTGAACCAAAAAATAAAAAATATCTATTATTGCACATGATTACTATTATTATTACAATAACGCAACCAGACCTTTGCCTGGGTCATCCTTCATCTGATTTGTGCTCAATCCCTAGATGAAAGATCGCAAATAATTAGCAAAGCGAAATTACACTTGTAAACGAAAGCGTAGCGTGCGTGACTCTGACATTTCCTCTCAAATTCTTGACGTGCCAAAAATTTGCAGTGCGGGAAAAACTTTCTAGAATATTTTGTCAGGTATGTTGTCTTTACAAGTGTTTGTAGCTTTGAACGTGTCAAGACTTGCTAATGATCGGTTGACGATAAAACACAAGAGACAGGATCCAAAAACCTGTGATATTGAGGCTGCCTATGATTTTATCTTAGCCGTAGTATATCTTCTCATTAAACAACGAAATTATTTTTGTTCTTTCCAATCTTGGATTGATAGAAAGATCGATTAAATTTTAAACGGGGAAATATGCCGTTAGATTTTAAAAATTCAAGGAATAATTAAGTCGCTAATTAACGATTGACAGAAATACGATATGAGGCGAAATTAAATCAAATCTGGATACCAACAGGTATGAATTCGGAAGTAAATATTTAAGGCAGGAAGTTGATGCGACTGGGTTGTCATCTTGAACTAAGAAAAAAATGTGTCCTGAAATCTTACAAAAAATGACAGCGATCTATTTTGAAAGAAAAGTGCACTGCTTCGGCGAGTCACTCCAAGTATAGGCGTTGAGTGCAGATCCGCCTACACTTGCTATGCGATATCTTAAAAATCACAAGAGACTCTCGACATCAAAGCCGTAATCAATTAAAACAGAGCTTACGTTGATTTAAATTTAACGCAATTACTCAAGAGCCTTAAGCGCAATGCAACTCACAAAGCATAATTTGGTCTGGCACCGACGGTCTTCGGTCAAGTGAACTGTGTTGATAAGTTCTTACCAAAGGTTTACATAAATTTGAGAGGGTGAAAAGTTTTCAACACGAGGTTTGTGTATAGTCACCCATAAAAATGTGAACCTCATCTATCAGGGCTAGGCCTCTGTGATCAAACAAACAACAGACGCACACAGCGCCGAAGATCCATTCTTCAAATTGCCTAACTGTGTAAAGAAAGATGGTTTTCGTCTTGCCACGAGCGTGGGACAAAGTAAAATTGAGTCACGGGTGGATAAACTCAGTGCGGTTATCACAAAAGTTTTGGATAATTCTTTATGAAAGTTTCAATTTACTATGCTTTTTTCTCTTTAGTTTAATGCAAGATGTTCAAACGCGATTCTCTGAAAAAAAATATTCTTAAAGAGAGCGATACATATCATAGCGCGAATAATTTTCACGCTGATACAGTTTGAATGAAAACGGTAATTTTCCATCTGTGATTTTCTGATAGCACAGCCAAGAATTCAAGCTAAGAGTTCAGGAGCAGCAATGCTCATTTTTCATGCTTTCAAGCGAAAAGGGTAAAATAAAACTTCAAAGGAATTTACCGGCGTTATAGTGAACTGCACTGTTCCAAGACTACTTTTTTAATAGTCTTCTTTGAAATAATTTTCTGCTGACTTCGGTCGCGCATGCCCCGGAGCAATAGTTCTTCAGTAAAATGAAGTGCGGTCAGTTATTTCATTTCCGGTCTTTGACGCCGGATCGAATCAATGATCTCACATTTATTGTTTTCGGATATTATGATTGAAAGATCGGTTACACGCTTGACACGAATTTTTCGAAGAGATTCCTTTTAGTACGTAAACAAAGTAGATATGACAGCAGTACTAATCCGCAAGAATTTAATGTGTTCCATGACTGATATTTCAAACTAACTTGGAGTCTGTTTATCATCCTCCCCCTTCTCCCAGGGTCTTTCGAAGAAAAATGGCTCCCAAACGATGCACTCTGTCTCCGTCACTCCTATCTACCAACCTTGTGAACAAGGCGTTAATTGTTTTGTTTTCTTTGCTTTTTCGGTTTTTTGGTTTTTTTATGGGGGGGGGGGGAGGGAGTGGAGTGAAATTATCGTTTACATTATTCCATATGTTCGAGCCTAATCCAGTGTTTCTTCAATTGCGTGTTTTTCTTCCTTCGTAAGATGTTCCGTAAACCATGAAAAAAATTTCTACATGCGTCACTCGGTGGGCGTTTAGATTACATTTATTGCCAAGAGATATTGTTTTTCTTCTCTTTTCATAATTATTATTCCTTTTAAAAATTGTTCTCAGGGGAAGTGGGATTGGTTAGCCTTCCACTCCCAGTGGTGATCACTATGAATCTTCTTCCTATGATATCCATACATTATTCAGCAGACAGGTAATGAGAATATTCAAACTTATCAGGTAGAGGTTGTTATCTTGATCTAACATCAAATTCTTGTATCCAATTAAAAAGGAAATGTGTAGCACAAAGAAGGGAGAATTGACAATCAGATCTTGAAAGTTAAAGGTTTAACCTCCCCCCAGCCCACCCCTGTTTGCCTATTATCTTTCCTGAGAGTAAGCCAGCCGACATATTACATCCGCTCGCTCACGCGATTCCCTTCTTGAAAAAAATAGGAACGAAGGAAGCATTTTTGTCTTAAAAGACAGTACATCATAAGAAAATAGAAACAAAGAAAAGAAAGTGAAAATAAAATAAGAAACATTTTGAAATTCTACGGTGTCCCTTTTTGTCGCCAAGAGATGGAAACAAACAGTGCCTTAGTATATATATTTATATAGGAGACTATATATGTTGGACATTTTTCTTCTCGGCGCCTGTCGGTGGAGTAAATTTTTTATCTATTTTGGTTCATTTGCATTGTGGGCGTTAAAATTTCATTTTTTTGGTGGCCGCTTGATCGCAAATAAACGCCAATTAATGATGACTGTCAAAAAAATTAACAGAAACGTTATAGAAAAAGCAAGACGAATCAATACACACTTGAAAAACAAAACGAGACAATGATTGATGTCATGATTCTAATCTTTGATCAACAAAGAGAATATTATGCTAATTTGCCGATCAGCAACGGTATTCGAAAACATTAAAGCTACATGAGAATTTACCCCTCTATAGATTATCGTTGTCTATTTTATCAGTATGGTTATTGGTATTTTTATTATTTACATTTATCATCATCGTCATTATTGCAATTGTTATTGTTATTCTCGCCTTTTCTATCCCAACAGAGCAGTGTTTACCCATCTCATGACTATCTATCTTTTACGGAGTGTTTCTCCTCAGAGTTATTCGCGTCAAAGGTGTTTGCTTATTTAAAACGCCTTGAACGTTTTATTCTTAACAGTGTTATAAAAAATTTCATAATAACCATAAGATGCCTCAGTTGCTCTCGATCTGAATTTTCTAACGTGTTGGATTGATTATCATGACGGAACCAAGTGATAATAAAATTCTAGTTATATAAACCTGTTTATTCAGAAATTAATTGCATTCTCCAGATGGTTGCAAGCTTATAATTTTTTTTTGCCCTCTTACTTGCTCTGTTCGAGGTGAGGTCATCAACATTTAAAGAGAATGATTATTGGATTCTGAAATACATCTTTATGCAAAGTTAACGGCACCGTCTTCCTTTTTTTTTGGTTTTTGACATCACGGAAGGAATATTTATATTCAGCGACTTTCGACTTTGTTCGGCAGGGATCTATTCATTCCCAGACAGACATCTTAGAGAAAGGTAATTTTTTCTAGGCTATTTTTGTACCGTGTGGAACATTGAAAACATGGTTATTCTAAATATTATATAATTCAGTTGTTACCTGCTGATGATGTGCCGTGTATAATTGATCATCGCCGATGATCATCATCTCTATTATTTTGACTCGGTTGTTAAATAATTATTTTAAAGCTCGCTGATGGTTTTAAGTACCCTACAAGTACTGATTCTAATTCTGATCGGGGTGACTTCGACGGACATAAGAGTGTTGTTGTGTTAATATCATTATCTCGGTATATTTAGCATTTTGGGTCAATTTTTTTTTAGAGTACTTTGCTTCTGTATGCTTTATCTCTGATAAAGTGCTTGTTAAATGAGCTTTGCTTATATAGTTCTAGATCTAAGTGGTCGTTATAGCTGAATTATATTCGCACATTTACCAATGTTCCTCTTGACAAGAAAAGGAAAAACTGCTGAAATATTTTGTCTTAAAATAGTACATTAAATAGGAAGAAAACAAAACAACATTGGAGAGGGAAAAAATTTTATTATTTACTTATTGTTATCAACGGACGGGAAACGCACCGCGCGCTAGAATGTATAAAAAAAAGATTTGTTGGACATTTTTCTTCACAGCACCTATCGGTTAAATTAGCTATTACATTTTGGTTAATT